GACGCCGATTTCCAGCGGTTGAGCCCTGGAAGCCGCTTGGTCCACTGGCCACTGCGTGGTCGGCGCCTCGTTGCCGCTCACAGGGCTATTGTACTGGGACGAGTACGGCGAGAAGTATCTCGGGAAGGCATTCTCTCCCTGAGGGCTCAGGGGAGAGTCGTCCCAGCCTCGCGTGGGTCCTTGGGTGCTCGGGGTGTCGTCCCAGCTTCGTAGTGGTCGCTGGCTTAGCGGAGTGCCATTGATGCCGACCGTGTTCAGGGGCGATGGCCAAGCGGCGGGGCCCTTTTGCTTCATTTCGAGCTGCTTCAGGAACGCTCTGCGCCTTCTCTTGCCGTTCCACACAATACAGAAGCCAGCAATCGCCAGGATGAGGACTACACCTCCGATGGCGATACCAACCTTGCCGCCCAAGCTGATAGGGCCGTTGTTGTATTTCGACACGTATTTGTTGGTTGGCGATGGTTCCGTGACGTTGACCGGGGTCTTGGAGAAAGGAGAGCCTTCGACGGAAATCGTAGCACCGGGCTCCGGCCTCTGTTGGCAACCGGCATCCAAGATGGTGAGGACTGGGTGCTTGTCAGAAAAAGACCATGGGCTTTTTGACCCCAGAACTCACAATTGGTCAAGTAATGATTGTCTCCCGCGCGCAGGCAGGCAGCGCAACTTCCGACCTGGTTATGGTTCCATGCCGAACAGTAGTCATACTCGGTGCCGTTTGGTGCCAGGTCATTATACATTACTGCATTTTGCAAAGGCTCGCAAGCAGTTCTAATCAACACGTCAACATGCAGGACTACGGCGAGACAAGACGGCGACAAACCTTGTAAGACAAGGGCTGGAGCCCACATCGGGGTTGTTTGGATAACCGAACAGACAGTACGAGACGGCGTATCGTAGGTTATCTGGGAAGATTAGCACAAATCTACCACAAGCCCGCATCTCGGGAACAATGATGACGTACACAATAGCCACTGCGTGTCCGTCTGGGTTGCTGTCGAGTAGTCGCTGGTCAACTCGCAAGAAACACATTGCTGGTACACGGGGCCAGCGCCAACGGAATAACCGTTCTCGCTGCAGACAACGTCCGTCTCCGTCGTTGCGTCCAGTACGTTGCCGCAGAGTGTCTGGCAAGGTGAACCGTTGGCCACGTGGATAGCCGAGGCGTGGCCCAGCCAAACGCCCAGCACAATGGTGCTCAGGGCCAACCGCATTTTCGATAGAGGAGGCGCGTGGATGCTGGATTTACGAATCACCGGCTTGACTCTGAGTCGTCGTTTGTTGGGTCGAGGGCCTCCACGAGGAGCCCGGCGCAAGAACTGTCTGAGGGACGATGCACCTATTTTACATGCCTGCGAAGACCGGTTGTACGGCAGGTTCTCTCCGGGAGGTTGTGCGGCAAAGATGCCGATGAGTAAGATTTAAAGGCGAATGCGTGGTATGACGACGCGAGGCTCCCAGATTGCGAGCAATGCCAAACGAGGCTTCATATGTGTTTCGGTGCTTGCGAAAGAGGAAACAGTGAGGTTGTGATTGTGACGAGGGGCGCAGGCAACTGCACATCTCATCACCTCGTTGGTTCTCTTGGTGTGTGTGATTGGGGTCCAAAAGAATTGGGGTGGCACGGAGGTCGATACATCTTAGGGAAGACATCAGGGCTCCCCCAGCGACCATCCGGTGAGCCGACGCATCTATCTGGCTGGGACAAGAAGCTCGGCGGCCTCGTTGGCTGTGGCCAAGTCCACAGGTTGGTTTGTTTGCAATACCTACCACACCGCCGTTGCCTCCTTCGTTGTTCGCGGATTGAGAGGGCGAGACCAGCTCACGTCGCTGGTCCTCCTAGCGCCGTGGTGGACGATGGTGTGCAGAGTGCTGACCGGGGTCCCAGCCACTCAGAATGCAACAACCCTGGACGGCTGGAGGGGCAAGCTGCAAGAATCCCTGGTTAGATTCACACATCAGCAACCTCTTCGGGCGCGGGAACCCCTCTCCGTCACTTGATTGGTTATGAAAGTTGTTTGTCTGACCTGTTGGACGGCCTAGCGCCCTGAAAGCAATAGAGAGCAACGGAAAACAAGGTGCCTCCTAGTTCCCGTATTGGTGGTATTGACTAGAATGGTTAATGGGACCTAGGGCTGGTGCCTGTCACATTTATCTTCATCGTTTAGACAGCGACTTGGGTAGTCCGGAGAACAGATGGACGCAGTTTGGCATGGTCATCGGCTCATGTGCGGGATAGCCCGATCTTGGACCACTGAATGCGCCAGGCAAACGCGATCCAATCAGTATAACTCCTCAGATATTCTCGGCTGATCTCATGATGGAGTACAAGTCAAGAAGGTTGATACGGGGGATGTGCCGTGGCCAGTCCGCACTGGGCATTTATCCCTTTTCCCAATAGCCACACAAGGACAAATGTCAAAAGCGTACATGGAGGCTGACCGACAACCTCACTCAGAGTGTCATTTTCCGACATTGTGATTCCAGTCAGCAACAGCCCCAAGTACGGATCGTGTCACATCAGGCTCAATTTGAGCCGGGTATACCGTTAATGGTTTATGATCGTAGGGTAATCGTAACTCAAGTCCTTGTCGGAAGTTGTTCTCCCATACGAAAGTCTAGCAGAACTCTAGTATCTTTGAAGTAACTAAGGTACCGGTACATAACGGTCTCTCTCGGGGTCGCATAGGTACAAAATATCTCTTAAGTAACCCCATAACGATCAGCGACACCCTCAATAAGTACATAACCGCACTTTTGTTTCCATCTTGCAGCGTAATCAAAGGTCACTATTCCCGTTGATCCGGTTATAATCTGAATTATAGTGGAGTTGTCGATTAGACTCATGGTTCACAGTAACGAGGCTATTTATTTGTTAGAATTAGTTGACTTATTACATCTCACAGGTAAGAACGCGCAAGGCACAGATGAGCGGACACACCACCACCGTTGTCATGAGAGCTAACATAATATCTAAATCAGATCCAAATCCATTTCAATCCATCTCCACCCATTTCATCCATAACGTCATGTCAAACTCCATTCGGATCCTTCCGTTCATTATATGCATTGGTATTCTTCCCTCAAAATGATAGACCATTTGCTCCTCGTGAATGAGGACCAGACTCCCCGCTAAGCTGAAAATGAAGAAGAAAAAGGGAAAATAAAAACCCACATTGAAAAGTGAGCTGCGAGCTCGCGCGAGAGATGTCTATGCTACTATAGCATTTGGGCCGTCTGAGGACAGCCCGAAGTTCCTATCCAGGCAAGCCAAGTCGGCAAGATTACCTGGCAGATCAGGCGTTCCTCCAATGTTGTTATTTTTGGCGTCGCGAATGATGACCATGGCGCGTGGGGTCTGTGGCTCGAACAGTGGTGTGGAAGGTGAGCGGTCAGCTGAAGAGACTGTCCCAATAGTTTCAGCAGGAGAGTATGCATCACTGGACTTGTTAGATACAGTGACCGAGTAGTTGGGATTGTCTCCTCCTTTTCTATTCGTGGCGGCGCTGGTGTTCTCAGTACCGTTTGCTTCTGCAGGAGAAGACAACGATCTGCGATGACTCAAATCGGGAGAAGTCCTGTGCCCTGAAGACGTCGAGGTAGCGACTGGAGCTGATGCAGTTGAGTCTCGACCATGAACAGGGCAGGTAGGACACAAAATAGCTTCGACCCTCTCGAACGGCGGCCGAGAACCAGGCGATCCGGTGGGAGGCTTGGATGCAATGGAAGATCTTCTGTCACGCTCAATGCGGATGATCTCATCTGCATCTTGAACCGGAGGACTAGAAGGGTCGTGCGGCGACATCTTCGGAGGGGAAAACTTCGAGCCGGGCTGCCGACCGCGACTGACTGCACGAGAAGCGGGACGTGAACCGGCTTGTTCCCCGCTTATCGAGGCTCTTGAGGGAGGACGAACATTCCGCAGATTGGCTTTCTCAGTTTCCGTAATCGACCCGGATCTTGCGTGGTGGTTCATACGGGACATCGGTCGCTGGGGTTGCGTCTTCTGGGTGTCCTGCAGCGCTGGCAGCGATCGCCGATTGTACTCGTCACTGTAAATGGTTGGGCTGGCCGCAATTAAGATGGACGATAGGTGCTCGCTGAGGCGGCTTCTGCTGCAATTGCGAGACTTTGGTGACGATGACGGGTCGGGATGCAGAGTCACAGCGTCCACTGACTGACCTCGATTCTTGTTCACCGACTCAGCTCTTTGTGAAATGGATCCTAACTGTTGCGTGATTGCGTTTGCTTGTTCACGATGTGCTAAGGCAGAGTCGGTGCGGTCCAGCATCCTTGTTCGACTGGCGTTGCGGGACTTTGGCGATGAGGGTCGAGCTGGTAAACCATCCTTTGACGTTGCCTCGCCCTTCGAGCTGCTGGGGTCTCCAGAGCGCGACTTGCTAGAGTGACGCGCCTTGCCACTTTGAGACGCAGCACGCCTTTTCTCCTCCGACGGCTGTTCACTGAGCACCTTCGACTTTGAGCTACCAGCTGTAGCTATTGTGCGCATGGAATTTGAAGAGTGAGTTCGAGGAATTAACTCATTTTGCGTAAATAGCGGGAAGTGGAACGCCTGGGTTCTGGTGTGATCTGGCTCTGCCACCGGATTTCGTTCCTGTGATTGCAACGACGTCTCCAAGAGACTGTCAGAAGGTCGCCAGAAATAGCGGGGCTCCATTGGCGACTGATCCTTGAAGGGAGTGATTAGGGAGAAAGGCATGTGGGTGATGGAAACACTCCCGCCATATATCCTCTTATCCTCTTTTCTGGGATAACCACTCAGAGGAATGCCGCTGTGAGGGTATGGAGTGCTGTCTTCGGGTGGGCGAGGGTTCGATTGGACCGAGCCATTGGAAAGTACGGATTGAAATGACTGAGTGGACTGGCTGCTCTGAGGGACCGGACTATCGGTCTGCCACGGTTGAAGGGGTGGGGACTGCGGAATGATGAGCTTCGGCCGGATCGCCTGGGGAGTAGGGCTTGGGGCGGTCGGGGTTGGAAGATTAATGCTGTTTGGCGACCTGCCCGTGCTGTCTACGTATTGCGACCCCGGCGGAAAAGTAGGAAGGGGAGGTATTTGGATCCTTGGTGTCCGCTTCGCCTTTCTTGACGTTGGTGACTTCATCGATGACTTCTGAGGGGATCCCGAGACAGAAGAAGATTTCTCTGGTGGAGATGTTGGCTGAGGCGGAGTGTGCGACGAGACTCCTTTCTTTGGCTCACTGCTGTGAGATAGAGTACTATAGCCGGATGGAGCAGCTGAGGATGGGCGATCTGGCTGCAGCATCTCGGACTGCACGGTAGACGACCGCTCACGCTCAGGGCGATAAACAAGCTTTGCGTAAGGAGGATTGTTGGTGTCGACAACCAGGAGCTCCTTCTCTCCTCGGCCAAGGAGGCCGTATATCTTGACCTCCCCATCCTGAATCCCAACAACCGCGCTCGTCCCTGCATAAACTGCTTCGTCCTCATTGCCAGTTCGGTTGCAGAAGACAACAATAATCTCCTCCTGGTTATCTGAGCGAATGAGAGGTTCCAAACGAGTGACCCAGTAGGTCAAAGTGTCCATGTCTGGTTCATTGGGCATCCGACTGAACAGGCGTCCATCCTCTCGAGTCATCCATGCCATAGACACAATGACCAAGTTGGATTCATTCTCGAGAACATGGAAGGCAAACTCAAAAGCATGCCACGGAGCTTGAAACTTGTAAGGGCTGTTGGATGTTAGCAGGCTGTCACTGGGCTCAGGAAACCCAGACTTACTTTAGATCCATGCCTTATAAATCATGTTAGTAAACGGATAATGAATGCCATGGGAAGCACTTACAGATACCGATGGACGTGTTTCCAAGACCAGGAATCCAGCCCTCATAGAACCCATTGTTCCCCTCAAGCGCCCAGGTCTCGTCCGTGTAGTATAGGAAACTTTTCCGGTAATTGGCAATTGTCTCCCCATCTCCATTGACCACGATTGCAGAGTTGTAGTACTCCGGGCCCGTAGGCCAGTTGTTGGAGACATCTCCCTTCTCTGGGTAGCCAACGACCACATTGCAGTTGTATTTGAGGGCCGTAGTTCGAGCCCACAGCGAGGTAATGCCAGAGCCTGATGGCTCGAGAAAGGGCGAGATTTGCTGCAACGATTTGAAGTTGTATCCTAACAAGGGTCAGCGATGTGAATGGTATGCGCTCGCGTTTCCTGTCGGAAAGGCTGCGAGATCACCATTCCACCCCGCGATGAAGCGCCAATCCCATGCTGCAAGACTTACCTGTGAAAGCCAGCTCAGGCAGGACAAGAAGATCAAGATCGTCCGTGTTCGCTTTGCTCAAACACGAATCGGCGCGGTTGAGGTTATTGTCGATGTCGCCCACTTGAGGAGCGAACTGAAGGCAGCCTATCCTCATCTTCGAAGACTGTGAACAACGAGCAGGATAGATCGACGAGTATGCCAAATGCTCCGTCTCCAAAAACGCCTCGACCGATCACACGTCTCGCCTCAGAGGAACGGAAATCGTAGTCCGGTTTTGACGAAGACATCCAGAAAAAGGGAAGGAGGCAGTGGCTATACGATGCCAGGCGAGGTGAAGGATGATAGTGGGGAACAGAAAAAAAGGCTAGAGGGTGTTAATCTAGGTGATCTTGAGGGCAAAGATACAACATGGAGGGCGGGGGAAATAAGGAGCGGCGGGCAAGGGGGATAGGTCGCAATGGGATCCGAGCACGGGGTAAGACGCTAAGATGAATGGAGGTACCTGAGGTACTTTGCACCTGGCTCTTGGGTTGCCGGCCAATTGTCAATATGCGTTTGTGGTGATGAAGCACAACCAACAGGATATCGACGTTTGCCGCTGTCAGCGTGCAAGAGCCTTGGGGAAAACCCGCTTGCAAGCTGCAGCCACTCGTCACCTTCAACCGGCTGGCCGCCCGCAAGCACGCTAGCATGGATCAAGGTGCATTCTCATTGTCTGCCGCTCTACCACGTTTAGCCCCGCCTCCAGCGACCTTGACCACCGAAGGAGGGCGCCTAACCTCTCTTGGGAATCGCCCGATCACCAACGGTTACTTTGTCCAATTAGAACCGCCGAGGTACTCTGCAACCCTTGCTCACAACCATGAGAAGGATTGAACACGCACAAACAGCATGAGAAGCGCAATATGCCCATTGGAACACTCCCTATTGGAATAGGAGAATCTGTCTGTGTTCCGTCACTCCCCAGCGGACGTTCAGTCAGGCTTTCCTATCCTCAGCTGCCCAACTCGGTTTGGTCCGAGGAGGTAACAGGTAGGTCCACACCACAGCCTTACCAATGTGTTGTATCCACAGGCTGGTGACGGACGCTGGAGAACATCCCGAGATTGAGGTAGAAAGGGGCAAGACAGTGTATATCTGCCGTGTCCCTTGATCGTATGAACTGCTCCTTCCGTCCTGCTCCGATGTTGGTGGCTCAACACTGGACGACTACCGAGCGTCACACAGTCTTGGATGCAGATGCGACGAACGCCGCTGACCGTAACTCAGCTTGTGGGTGCGATCCAACCGCGAGGGAACCGCGGAGCAGGGCCTGGGGGTGAAGGATTCGCGACTAAACTACAAAGTACGGAGTACCTCTGTATGATGCCGGGGTTAGCTTCTGCGAGTTGACCAGCAAGCCCAACCAGCAAGGGCTGACCGCACTCGGTCCTGGTCACGCCACCTCACCATGGCCAGTTTTGTCCTGTCCAGATGCAAGCCACTCGAGGGGTTTCTTCTGCCGATCCCTGTTTGAAAACCCACTGTCTGGATGAGAGGCTCTTCCGACACAACGGTTCTGGTGGAGAAGGTCGGCCGGTCTACTCACTCTATTCGTTCGACATGCGGCTCTCCTCACCTACTTTCCAGTCCGTTCCAACCAGCCTCCCCACGAGCTTCCAGCGCTTGGCCCGGCCAGTCAGACGCCACTACCATGCCGCCGCTAATGTGAACGTTAAGCAGTAAGCTTCCCGACTTGTAAGCAACAAGGAAAGCGCCCCGAAGATTTCAGCGCTTCACGATTGCCACTTGATACGTTCGTTTCCCCAGAGCCGGCTGCTGTCTGTTTCTACCCAGCAGCAGAGCACTACGGTGATCAGAATCAAGGTTTACAACAGTCTGGACATGTACCGGTAATGGGAATTAGAAGTCCGGTCCCTAATCACCGTATCGCCTTTGTTTTTGGTGAGGTATATATGTAACGAGAGCCGCGGAGTTATAGTATTTCACTTGAACCACCACTTTGTGTCAACAAAGTACAGCCCAGATTATGAATATCACGAGACATGTTTTGAAGAATTTCATGAAGAGACCCAATCGTTTTTTTCATCCAGATTATGAGCATTGCCTCCTTGTTTCAATCATAGGCAGTACGTGGCGGTTGTCTCGTTGTGACGCCAGGAAGCTGACCAGCCTCCGTCCTTGCAGTTCTGATGCGCGAAACTCTTGCCCGGAGGCTTAAGTCCCTCGAACGGTCGGATGGTTATATGACAAGATTCGATCGTCGAGTTGCCACTCCGGACCCCAACCATTATGACGAGCCTGTCGGTGAAAGGCCCGGTGAGGAACTCGTCTGGACGACGTGGTCAGTCTTATCATCAACTTCATCGGTGAAGCACCTCAACTCACATCTGATGACGTCCACAAGCTTCCACTCTGAAGCATAGGCAACACCCCCGTCCCTTTCCCTTGCTTCCTCTAACTTCTTCTGTCCCCCCCCTTTTCTTCGCTTCTTCCAGTCGCTTCCTACTCCTCTAGGCCTTGTTGTCCTCAGCCTTGTCTTTCTTGGTCTTGTATTCTGCTACTTGCATCGCATCTCGCTTGGTGGCCATTGGGTGATTGAAGACATTGGAGGTCTGCGGGTTGACTTCGTTGCCGGCCCAAAGATCCGAATCCCTGGCCGAAAAGAAGGATAGAAGACCCCTCTGCTGGTTGATTACCGTCAGGGTAACGAACTTTTGCTCATCCCAGCCGCCGTTGACCGTGTACTCCGGGGAGCCAGGGCATTCGAGGGCCGAGAAGTCGGTTTGGTACGCAGGGAGTCCACCCGCTGCATCGATGGTGAAGTTGCAATACTTGGGGGCTATTGCCGGGTCTTCGGAGATGAGGAAGCTGTAAGTGCACTCCGCCTGATCTTCTGAACAAGCACGTCGGAAGCCCATGAGAGACCAAGTCTCCGGGCTCGGGGTTCGAGGTGACCCAGCCGGGAATGAGAGCGCCTGGAAGGCAAGAATGCTGAAGATGAGACCGAGCCTTGTCGCCATGGTTCCGATATGGACCTGCCTGGTTGACTGTGGCGGTGATGAGGAATCTCTGATCTCAATAACGGCTTTCGATTATCGCTATTATATATCTCCCTCTGCTCAGTAGCCAGCTAACTTGGCAAGCTGGCGGCAACATACTGAGAACGGTCCATGTGGTATCTCATACAGGAATTTGCAGACTCAAGCAGCGATTTGTTTGAAATTTGATTGTGGATGCTCCATCTTTGAGAATGTGCAACCCAAACTCGCCCCTTTTGTGGGACACGGATGGACTCACAAGGAGTACTCAAGTCGTACGCCAGGCCAATATCGCCGAACCTGCGCCGCTTGTCCCTGTCAAGTAGCCTTGTTCTTCGTCCTAGACTATCATATCGTTTATCATAAACGTCGCGATACCTCACTAGACAGCAGATCTTGTAGAATCTCGAAGCATCACTAACGGATAGTCAGACCTCCATGCCTAAGACGTCTTCTGGAGCCTTGGATTAACAATGAATGAAGCATGCGTTTTATCATCAGGGCTACTCTTTGGCTGATGATGGAATTCAGAGCGTCAGAATGCCATATTCCATTCGCAATGGGAGGGTTGTGGTTTCCCTCTTGTTTGGCATGCAAGGGTCCCAACGGCGATGACGGTACCACTGTGACGCCCGCAGGGACACGGCTCAAACAGTTGAACTACAAAGCGCGAGGCCAGGTGAGACCTCAGTCCGGTTGAGGTCAAACACTATGTTTCCAATGGCGAATGGAAGAAGCGGTAATGGATTCTACAAGGATCAACGAAGACCAGAAAGCTGATGAAGGGGCACAGATCCGAGGGTCTACAACTGGCGACAATTTTGGACCCTCAAGCTGACGACTGATAGGTGGTGCAAGTCGTTCAAGTGCCCCATAGTAATCAAACTCGGGTAACCTGTCGGACAGTGCGGGAAGACTCGTAGTAGAAGACGGATAAGAAGGGAAGGAATTCATGCTGGTGTAACCAACTCTGACGAGACAGGTGAGCTATCCGTGGAATTTACACCGTGTCTATGAGCGGAAGACCTCAGCCTATCATAGTCATACCACGACAACTGGAGGAGGTACACGACGATGGCTCATGAGATGAATCAAGCCTTCATGGAAGGCCAAGGGATCTAGACCAGTAAAAGAGGGAAGAGAACAGTTCAAGCTGGAGAGAAAAAAATCTTTGAAGTCCGGTAATATCCAAGGTCGGGGCGTCGTCTCCTTTTCAAGTCGATCCGAGAGGACAGACCCGAGCCAGAAATCGATTTCCCATATGGATTCTCAGAATGCTGCACAAGACGGAACCGGAGAACAAGACTGCGCAAGCTCCGCTCTATGACCGGCCACCAGTACGAGGAACAGCGTCGCTCCGGCGCTCTTCGCGAGGAGACGCGACGCAACCTACCCTCTTGTCCGCGCGAGCAGTTCGAGAAGGCTAGCGGCATATGCAGCCACTATCACATCGTCTGCTATTCACGGAAATTGGGCTGCAAGTGACCACTGGGCGGGGGCGTCTGGAGCAAATGAGAGGAAGCCAGGTGTGGTGGGCGGAGTCTTGGTCCGCTAGCACCGAGTAGGAAGATGTTGCGTCGCCGCCGGGAGCGCGGCAGCGGCAGCGACTGTAAGTCGAGCCAACCGATGGCTGTCTGTGTGCGTTGCCTTGTTGGTTAATAGACGCGCTGGATCCTATAGCGAGGCTCTTAATATTCCGGGATCGTCGTGAAGGATGTTGGTTAGGTCGAGAATCGATGATGGCTTCGGTCCAGCTTCGACTCATTGCAGATAGAAGTCTGGGCCCCAAAGGAAGCGCAGTCGTCTCTTGGCTTCGTCGGGTAGGACAAACATCAAGCTAGGGGCACAGCGGACACGTCGTTCGTTGAACGGAAAGCTGGTCAGCAGAAAGTATTTTGGATAAAGAGGAGAAATACGTTCCGTGAGCCATTTACCCCCTCTAAAATCCAGTCTCGTGCTGTCACCGTCTTGGCTGTAGTGAGGGTGGTCTGATTTTCAGAGGCCCCAGCCGCTAGAGATGGCCGCAGTGCGGGCCCTTTGGCGGGAGGGGCGGCCGCTAATTGGCCCTCCAAGACCTCTCCACTGACATGGATAGGGAGTGGCCGCATCCTCGGCCGGCGCCAGCAAGACCACCCAATCCTCAAGTCTGCCCGTTTCGTTTTGACGTTCCCGTCTCTCTCAGCCAGTCAACGTCGTCCTCTTTCTCCAGATCCCAGTCCCGTCTATCTTTGTTTTGGCGCTGGTGTTCATGTTTCCCTCCCTTCTCATTCGCCGAACCCGGGCTTGAATGCGATCCTACTGCTGGGGTTCGTGACCATGCGCCATCTCATTGGACTGATTCGTCTTCGGTTGCTCCATCTTGGCTTCTATTCTCAGCTCGAGAATCCCCCGCCTCGCGATCTGGAAAAGACGCACGTCTTAGACACTTTGCCGTTCTGGACAGTGGGCGATTCGGTTTCTACGGGGCCCGCGTCGTGGCGACTTCACCATGCTCCCCAAAATAGACCTGCCACTGTAATTACCATGCTTGCAAGTACAGAGCCGCCTGCCCGTCTTGCATGAGATCGCCGTGCTCCCGCGATGTTACCTCCCGCGCCAGCTGGTATATCTGTATCAAGTCCCTCATATGAAAAGCCCGACTGTGCTGGATTGGATTTTACGCCTTAGTCTTTGACTCCGACTACGATCGATCACGTATAGAGACTCCTTCGAGATACTCTCGCTTCCACCTAGAGAGGGTTTGGCATACCATGCCTGTGAAGCTATCACGACCTTCCCTATCCCGGACGTTCACGCCTCTATCCGCCAGGTTCGCGCGGCCCTAGTCGACCCGGCGTCTCTCTTCAAAATGACGGTCATATCATCATGGCGTCTCTTTGCCGTCTTCTCGCTTATTGCTACCGTTTCGTCGCTGGAGGTTACGCCCGGCTCGGATTGTGCGGCTCTGTGTTTGGATGGGCATAACGGCACGGCAACAGACACATCTGGAACGAGCTCGTCCGACATTGTATGCGAAAACGATCAATACCACTCGACCGGCACCGGCATCAAGTTCAAGAACTGTATCAGTTGCCTTCAGAACAGCCAGGCAACCAAGGGGCCAGAAAGCGACGCCGCGTGGTTCATGTGTAAGACCTTTGCTGGAGCAAGAGCCATGAGACCTAGTTTGGGCTGACACATGACTGACAGACAACGTCCGCTATGCGGTGGATGTCTGTCTATTCAACTTCCCCGACGCCATCTCCAACATCAACTCCCCCTGCATCATCAACAGTGCTTGTCTGCCTCTCAAGAATGCCTTGACAAGTGGGCTTGTAGCACCAGAGGCCGGGACCGCCTACGATTATTGCACAGCAGACAACGACAAGTTTTCAAGTTCGAGCTGGTGGTCTTGCGTCCGGTGTCTACAGTCCAGCGACGACCAAAGCTACCTCTCAAACTGTAAGTACTCCTTTCCGCCCGCGGCCAATGACAGGTACTGACGAGCCGCCGTCTAGTCTTGATCGCTCTCAAAGCTGGATGCCAGCGCAAGCCTACGGACGGGAGTTTGATTGGGTTGACGGGCCAACTATTCTCGGAGGTGGCGGTCAACATCACCGACACGGCCACCAACACGACGATGCCTGGCGACGGAGGGGCTTCCGCAACCACCATGACGCTTGGAACGATCGTGGGCATCGCAGTCGGTGGCGGCCTCGTCTTCATCGGAGCTATATGCCTTTTCATCATCTACTGCCGCAAGCAGCGGAAACAGAGAGAGCAGGACGGGAGATATCTCGACCAGAGACCGCCCGGGAGCAACGGCAGCTCCGTCACAGCGACCAGCAAGAGCCCTTACATCCCGATAGGGGACCACAAAAAGTCGTCTTCGATCCGGTCGTACAGCTACGAGCTGCAGGAAAAGCAGAACGCCATCCACAGCAACGCCGACTACTATGACAGGCTGGAGCAGGAGATCCAGGCCGGTCGCGAGATAGCCCACTACAACTTCGACCCTCACTCCGGCCACCACGGCCCGGGGAGCGCTCTTCCCACACACCCGGCCTACATACCCCGGGCCCTGAGCCGCCAGTCATTCCGTACCAACACCCCGACACCACCTAACCCCCGAAGGACCAACACCCCGGACTCGTACGCGCTGCAAACCTACCTCAACGCCGTCGAGAGCCCGGCCGTATCTGCCATCAGACCGCCACCGCAAGCCGCCTCGCGAACCCCGTCGCCTGCGCGGTCACAACGGTCATATACCGACAACCCTGCGCAGCCCAAGCTCGTCAACATCCCGCCGCCGCCCCCGGGGGGGCCTCCGTCCCGGAAACAGTCCAGGGGCATACCGTCCCTCTCGCTCCCCTCCGTGCCCCGGATCCGCGTGCCCAAGCAGTACTCCCCGCCACAGATTGTCGTCGAGGGCGCGACGCCGGTGGATGATCGCGGCGAGACGGGCGCAATGCAGATCTCGGAGCCTCTTACCTACCACGGGGAGAGGTTCCAGGACAGGCCACTGGCCGGCCGTCCTGTCATCTCGTACGTGGCGCCAGTGAAGGACGTAAACCCTCAAGATTATGAGAGCGATATGCCCATTCGGAGCGGCAAAAGCACTTTGTACGGATAGCTACCATTATACCAAAAGGAAGACTTTTTAGGGATACCATTCAGGAATACCAAAGGAAAGGGAGCGTTGGCTTTCTCGGAGTTCAGGATGGATGGGAATTTTGCATTTTGAGCATACAGTCTTGCAGCGGCAGCCACTGCAACTACACAAGAGATTAATAGAGCAAACAATGCTCTTATTCCTAATGTATTGATTATCTATCATGCAACCTTCCGCGAACCATGCTTCAACCCAGACGCTGCCCAGGTCCTCTCGTCCTCCACGAGTCGGGAAGGACGCCACCGCCGCGAGACACACCCGTGCTGCTGCCCGAAGTCTGGGCCGAGGCACCTCCGCCACCGCGTACAGCAGTACCGTAGCCGCGCTGGTTGAAGCGAGGGGTCTGGACGAGACGCGAGAGGAAGGCAGGCGTGGGAATCAAGTTGCGGCCGCCGCTGAACTCGGGCCACACCCTGGACAGGAAGTCGTACAGGTGGGCGGCAATAAAGCCCTGGAGCTGGATTATGAAGGTATAGTACCCTGCCCCGCTGGGGTCTAGCAGCGACATGAGCATTATGCAGAACGGGCTGAGCTGGGCGGGGATGGTGATGAAGTAGAAGTTGGACTTGACACCTCGCTGGTCCTGGGTGACGGTGCGACACAGGGCGATAATCAAGGCCGGCAGGAAGCATCCTCCGCCCATGACGTAGGTGCAGAGCGCCTGTGTGCGATATTAGCGCATGCTTCTCCTGGGCCGGAGCTGGATGGTTTCATGGCCATCGTTGATAATGACATGAACTACATGAGAAAACAACAAAAACCCAGTATGGGCGGTAAAATGTAGGGAGCTGTAAAAACCACCCGAGCAACATTGTAAAAGGTTGCACGAGCCATCCATTAAGACATCCCACCACGCCCACGCCACAAGCCAAGTCCTGTAAAGCGAAATGGACTGGTCGCGCCGTGAGGGTAATCTTCCTCATTTCCAGGAACCGCTATAGCTGTGGGTATCCACTATGCGGGCAGATAATATGAGGTGCAGATGATATGTGTAGCAGGCAGGGAGAGAGCTGATGCTCGCTTTGCGGGAAGTGCACGTGGAGGAACTTTCCAGAAGACGTTTTGTTTTTTTTGGGCATTCGTGATATTGGGCGAGCTGCCGAGAGCGGCGACGATGTAGCAGACTTACCGTGATAACAGTGCACACAAACATGAGATACCAGATGAGATCCTCGCGTCTGGAGAACCTGGAATTGCCGACCTCGAGGGCAGAGAGGTACGTGTACAGTAAGTACGGGTCAAAGAGCAAGCTAAGCTTAGGACCGGTGATCAGGAAGTTGGTCCCGAGACGCCATATCTGAGGCGGGATCTTGAACAGGAGATCTGGCGCGAAATAGAACCAGTAGCCGCTCACGATGCCCATGAAGACAGACAGGGATGTGATGAAGGCAGCCGTAGCAACTGTTCTAGATGACAGTCAGTCCGTGTGCGCCAGGGATGTGAGGTGAGATGAGGTGGTCGTACCTTGCGAGAGGCGGCGCCTGCCAGTACGCATCCATTATTTCCGACGACATCCTTTCAAAGCAAAAAGTCTCGAAAGCGAGGCTTTTCAAAAGAGGTAGTGGAAGCGCTGGTGGGTAAGTAGAGGAAGTTGGTGGTGATGCAGATGGCAGCTTGCAATTGGCAGGCTGCCGTATTTTTATCTGCAGGTGTAGCGGGAGAGGACCAATAGGACACCAGGCTGCGGCGCTGATGTGCTAGTGCTGGGCATGTTAGTGACCCGTGTCCTCTGTGTGAGAGGGAACAATTTAATAAGCAAAGAAAGAGGAAGAAGCCTTCCTGCCTCGCCTTTTTCAATGCGTTTTTTTTTCTGCCGCTGGGGCCTAAGCGGTGTAACCAGTATTGTGGTGGGGGACGTCGTGCGCTGTATTCCAGTCGCTGCAACCGCTGACAGTCGCCGGGCCTTCATTGGCCAATGCCCCACGTCGCACCCCTCCCCAGCGGAATGACACTGAAGCTGCAGCTCCGACCAACGGCGCCCAACGAGCGACTAAGGGGGGTGGGGAAAAAAAAGATGCCGAGAGATTCTTGAAGGCGAGCTTGTTTTGCGATATCTTCAATATCTTTACCATTTACCCACCGGACGCCCTTGTATTCGATCATCCAGCGTCTCGTAAATACATCCGTCATGTCTACGACCTCTCACCCTCCCAGATGGGCCGCCCTTGCGCGCGACACCAACGAGACCAAGATTCAGCTGGCCATCAACCTCGATGGCGGGGCATTCCCCCCCGAAACCGACTCCAGGCTCACCGCGGCCGTCAACGAGCACGCCTCGCAGGCGAGCAAGTCCCAGACCATCAGCATCAACACAGGCATCGGCTTCCTTGACCACATGCTCCACGCCCTCTCCAAGCATGCCGGCTGGAGTCTGGCCCTCGCCTGCAAGGGCGACCTGCACAGTTCGTCACTCTTCCCTCTCTCTCCCGGTCTACATGGCCACGAGTTTCCCTCCGCTTACACTGGCTGATTAGTCGACGACCACCATACCGCTGAGGACGTCTGCATCGCCCTCGGCTACGCCTTCGCCAACGCCCTCGGCAGCGCAACTGGCCTCGCCCGCTTCGGCTACGCCTACGCCCCCCTCGACGAGGCCCTCTCCCGCGCTGTCGTCGACCTATCGAACCGCCCCTACAGTGTCGTCGATCTCGGTCTCCGCCGCGAGAAGATTGGCGACCTGAGCTGCGAGATGATCCCCCACTGCCTGCAGAGCTTCGCCCAGGGCGCCCGCCTCACCCTGCACGTCGACTGCCTGAGGGGCGAGAACGACCACCACCGCGCCGAGAGCGCCTTCAAGGCCCTGGCCGTGGCCGTCAAGATGGCAACGAGCCGCGTCGCCGGCAAAGAGGGGGAAGTGCCCAGCACCAAGGGAACCCTGAGCGCATAGACCGCTGCCGAGAGGCATTCGTCACGAAAGAAACAAAACAGTAAAAATTAAGGAAAAAAAGAGGGACAGCGGTCGGGAACGAGGCTCTTAGAACCGTTTGAATATTCCGAGTTGATATGATACCCCACCCAAACGCCATGCTTTCCGGTGTGTGCAAGACTACTAGTACAATGACCGAATCCTGTTCCTACAACCAAACTCTGAAGAAAGAAAGAGAAAAAAAGAAAAAAAGACTTGAGGGCGAGGAACGTGACCGCCCGCAGTTACATGTGGTTATCCATTAGCGCTGAGGTCGCATGTTTTCCTTGTTATTGTTGCCCTGGCCCGAGGCGGCGCGTTTCTTGTCGGCCTTCCTCCGTTCTATTCGTGCGATTGCCGCGGCCCGCCGCTCGGGAGGCAGCGTGCTCTTTGACATGTTCGCCGCCATGTTGCTGGCATCCATATCTGGACCGCCAAGCCGGGCGAACCGATCTTGCAACAAGTCAATGGGGGCATTGTTATCCTTGCTCGCAAACCTGTGCCGCGGAGCCGGCGTGGTTCCCGACGGGATCTCGGTCGAAGTCACGATCCGTTCATTCAGATCAGCCCCAAGGTATTCTCTGTTGCGAGGCGACCTTGGGATGAATGGCCGCCACTTAGGCTTGTCCAGGTCGACGCGGTTGGAGAAAATTTCGGACTGGGGACGTCTCGGGGGCTCCTTTACGAGCTCCTCCTCTTCTGAACTTAGAGACTCGTCGTCTCGCTGATACTTGTCCCGAATATTCTGGGACCTCGTTGCGTTGAGCTTCTTGCCGAGGGATTCCACCAGGTCGAGGCTTCGCCGGTTGGTATCAACCGAGGGCTTCTGGGCCTTACTGGTTACAGCGAGGCGGTCGTTGTCCTGCGCCCGATGCTCCCTTGCAACATGCTCGCGGTCAGCCAGTGAAGTGGCTGCAGCCCTGGACTTGGATGCCTCGCCTGAGCCCGCCTTGAGCGTCTTGATCTCCCTCTTCAGCTCGTTGATTTTATCGGTTGCTTTCTCCAGGATGTGTCGGGTATCTTCTTGCGTGGCTTCGGCATCCGTCCGGTAGGCCTCAAAATCCGACTTAAGCTTGCGCAGCTCTTCGTCCTTCTGTCGAGTCGCCTCTTTCAGTTCTTCCACTTCTTTTCTCGATGAGGTTGTCTCTTTGTTCAGCGAGGGCTGTTGTTCGGCAAGCCGCTTGTTCTCCTCGGCGAGTTTATTCGCCCGTTGCTCGGCAAACAGGAGATCGGACTTCAATCTCTCAACCTCCTCTCGCAACTGGCCATTCTCCTTGATTTGAGCTCTGGCCTTTCTCAGCTCGCGCTGCGTCTCGAGCAGCGCTTTGTGGGTGCGTGGAGAGGCGGCCTGCCTTCGGCGTCTGCTCCGCGCATCTCCTTCATCCTCGTCTCCGTCACGGTTACCCAGCAACGCTTCCAGCTCCTTTACCTGTGTTTTGTACTCCACAGCGACGGCCGTCTGCTTGGCCAAGTCCTTCATCAGCTGAGGGTTGTCCCGTTCCTCGCCACTGGCGCGCTTCGAAGCAATTTGCGCCGCCATCTCGGAAATCCTCATCTCCATCTGCGCAACTTTCTCTTGCTCCTCCTTGAGTTTCGCGTTCAGGTCGATGGCTTCGGCATCCTTCATCTTGGCGTAGGATTTCGCCAGTTGCTTGTACTTGAGCAGTTTTTCCATCTCGGCTTTAGCGTCCTGGTGATACTGCTCAAATTCCGACTTCCAGTATTTGCCCGACCGCGAATGAGGCTCGTTAAGGTCTATCGTCACGTCTTGTGTGTACTGATCGTCGTCGGCCTCTTCCCATTCATCCTCTGCGTCGTCTGCCCTCGTTCCGTTAGCGCGTGTCTGGCTCCTCTCTCGCAGGTTCGCAGTCCCCTTGTTTCGTCGAGAGTTCTCCATTGCCTCTGTCAACTTGGTGCGCTTGCTTGCGGAGTCGCTGCCCGAGTCGGTAAAGCTCTCGGGGAACTTTCCAAGTCGTTCGTCGCTCTCTTTCCCTTTGCCCTTCTTGTCGAATTTCTTATTATCTAATACGTCGTGTCCGAACGAAACGCGTTTCCGTCGGGAAGTCCCGGTCCCGGGAGTAAGGAGAATGCCCTGAGGCTTTAACGGCGTCCGGGACTCTGCGTCGGAATCATCTGCGTCCCTGCGATGCGCCATATTCGCGGTGTTGTCGTCGCCTGGTCGTGCGGGAGTCCCAAAGATGGCATTTTTCAGCGCGCGGGCAGCGAAGACGGGTGCGGGCGTGTCTGGTTGCTCAATCTGCGTCGTGTCGTCTACGACGAAGTCAGAAAAGCCTCCAGAGGCGATTGAGGCGCTGCGGGGGGTTTTCTTACCTGCGTTTGCTCTGTTTCCACCAGGCGCGCCCTCCAACCCTCGTCTCAGAACCCAGCCCAGCATCCTAACTTTTGTGTGCTCCTGACTATTGGGGGGGAAAGAGTATGATTGTGCCAATGAATAGATGGCTACGCGCGGATTTGAGCTTTCTAATGTAGCGCGGAGTTCGTTTGACGAGATCGCATCACGCGTTCGTGTCCTGGCGGGTCGCAGGTCTCAATTAGTCGTGGTTTTGGTGATCTGACCGCGGCGAACAGATGTGGTTCTCACCTTGTTTACTTTGTTACCGCATGTGGACGCCGCGTCCCTGGTTTGTTGGTCGGATCCATATAGTGTTTTACACCGTATGTGAACTGTACGTACCTCTTGTCTAGCACCCCTCCAGCTTTCGGGTTCTTCAGAACCATGGTGCCCTGGCCCACTGGGAAAAGGTACTAGGACGATAGGCGTCATCAGTGAGGGGCATTCGCCTATCATCCGAAAAAACCCCCCCACTTCAAGTCTGGCCGACTGAAGCGCCACAGCTACCGTTGAACGGCAGGGAGGCCTGATGCGCTGTCACAGTATACGTTTATATCCACCGCTATCAACCTGGGTTTCGTCTTTTCCCTCCCTTCTTAGTGTGTCATCCATACATATCACTCTATACTAAAACAGCATTGCCAATTTTACACATTATGGCTTTCTTGTAACGAGCGTCACGGCTCGCGCTGTGGTGATTCGTCAAGCTCTTTCTCGTCATTTTCGATATGGCGTCGAAAGCATCCGGGGTGTGGAAAAAGCCCATCAACCAACCTCAGACAAACAAAGATGACTCAAGCTTCCCGGGACTCGAACCAAAGGGTCCCGAAACTGCCTCCAAGATTGCATATGAGGAGCTTCAACAAAATGAGCTCATCGCCCTTGAAGCCATTTATGGGGAGGATTTCGTGAGGCATGCAGAGACACCAGGTGCTTGGAAGGTAAAGAGGACCTTATCGCTGTCCTTGGAGGCTCTTGTGGATAAGGATAAACGGTGCTGACACTCAACCAGAAAGCAGACCCTTCATTCGATGTTCGCATCAGGGCGTCATCAGATGAGGACTTTGCCGTCACTCTGGGTGTAGTGATGACTGCTACGTATCCCAAGAGCCCGCCGCTACTAACTCTGAAGAACACTGGCGACCTCCGTGAGGCTACCCTGTTCAAACTTCAGAAGTTCCTCGAGACTCAGCCCAAGATATTTGCAACTGAGGAGCAAGAGATGATGGATCGCATTGTAGAAGGGATCAGAGATATCCTCGAAGACGCAGCTCAGGCCAAGGCAAAGGGGCTTGAGCTCCCCTCACTTGAAGAAGAGAGAGCAGCCCACGAAGCCTTGCTGGCCAAGCTAGCCCAGGAACAGAAAGAGGAAGAGGACCGCAAGAGAGTTGAAGAAAACAAAGAGGAAGAAAGAGTGCTCGGTGGATTGTTGCAGGTTGAGTTGAAACGCAAGAAGGATAAGGCGAAGGAGACGCGCAAAAAGAATCGACCAAACGGGCTGCCGTCTCTCAACACGATGGACGGCCCAAACAGCCCCGGAAGTGGTCGCATAATCTTCGACAGGCCCTGTCACACGACGGACAAGACTGGAAACATCATTTCTTTCCAGGCTGTGTTCGGAAAGTCCGAGGTCGCCAAAGGCCCCGTTTCGACTGTCTTCTCCGTTTGGCCTGTCGTCGGCGACGGGCAGGACTGCCCCAACTTGGCGCTCAAGGAGACTGTTCTTCGCACAACTGCAAAAGAAGACGCCTCTGTCTTCAAGAAACAGATTCAATCTCTTGAAAGCCAGCTTGAGGCACTCAAGCTAGTGCGTCACCGGAACCTGCTTGAGATTTTGGACTTTCGGGTGGAGCGGGAGAAGAACAACACTGCAAAAGTGCTCGCAAGTCTTTGGGCCGTCAGCGTCCTCACCCCTAGTGCTGAGAAGGGGTCTCTTGCTGAACTTCTTGATTTGGCTGGCCAGTTGGATACCAGTAAGGTGCGTGCTTGGACACGAGATCTACTTGACGCTCTCAATTTCCTGCACAACAAGTCTTTGGTCCATCAAGACATACACGCAGGAAACGTCTTACTTTTCCGAGAACAGACAGGGGAAATTGTGCCAAAACTTGCAGACGCAGGCTATCAAAGAGAGCTGCACAGCATCTCGTCCAAGGGTCATGCGCCGCTAGGACTGAGATCTGCGAAGTCTGCTTACTGGCTGCCGCCAGAGACTGCCGCGCTGTCGAAGCCTCATTATACGCAGAAAACGGACATGTGGGAATTTGGTATTGTTTTTCTGCAAATGATATTCGGGCTTGACGTGCCTCAGAAGTATCATTCACCTTCCTCTGTGTCCGATTCAATGTCTCTGTCGAGACCTCTACAAGAATTGGTCACAAGATTCTTCAAGGCAGACCCCAAGAAACGGCCTCGCGCTTTTGAGCTTGGATCTAGCGAGTTCCTTGCCACGGATGCGCCTGTGATAGTGGAGGATGATCCTGCGACTAAGTCAAATTATCATTCCCTTAACACGTTGTCGCCCATACCCCCGAGGTTGAGACGCGAGTCGACGAATAGAACTCTGACATCGTCGAGATATCTGGAAGACTTTGACGAGGAGGGCCGTCTAGGTAAAGGTGGTTTTGGCGAGGTGGTAAAAGCCCGGAAAAAGCTGGATGGACAGATATATGCCATCAAGAAGATCAGTCAAAGATCACAAGCGAGCTTGACCGAGATCCTGAAAGAGGTTCGTCTGCTGTCTCAGCTCAGTCATCCAGCCGTGGTTCGATACTACAATACCTGGGTTGAAGAAGTTCCAGATCAGTCGGACACAGAGGGTGAGACCTCCACTGATGATCTTAACACGGAAGATTCCCACGACACGATATCTCAAGGCGCCGCTATCAACCTCACCACAAGCACAGGTGGTCTAGACTTTATGTCGTCAAGTGGCTATCCCCAGGTAGAGTTTGGCTACGATGATTCGGACGCTGAAGAGGACTCGGACGAGGAAGAGGAGGATGACGAAGACTCGGACGAGGAAGAGGATGAGAGCGACTCCGATTCTGACGACAGCAGTCAGGCGGTCGGGCCTGGACCGAGGGGGAAAGAGATATTGAGGAGAAACCATTCGTACCGATCTTCCAGGACCGTTTTGTATATCTCCATGGAATACTGTGAGAAAAGGGTAAGCTACATTGCTGTCAACGGAGAGTCTGAACTGAAAAATGAGGGCTTGACTGACAACCGTAGACACTGCGGGATTTGATTACAAGAAAGCTGTATCAAAACACACCGGAAATATGGCGCCTGTTTCGGCAAATACTCGAAGGTCTTGCCCATATTCACGGTCTCAGCATTGTCCATCGAGATCTCAAACCCGAGAACATATTCATTGCTCATAGTAGCGATGGAACGGACAATGTCAAGATTGGCGATTTTGGACTGGCGACCAGCGGCCAATTTGCCGCTGACAGGGTCATGTCTAACACCATGGAGTCAGATGACTTCACCAGAAGCATTGGGACTACTTCTTATGCCGCACCGGAGGTACGATCAGGGTCTAGCGGAATGTATAGTGCCAAAGTCGACGTAAGTTTGGTCCCCCAAATTCTGTTCCCACCCCACTTGTGCTGCTGTGGTGCTGATGTCGCCCAAGATGTACTCTTTAGGTATAATCTTCTTCGAGATGTGTTATCCCCCGATGCTCGGTATGCAAAGAGCCGATGTTTTGGAAAAGCTTCGGCAACCCAATCCCACGCTTCCTCCGGACTTCAAGCCTGCAGATCAAGTACAGACAGATATTGTCTTGTCTCTCGTAACACATAACCCGAAAGAACGACCTTCAAGTGCAGAACTGCTGCAGAGCGGAAAGCTTCCCGTACAAATGGAGAGCGAGACCATTAGGCGCACGCTCGCAGGTCTCGCAGATCCTAGCTCACCGTACTACAAGAAGATGCTGTCGACCTTGTTCTCCCGGCCACTGGAACAGGCCAAAGACTACGCTTGGGACATGCACGAGACGAGCCCTAGTCAGGCAGACTTACTGAATCAGAGCATCGTGAAAGAAACTCTGATATCCATATTTCGCCGACACGGAGCTCTGGAGTGCCAGCGAACTTGTCTCTACCCGCGTTCCGCTCATTATGCCGAGAATGTTGTGAGTCTTCTGGATTCGAACGGAACAGTGCTGCAGCTCCCTTTCGATCTCACAATGGGCCACGCAAGGATGCTTGCCAAGGGCAGCGGAACACCGGGCGTCCAGCGAACCTTCACATTCGGCAACGTCTTCCGCGACAAAGGGGACACCGGGCAGCCTTACATGCTCGGCGAGGTCGATTTTGACATTGTCACGACCAATACCCTCGATCTAGCGTTGAAGGAAGCCGAGGTTCTGAAGGTGCTCGACGAAATCATTGCGACCTTCCCCTCGCTGTCCTCCAGCCAGATGTGTTTCCACCTTGGACATTCCGACCTGCTGCAGCTCATATTTGACTACTGCCGAGTCGAGCATGGGTCACGAAGAGCCGTGGCAGACGTGCTCAGCAAACTGAATATCCACCACTGGACATGGCAAAAGATCAGGGTGCAGCTGCGGTCGCCCTTGGTTGGCCTATCAGCGACCAGCGTGGATGAACTACAGCGATTCGACTTCCGAGGTGGGTTGCGAGCAATGGATAATGTCGACGTGGGAACTAACAAGGCGCAGATACCCCGTCGAAAGCTTTCTCGAAGCTCAAGACCATTTTCGAGGGCACCGACATGTACCAACGTGCTTCTTCGACCTTGGCGCATCTCAGAGAGGTGTCAGAATATGCTAAACGTCTCGGCGTTGCAAGCAAGATTTACATTACTCCTCTGAACAGTCTCAAGGAGAGTTTTTACACCGGGGGAATCCTGTTCTCATGCCTCTATGACAAGAAGGTCAAGGATGTTTTCGCCGCAGGTGGCCGATACGACAGCCTCATCAAAGAGAACCGTCCCCGAATCGGCAGCCATTACGAAGAGCGCCACGCTGTGGGGTTCAATCTATCTTGGGAGAAGCTTTCCAGGCCCCCCAAAAGCGGCGGGAAGGCGTTCCTGAAGAAATCGGAAGAAGAAAGCTACAACATCTTTAACAACGCCAAGAGAGTAAGTCCCGAGGGAACGCCCCCCCCTATCTTTGGCATATTGCTCACGTTCTCCGCAAGTGCGACGCCCTGGTGGCCAGCTTCGATGCCGCTGCCCTGCGGTCCACAGGAATAGAAATCCTGCAGACGCTCTGGTCGCACAACATTAGCGCCGAGCTTGCTAAAGACGCACGCTCACCGGAAGAACTGCTGTCCCGAAACCGCGACGAGGGCTACTCGTGGATTATCATCATCAAGCAGGATGCGATCCTGAAGGTAAAGACGATGGATAAGAAGGACATCCCCGACGTCGACATACCGATGGCGCAGCTGTTATCGTGGCTGCGGGGTGAGATCCGGGAGCGGGACTCCAAGTCCGTGGCTAAGTTGAGGAGCAACACCCAGCTGGCCGAGACGGGCGGCACAGCGGAGGCGCACCAGGAGCAAGACGTGCGCGTGCTGACGGCGCAGACGAGAAGCAAGAAGTTCAATCGGAAGACGGTCGTGGAGCAGGCGCAGGTGAGCGCCGCCAGTCTGGTTCACTCATTCCTAGACGGGCCTATTCTGGCCGTCGAGACGACAGACCAGGTGATGGAGCTCATCAGAGATACGTGCTTGTCGGACGGGGAGAGCTGGCGCAAGGTGGAGCACAGCGTGACGACGGCGGAGAAGAAGTACGTGCGGGAGATCCACGACATGCTACTGAATTGGAAATGGGACTGGGAGAAGAAGACTGCCAACCGGCATTCGTTCCTGTACAACTTCAGGACGGGGAACTGCATCTACTACGACCTGGGGGCGTAGCAGAGGTTGAGCTGCTAAGATAAAGGATAGCCGCCAGAGGGAAGCATTCGCAACAAAAACAAAAACTACTCTAATGAAGTAAGAAGCATTGAGCACACCTCTCCTCGGACCTTGGGAGTCGTTACCAGTAGCCTCGTGAGTTTGGGATCGGCCCGTAGTTGCTTGCAGTCGGGGGTCGGTGCCAAGGGACGATGTGCTTCGCGGGGCACACTCAAGTTGCACGGCTTAGCGGGACGATCGGACAAAGCATTGGGTTCATGGGGTTCGAGTTTCCCCTTGAATGGTGGGGGGGGCGGAGGCGGAGAGAAGCGGCTGCGCGCGACGCTTTGTTGGGCCTCCTGGTTTGTACATCATGCACTGGCCAGACTCGCGGTCAGGTACCGAAACGGAACGCAGGTCGGATTAGCTATGGGCTCATCGAGGGCAGGGAAGATTCCGGTTCCTGGCCGACATGGAGCGAATGAACGTTAAAAGAGGGAATCGCGAGGCATCCGCGTCCTCCCTGCCCCAATAGCTAAGGGTAGCCCCGTATGTATGGTAGGCTCCCTTGTGGACGTTTTGAAGTCATTGCAGCAGGTTTGTTGAAGCGATGGCGCAAGTGATTCCCGCAATTGGCTAGCTACCAAGGTGCATTTCTTACGTGATGCAACTGCAACGGGGGGGCATTTGAGAAAGGGGCTGAAAGGCACGGACAACAAAGAGAAACCAGGCGTGTTTGCGTAGGGAGCGAGCAACTGGCGAATCCGGAACAGTCGACGTCTAGCCCTTTGCAGAGGACTTGTTTTATTTGTTACGGAAGTTGCGGGATTCCACTGGCTTCGAGTTGAAGATTTCGAGGGTGGTTTCGGTGAGTTAAGGTAAGCACAGGCATAAATAGGAGTGACTGACATATAGGTACCTAGCAGCAGCGGCAGCACTGGGTGGGGTGGCGCCTGCCTCGTTCACTCTGACACTGAGCCGACCGTCTAAGTTACCTAACCAAATGACGAGGTGCCAAGGACAGGACAGCAGAAACAGGCGTCACCCTGAGCCGGCCACGGATCCGAGACACGCTGCGTGACCTCCTCCTCGGGCTGCCTGGGTACCCAGTCTAGGACTCTTGGGGTGGTCTGTCCAGGTAGTCTAGGTGCCCCGGTGTGGTGCCTCGACTTGGTCCATGGTACGCATATGCAACCTTGATAAATCGCGACAGACGCCTCAGCGACATCGCAGTCTCTCCTTTCCTCCCTACTTTATTGCCCTCCCCCCCCTTTGCCCTGATCGACCCTTTTTTTTTTTTGGCTTTTTTGTTTCCTCATTCAACTCTCAGTCCAACACCCCTCTCTCTTTCGACTCTCCCACTTATTAACCCATTGCGAGGCTTTTTCCCTCTTGGCTCTGCGTCTTCCTCCTCCGCCCAACTTAGACCCATCCCGACCAAACTAGAAAGTTGCCGCCCTTGCGGGTCTTGGCACTTCTCCTCCACGGCTCCTCCCTTTTTATCTTATCTCATATCCGCTACTTACCACCGCTGCTACCGCCACCACTTTCGAGTCAGTCCGGAGCTTAATCGAGTCATCCCCTCGGCTCCTCCATCCCACCTGCCACTCATCCGCTCCTTCTCTCGAGCGGTCACACGACTTGTGTGAGCATTTGCAGTGTAGCCGCCACACTGCCGACACCCCAACGGCGCTTTTCCCGAAACCTTCATTATTGCGTCCGCATGCGGGAACCTTCTGGTGTCTAGGGGTTTTCTCTCTCGTTTTCGCCGAGAGCTTTTGTATACTGTCTCCGAGTCTGCAATCTTTCCTCGATATACTGCACCACCGCGTAACGCGCCCTTCTCCACCGCCACAATATCGGACAGACAGCGTCGTTCGCCATGGCACAAAAGCGACTGATGAGCGAGTTGCAGACGCTGCAGAAGGAGAAGTGGGTGCACATCGAGGTTGACGAGAGAAATGTTATGTCCTGGAAGATTGGCCTCATGGTCGTCAACCCTGATAGCGCCTTTAATGGCGCCTATCTTAAGGTTAGTCCTTGCCTCGCCGCTGCGGATTATACGATCACCTCCCCTAGCCGAGATGGGGCAAAATACTAACAACGATATCAGGCCGACATGACTTTCCCCCGCGACTACCCCTATGCCCCGCCAACCTTCCGTTTCCTGAACAAGAACATCTACCATCCCAACATTTACACCGACGGCAAGCTCTGCATCTCCATCCTCCACACACCTGGTGAAGACGAGCAGTCGGGCGAGCAGGCCTGCGAGCGATGGTCCCCTCTTCAGGGCGTCGAGTCGGTCTTGCGTTCGGTGCTGCTGCTTCTGGATGACCCCGAGATCAACTCTCCCGCCAACGTCGACGCGAGCGTTTTGTTCCGTGACAACCGACAAGAATACGAAAAGCGAGCCCGAGAGACGGTCGAGAAGTCCAAGAAAGACATTCCTCCTGGCGTGACGATCCCCACGACGGCGGATCTAGAGCCAGTGCCCCAGAAGACCATGGACGACGACGCTTTCTGGAACGAGACGGACGATGAGGGCGACTTCGATCTGGGCGGCAGCGACAGCGACTTTGACATGGACGAATACAACGAGGACGAGGACGACGAGGATGACGACAAGCCCTGAACCGGAGCTCGATCATGGATCTGACGCGGTGGATATCACCCCATTTACAGCAGGGTCTCTTTCTGACTTTGGAAGCGGAGTTTGCGGGTGGACTGATTATCACTGTTCCTCTCTATTTTTACCCATTCTTACTACACGCATGATGATGCATAGCGACGGGCCCGGGCGTTTTCACCAGCTGTCAGCCAAGCCTGTTTAAGGCCAAAAATGGATTTCACATATTATGATTTAGGCAAAGTTGGATCTCGGGGAGGTCTTCTGGAGACGGCTTTCCGCGCAGGGAACCGGAGGAAATCGCGTGTTGGCTCTGCGAGGGCACAGAGAAGTGGCGGACACAGTTGGGCGGCAATGATTAGCAAGCCAGCGAGCCGTGACAACGCACGAGGTACCGCATATAGACCAATCAAGCACTTAAATTGTCGTTTTCTGCACATACATCCCCAGCATAAGAACCAAACCGCTTGTTTTGGGGCATGCTCTCCTATGCCTCATTTCAAATTTGGTGTTTCGGTTGCCAGGGGAGGTATTAAGAAATGACTCTGTGCCAACTTTATGAGTGACGCAATCTCTTGCGGCAGCCGGAGCCACCCTTGAACTGCGGCTCGCCAGTGCAAGGAAAGGTTACTGAGCATGGGGGCGACAGGGAGCCAAAGCCGCGTGTGCCGTTCCAGTCTAAATGAGTATGTAATCAGGAGTCCAGAAGTCTCTATGCCAATCACGGCACTTGCCCCGCTAACTGACACCTTATGTGCTTGTCTGACAGCATCCTAGGTACTTTGCTATGTAGGTAGTCTTGTGCACCCAAAGTGGACGGAAGGGAAGAAACTCAATGGTCCAATCCACAGATCTGACGCGATAGAGCTCCTTTAAATGTTCGTTCTCTACCCCGACCGTGTATCTGAAATGGACTTTGATGGTCAGTCTCTGGTAGAAAGTGGTCGTCATGAAGCTCGAGGAATGAAAGTCACTGGGATGAGATAGTGGGGAAGTATTCCCTCTAATACGATTAGGTCGGCTGCACTGGCCTTCCCGTACGAGGGCGGCAACTCGCGGGGCTTTACCAGCACGACTCTCGGCGCGGCTTCCACACACCTACCTGCCTTAGCATTATCCAAGGCGTCCCCGAAGAGACAACGCAACGGGACGGGACGAATCCGAACCTATTGAGGGCCCTTCTTTCCTTTCGTGTTCTCTTGGAGCCCCTTCTCAGCGCTTTCCGTATCTCCTTTCGCACCCGTGCGGACGCCCAAACTCCCGGCCGTTCGACCTCCATTAGCACGCAGCAGCAGCTTATTAGCTGCAGTCCGTTTGACAGCATTCTTCCAAACATCTGACTTAGCTTCATGCGCCAGACTCATCACAACTCGACTACGTCTTTCTGATGGCCTTGCGCAAGCATCGATTATCCCTCCAGCACCGCATCTAATCGATCCGACCGGCAGATTCGATTCGGTCATAATAGCCCCCTCGAGGCAGGGTTCTACGCCATGGCGACCGAACCGACGTCAGCAGACGTCGCTCAGTTTTGCGAAATCACCAGTCTCGACCCCGTCCTGGACCGCAGCCTGGTTATTTCCGCCCTCAAGGTGCGATGCCCATGGTTGACGGGTCGTCAGGAAGCCCGCACTCTCTCGACGATACGCTGACGTGAGGACGCAGAGCAACACCTCTTTGGAACAGCTCATAGGCGAATACTACGAGGGCTCTGACGCGGTACGTGGCTCTCTGCAAACGCACCGGCATCGAAGCTAACAGAGGCAAAGTTTCGAAGGAAGTACACCTGGGACGACACAGCTTTCGGCGCCGGTCGCGAGGGAGAGCCAAACAACACGGGCATAGGTAAGTCGGATCGACACCGCAGTTGGAGGGGATTGCCGTGCTAATTCGTGCGTCCCAGCTTTCAATATCGAAGCGCCAGACAATGCCGTCATCCAAGGGGTCACCCCTCCGCCTGACACCGGATTCTACGGGCCCTCCGTCGGAGCTCCCTCACGACCACCATCGAGAACCAATAACCGATCGCCGCTTGGTAGGATGATAGAATGGACGGCAGGGGACACTACCGGTACTACCCTCCGTTCCATGAGGAACGATGGCTAACGAAAGGATACAGGAGCGCCCAGCAGTGCCGAGCAGTATGAAGAGGACTTGCAGCGGGCCCTGCGTGAGTCGCAAGCGGACGCTGGCTTCAAGCCGCAGGAAGCTGGCGTCACAGATACTGGCGCAAGCGCGACGTACTTCGGGCCGGCTAACAGGCCCGACTATGATCAGAACAGCTGGGCCATGGTGACAACCGCAACGACTTCGAGCCAAGCTGTTGTCGACGGCGACCCGCCACCCTCGGCAAGAAAGCGAGTCGAGGGTGCACCCGCATTCCTCATCCAGAAGCCCAACGCTCGCAACTCGTCGCAGCGGTTGGGTTCCGTGCTGACGATCCTCCACGAAATCCCTCTGGCGCGCAACGTTCTTCTACAAGCCGGCAAGCCAGCTGCCAGTTACGGCCACAATAGTGAATGGTGGAAGGGCCAGCCGATATATCCCCCCCACGTTCTTGCCGCCATGCAACAGGGCGAGCTCCAATGGTCGGAAGACTCGAAACCAGACTTTCACGAAGAAATTCACCGCTTGATGGCCTTCCTCGATCTGACCGAGAGAAGCTATGGATCAGTCGAGACCATGGCGGATTTGGTGCCCAAAACCAACTTCAGCCCTGAGAGACAATTCTACGACACTCTTGACGAGAAGACGGATGCAGAGGTCCTCAAGCCCATGACCCACGTTGCCTGTCCATTATCGCTGCAGACGTTCGAGCCGACGCAAGAGCCAACGCGGTTTGCGTTCCTCAACTTCGAGTTGACTAAAAGCCAATGTGAGCAAACCAAAACTCTCTATGATGCTTGGAACTGGATTGTCTGGCAAGAGTCCATGACGTGGGCGGAGCTCCAGCCGAACATGGGGATGGTTGTTCTCGACGACATGGGCGAGATAATGACCGTCAACATTGACGCTGAGGACCCTCCAGAAAAGCTGGAGATACCCGAAGTCTGGTACCCAGAACGTTATCTCGTGAGCCGGAAGGAAGAAGCGAGGGTTTTCCAGGAACACCTCGCCTGGATTTCCCGGGCTCTATACGAGGCTCGTTCGAAGGAGTTTGAGCTCACCAAATGGATTGATCCCAAGACGGACAAGCTCCATGACAAGGAGGAAATGCTGGAAAAGACGATCAAAGAGTACGAGAGCCATGTGCAGTACCTCGACGGGCTGGGTCGCTTTCGAGAGCTGCAAAAGCTCGAAAACGAAGATGAGAAGCAGTACACGCGCCTCGAAGATGTGCCTTGCGTCAAAACAGAAGCCGAGGAAGCGCTGGCCAAGAGCTCGCAACAGGTGGTTGACAGATGTGTGTGGGAGCTGTCTCAGCTCAGAGAGACGAAGAAAAGTACGGCGAGCCCCCCCTCCCTGGCGTCTCGAGGTTGGAGTTGCTAATCTCATTCACAGGACTTGACTGGGAACGCGAGAGACTCCTTGAGCGGCAACAGTTGGTCAGCAGCACTCTGCTCACAGACCCCAACAAGCCGGGCTTGACCAAGCCGTTCACCGGCAAGAAGTATCTTCTCAGGGGAATCGCTACGTCGCCGAACGTGACCTACGTCTGCAAGCGAGCCGAACTAGCCCTGATTGACATTGAGGAGGCATCTACTCCTGTGGACCAGTGGTGGCGGCTGTCATACGAGCAGGGCAGCGCGAACCCTGCAAAGGCCGAGGTAAGCCAGAAGAGCAGAAGCGATTAACAGGGCTCGCATGTTGACTCGAAACAGAAATACTCGTTTGAGCAGGTAATGGAGAAGATGTTTTGGGAGACTAAAGGCCCCCTCCTCGTTTACGCCACAGAAGACGCGATAAACACACCGGCATCGCCTCTGTCGGACGCCCTCCAGCGATTTGCTCGGGCAGAAAATAAGAACTTCAAACAGGAACTGAACCAAGAAAGCATGGAGGAGAGCGTACAGCCGAGGAACACAGACATGTCGCCAATCTCGCCATCAAAGAGGAAGTACCGCTCAGGCAGTGTCGACTCTATGGCCACCAACCGAGCCTCCCTGGGGAACAGCGACACCAACTCAAGAGCAGGCGACTTTGACAACGATCCCTTTAGCGACGGAGACGGGACAATGGACACTGAAATGACGGACATGGCTTCGAGGCAAGGCGCTACGGAGATGTCCAGTGTAAGCTTGGCCGAGTTTATGCATTCTGGCGACATTGACGACACGGCACGGCCTCGTAACACCAATCCACTCAGTCCTGGGCAACATGGGCTTTCAGCCTCCACTCCCGCCGACGATATTAGCCGTACTGTGACGCCAGACAATGAGGATCAGACCAAGGGCCCGGAGATGCAAGAGAGGGTTGGCAGTCCTTTCATGGCCAGACATTCAATATATGGCATGGCACACGACCCGAGGGATGAGCAAAAGACAATCAAGATGATGGACATGGAAATTCCTGACGAGCATCAGTAGCGCCAAGACTAGAGGGCATCACAAGAGGAACATAAAGGCACGCGGTGGGTTTGCGCAAACGGCTTAGGAATGATGAGCTGGGAGGCAAGGACACGAAGCAGCGTTGGCTTCTCAGCTGCCCTGCAGCAAACAACAGGCAGAGCGTAACAAAGCACTTAACCAAGAATAGCGGCACTTCGGCGCAATACCATTGTTTGATACCCCATTATGTCTGTGTCTGATTGGCATGTCTGGGTTGGATATAGGAAGCTCTGAGCCGTGTAACAGACAATTGCGTAGAAGGTTCTCGAAGCTTCCATTTCTCTCGACCAGCTATCCCCAAAGCCCGCAAGGATGGGCCTGCTTAGTGCGACGCTCGGGCCACGGCATGAGCCAGACTCCGCCATTCCCGCCCGGTAGAGACCCCGCCATTTTCGTCATTGTTCATTCTGGCGGCGGTGCGCTTGTTGCGACAGCCTCTATGCTTTTGCAGAGCTCAACCTTTGGCAGGTATACAGACGGCAGAGGAGGCGAGAGAACTATCTACTTGTGCAAGGCGCTTAGGCTACGGGAAGAAGTCTGAAATCATGCCAAAAAGACCTCACTTGATTAGCATACAACGGGTGAGCTATGCACATCCTTCGACCGAAGAACGATCGGGGAACAAGCTTGGGTGGGAACAGCCCCAGCCAGCCCTTCTGTGCTCTTCCATCCCATCAGCCCAGTGAGATCACCGATTTCGATGCCCCGCCGTCGGGTCCCAGTCGCAAAACCGCACGCACAGGGACTTGTCGCCCGCCGCCTGGCCAAGGCTCCCTTGGAATACCTACCTCTGACAGACGGGCACCGAACCTTCCACAACCAGGGCCTGTTGCTTCCATCCAGCGCCGCCGGAGGGCTTCTTCTACCACTAAATGCCCCGGGCGCCCCAGTCAATGCTTGGGCCCCCTTCAGAGTGAAAGGTCCTAGGTACGGAGGTACTTGGGCACACACTTACCTGCTTCTATTGGCCATTTCCTACATACATATCACGCACCCGGTCGTTGCTGCAACATCCAACCACTTCTCTTCAAATCTTCCTTATTTTTCTCCTCCTTTCCCTACCCGACCTTTATCTTGCTTTTTCACCCCACGTTTTCAATTGCAAACTACTCTTCAAGGGTTTACACCCCAGTTGCAAAAACAAACTCCCACGATACCATCGAGCACACTCACACTCGTGGCGATATCCACGAGCCCATAGGTTTGATTAAATAGACGACCGTACTATAGACTGCTACAATGGTCAAAGAAACCAAGCTGTACGACCAGCTGGGCGTGAGCCCCACGGCAAACCAAGATGAAATAAAAAAAGGCTACCGGTAAGTGGCAAAGCATCTCACGATGCCTCTCTCTTCCCCCCCTCTCTATTTCCGCCGCCGTTGTTGCCCAACGATGACGGCCCAACCTCCATTTGCCCATTTACGTACAAACACAAACGACCTTATCAAAGACAGCATCGCTGACTGCCTCGCGTGTACAGAAAAGCCGCACTAAAGTACCACCCCGACAAGAACAAGGACAACCCACAAGCCGCCGAAAAGTTTAAAGAATGCTCGCAAGCATATGAGATCCTCTCCGACCCCGAAAAGCGCAAGATCTACGATGACTACGGTCTCGAGTTCCTGCTCCGCGGAGGCGCCGCCCCGCCACCTGACGGTGCTGGTGGCAACCCCTTCGCAGGTGGGGGAATGCCTGGAGGTTTCGACTTCGGCGGCGGCATGCCTGGCGGTGGCGGTACACGCACCTTCCGCTTCAGTACCGGTGGAGGAAACGGAGGTGGCTTCAACTTCAGCTCCGCGGACGACGTCTTTGCTGAATTTATGCGCTCAGGTGCTGGTGGAATGGGCGGCGCCGGCGCCGGCGGAGGCATGGACGACTTTGCCGACATCTTTACGACCTTCGGCGGAGGCGGCGCCCCACGGGGTGCCGGCCGGTCACAGCGCATGCGCACCGGGTTTGGAGACGTGCCGCGGCCCAGAGAATCGACCCCCGAGGTCACGACGGTGGAACGGCCCCTGCCGCTTACGCTGGAGGAGCTGTTCCGTGGCGTAACCAAGAAGATGAAGATCAAGCGCAAGACGTTCGACGAGTCGGGCAAGAGGATGACCACCGACACTGTCCTTGAGGTGCCCATCAAGCCGGGCCTGAAGAAGGGCAGCAAGATCAAGTTCAAGGGTGTTGGCGACCAGGAAGAGGGCGGCCAGCAGGACCTGCACTTCATCGTGGAAGAGGTAAGTCGGGTGCTGCACCTAACATCGAGAAATTCTGCAAAGGGCGGATCACTAACAGCCGGCAGAAACCCCACCCGCTCTTCGTGCGCGAAGACAACGACCTAATTCACACGGTCGACTTAGACCTGAAGGAGGCTCTCACGGGCTGGAGGCGGACCGTGACGACCATCGACGGCAAGCAGCTCAACCTCGACAAGAACGGCCCCACTCAACCGGGAAGCACCGACCGGTATCCCGGCCTGGGTATGCCCATCTCCAAGAAGCCGGGCACGAGAGGAGACTTCATCATCAAGTACAACGTCAAGTTCCCCACGACCCTGACGGCGGCCCAGAAGGAGAAGCTGCGGGAGATCCTGTAAGAGCGTTGATGCGTAGACGTGACGATGTCCCACGCGAGACGAGACATTGTGTGGTGCGTGTAGATATGACACCAGCATGAGCGAAGACGGTATTGCGAGCGTTCGACCGCAATAAAACAGCTCATGAGGTTTGGGGGCTGGTTTCTCATCATGAAAAGGAGTTGGGGCGTATTCTGGGACACGGGTTTTTTTTTTTTTGTCTTTTTTTTCTTTTCTTCCCCTTTGCATGGTTTTTCTCCCCAGCATTGCGGCTGTTGCGAGTAGGCAAGTGCGGGTTGGTTTACCCATCAAAACGCAAGTGCCTGCGGACAAGTACTTAGACACTAAGCAACCAAAGATTGAAACATTGTTTCGAATGAATACGGTTCGCTCAAGCCCGTGACGGCAAATGTTTTGTTCTGCTCTGTTGCCCGAGTGAGCAGTTTTACGATATTCATGAGGGAACTAGAAGCCTGGTGTTCACGATTTGAGAGGAAGGAGGGAACAGGACGATGAAAGCTGGCGCCGGCCATGACGCAGCGGGTGGTTGAGATCCGACCTGCTCCGAAGCGCAACAAGCCGCTGTGCAATCGGGTTCCTCAGGCCGAGGAGACCAGTTGGATAATTACCTCGGGGTGACCGAGAACGCGCTCACCAGAATCAAGCAACGTTTCTTGGTTCCGAGCGGGAAAGGCGGCCGAGCGAGGTGTGCCCGGGCAGACTGTCTGACGAGACGGGGGGCTGCCGAACCCAGACGAGGTGGCCTGACCTCTGGCCTAGATGGGTTTAGTGAGCGTTTTTGGGCTCGCGCGCCCATATTTTCTTCGCGGCAACATGGGTGGCGGATGCGGGTGACGGGCAGGACTGCTGTTGGTTCACGTCTTGCAGATAAACAATCACCTCTTGCATGTTCGATAACGGGGGCGGACGGCTGGGCGGGCAGGTAAGCAGGCCCCCCGGTTTGCAAGAAGAAGAAAACACGCACACTTTAGAGCGGCCACAGTCCACTTGGGTACTTTACGGCTTTCATGTAAGCATCAGTTCGATGGATTTTCTCACACAAACTAAGTCAAATTGGCTATGGCCTTTTATACTTCTAGTCAGTTATCTTTCTTCTGTATTCGATATGTGTAGGTGCCGAGTCTACGGAGTACTTCTCGTTGTTGTTAGTCCCTTGCCCCAGTATATTAGAGTGTGCCTGTTTTTTCTTCTTCCTTTCCCCCCCGCAAACCCGGGCGGCAGGCTTGGTAGTGTCTACCTAGGTTGATACGGGGAGCATAGTGTAGTCAAGTAAAAGACCAAACCCATGATTGGTTGGAAATCCAACGCAACTGCCAAAGCCCAAAGGGATGGCCACTCCCCGCCGCAGAGAACAAACGAACGGCCAACCGCTTTAAATGCCGCTGCTTCCAAACAAACAGGAACCGTAGGGGACGCAGTGCGTGACGAATTCCGGTGTCAAAAGTGACAGGATGCCAGCCTCAAGAGGACGAGGTCTGGTTGAAGTGCAGGCTGAAACCAATCGTGAGATGATAATGCAAGCGAAGCATTACCAGGATCCTAAAAGAGTAAACGTCTCCAGCCAAAATGAGCGGTCACGAGAGGTGCTAACTGTATACAAACGTCTTCAGCTCTACGAGCTTGGGACTCAATTCTATTTTATCTGTCTCCCCAGCGCGCAGTAGCTATTAGCCAGCACACATCCGTTTTGCTTACCTACTTTCTCGGTATGTTGATTTACACGTCTGCTTGTGGAGGATCTAGTTCGTTTCACAGACAGGTTCATCTCTCAGCCCTAAGTCCATCAGCTATTGTCGCTTGAGGCTAACCTACTACCAGTAAACCAGAGACATGCAAAGGGTATCATCGACGCCGCCGTCTTACACTCAGGGGCTCCAAAGCACCTCATCACAGGATGACCAGGCTCTGCCGTCCTATAGGGATGCAGCTTCAACAGATCCGACAACGTCCCCTTACCGGCCGTTCCCAGCAGTGATGAACGGGATACTACTATATGACGGGAATGAAAACGCTCTTCTTGTGTGGTGCCTCCCGCGAAGAACGCCTGTTTATCGTCGAGATACACATAGGCCTCAGTGGAAAGGGGCCGCTGGGGTGGCGACACGGGATATTGCTACATAACGGAACAAGCAACAAGGACGCCATCATCGCGGCAGCCGGCGACGACTCACCCTTTGCTTCGCGGGCCTACGCATTCAACTCCGCCACTGTCGTCCACCTACCCCCTCTCGAGCCTCGGGCGAACATCCACGATATGGACACGGAGATGATGCGTGCTGGGTTGGTCGGGTGACGATGTCATTTTCCTCTTCTCCATCGAGGTCGGCGAGAAGCAGCACCGAGAACGTGTTGAGTGGAGGAAGATCAGGAAGGGGGAAAACGACGCCGCCAAATCGGGAGGATACAGACTCACACAAGTATCCAACAGGCACAAGGGGACTAGCACGAGCCGCGACGTGCCTCCCGACGCCGAGGTTCTTGCTCTGTTTTCGTGATCGCCTGGTTTGTCCAAGTTGATACATCCGTTTTCGTTGCAGCTCCAAGGCCGTGCGATGTCACTGGGAGACCGCTGGAGCCTCATGGTTGTGGTTACTGCGTTAGGGCTCTGGGAGCTTAATCTTCAACTTAGGACAAGCGAGACCGGGATAGCATTAGAGGGGAGGCTTCGGGGACGTTCAGCGGATGTAGGGAATTAGGTAGGGGTAGATATTAGTTACCGGAATCAGACAAGGTTATTCTAGACGTAGTGGTGCTACAATAAGTAAATGCCCCACAATGAGCGGCAACCCCGCCTGGGAGCACGTTCTCGTCTTTCTTCACAGGCCCGCGCGCTCTTTCTCCCGATTTCTCCGGTTGGAAGCGCAGGGGGAGGGAGGTCTGTTTCCTGCTGACATGCCCAGGACGAAGGCGGCGCTGCTGCTGGTGAATGTAAAGCGAGGTGAAGGGGGTCGTTATTAAGCGCAGTAAGAGGCAGAAAGAGGAGTGCCCATGCGGAGGGAGCAGATCGAGATGAAAGGCCCCCCGTGGGACAAACGGTTGGTTGCTGTGGCCCCTTCCGCCGGTGTTGGTATCCTGCTTATTCGTACTTGGTCTCCCTCTGCTCATCCGACAATCCCCCGGGCCTCGGCGACTGGCCTCGTCGCTGTCATCGTCGCATTCTACAATGGCACGCACGAGGAGAATGCCCGCGCTGTTTCAGTAACCACCGCATGGTGCGCTACTGCGATGGTTGTAAACCCCGCGGCTATGACGACACTCGACATGTGGGAGAAGGACTGCTGTGAGACGGCGCCCGGTGGAAGGAGGGGGAGGGGCAGATTAAGGCATTTGGTGGGGGTGCGACCATTCTAGGTTAGGTACCTTGGAGTGATTGGGGAGGGGGGGATCATGTGCGGCGCCGGTTACTCTAAACTGGTGTAAGACCATTTCCCCTTCGAGAGCTTTACAGCGCCTCCCATTGGGCTCTTTGGGACGACGAAAACCAAGAGCCGGCTTGGGGGAGGGAGGCAGGCAGGCAGGCCGGCTGGCCGAAGGAAGAAAGAGGAGGACTAATTGATTCCATGCCCGTTTTGGGTTTCCCTTTATTTCACTCATCAGTCTTCCGGCCCTTTTCCCATTTTCTCCCATTTCCCTCTTCCAATCCCAAGTCCAAACCTCGTCTCCAGTATCGACTGTCAGCGTAGTCTTTGTTGCTTCTTCCAGCTCTCCATCGTCTGGCGTTTCAACTTGTCAATTGGCCTCGGATCATAAGCTTTTTCGCTACGCGTCTGACTCGACATAGATCGGCGAACCCCGCTCTTGACGCTCATCATAGACGCAGCTCTCCACCTCGCCGGAATCCCATCCGTAAATACCGCCAACATGCCCCAGGTGAGTGTTGTGATGTACACACGCTGTGTCTGAGCCCCGGGTCGCGAGCCCATCGAGGCTGACGAAAGGCCTCCCTCTCCAGATCACCACCCTCCTGTTCGACTGCGACAACACGCTCGTCCTCTCCGAGGAGCTCGCCTTCGAGGCGTGCGCCGACCTCATCAATGAGATTTGCGAGGGCCGCAATATCAAACAGCGCTTCACGGGCGAGAGCCTGATCAAGGAGTTTGTCGGCCAGAACTTCCGCGGCATGCTGCTCGGCCTCTCCAAGATGCACGGCTTCGAGATGACTCCCGAGGAGCTCGAGACGTACGTAACGCGCGAGGAGGACGCCGTCATCGCCAAGCTCAAGGCCTCCCTCAAGCCCTGCCCTGGCGTCGACGAACAGCTCGAAGCCCTGCAGAAGAGCGGCAAGTACACCATGTCCGTCGTCTCGTCCTCGGCCAAGCGCCGCGTCTGGGCCTCGGTCGTCAAGGTCGGCCAGGACAAATACTTCGGCGAGGACGTAGTCTTCAGCGCCGCAACCTCGCTGCCCAAGCCCACCAGCAAGCCCGATCCGGCCATCTACCTGTACGCCATGGAGCAGCTCGGCAAGAAGCCCGAAGAGTGCGTCGCCATCGAGGACTCCAAGAGCGGCACCCTCAGCGGCACTCGCGCCGGCATCAAGGTCATCGGCTACGTCGGCCCCTATGCCGCCGACCAGCAGGCTGAGATGGAAAAGGTCCTGCGCGATGCCGGTGCTGTCATCATCATGAAGGACTGGAGCGAGTTCCCCAACGTCCTGGCCAAGATCGAGAGCGGGAGCGCCTGACTAGCCGGGGTAAAGATCCCGTCGTCGTTCTTGTAAGGTTGGGGGAGCGGTTTTCGCCGACGGTTACTGCACAAAGGGCCAGCCATAAGGGCCATGCATTTCGTTCTCTTCTGGTGTTCACATAGTAGCTAGACACTGCTGGCTCGCGGGTGCTCGACGAGTGCCTTCCAATATAGGTAGACAGGCCTATACAATAAAAAGAGAGAGAAAGAGAGAGACTAAAACCATTTTTCATGTCTGTCATCTCCGGTGGTCCATGAGAAAGCTGTTGACGCTCTGCAACGTGGCCCGGTTGGCGTTGGCCTCGGGGAAGGCCGTCATGATGGTGCCGAGCCGGACGCGGATCATGTCCTTGTTGAAGAAGGTGCTGGCGTCCGCCACGCGGTACCCGCCGTCCTGGTCGAAGCACCAGCAGTAGACGGCCAGCGCCGCGCCGATGGACAGGTCCCTTCCGGACTCGCAGGCGATGACCACATCGGCGTCGCGGTGCGCGCCGAGGTAGCGGGCGACAAAGGCGCAGATGTCCGGCAGCGCCTGCCGGAGGTTGCGGCTGGCGACCTTGTGCTTGCCCAGGCCGGCCTCCATGCGGCTCGGGGACTTGGTCCACGAATCGCGCGGCGTGACGTCCTGCGTGAGGGCGACCCTGCACGCGGCCGGCGCCTCGGCGTCGGCGGGGGCGTCGTCGTCGTCGTCGTCGTCGTCCAGAGGCAGCGGGCGGACGAGGATCCGCGGCGCCACGCGCTTCGCCGGCACGCCGCGCGGGGCGTTGCGCTTCCGCTCCGCGACGAGCGCGGCGACCGCGTCCGGGAGGTCGGCCTCGGGCGCGGAGAGCAGGGCGTCGGCGTTCTCCCAGAAGAGCTCGGCCGTCAGTCCCAGGGCCCAGTTCTCCGTGTCGTCGCCGGCGCCCTGGATGTAGCCGGCCTCGCTCATCTCGGCGCCGGCGACGCGGCGCGAGGCGGTGCAGCAGATGACGGGGTGGTAGTCGTCGAAGACGGCGCCGCCGGCGGCAGCGGGCGAGAGCTGCGTCTCCTGCGTCACCCAGAAGGACCGCAGGGGCTTGGCGAGGCGCGCGCGCAGCGGGGCCGGGTCGATCTCGAGAGACCGCAGGGCGGCGAGGAAGGAGGGCAGGAGGGCGGCGATCTGGGCGTGCTCCGAGGCCGAGACGACGTTGGGCGGGGTGAAGAGGCGGTCGGCGTGCGGGAGGTCCGGGAAGAGGGCCATGTTGAGGACGGCGCACCAGACGGGAATGGTCTTGCTCAGCGCGTCGGGCATTCCTGGGGAGAAGGTCAGCGGGGGCCCGAGAAGGAGGGGGTAGGGAATGGCTTACTCTTGCCTCGGCGTGTTGAGTCGACGATGATACATCTGTAAGCGGTCAGCGTTGCTTACTCTCAAGCGAGTTCACTGTCCCTCCCGCCTTCGCCGTCAAAAAGCCTACGGGCATGGAATTGCCAAGTTGGGTCGCGAAGTCGGAGTCATGCCCAACTCACCCATCATGCTCCCCGATGAGCTCGAGCAGGTGCAGGTTCAGGCGGCGGGTGCTGAACTTCCAGGCGTTGGTGTGGCCGTCGGTGCTCTTGAAGTAGGCGCTCGCGCGCTTGTCGGCGGGGCGGACGTACCAGCTGCCGCAGCGCTCGTTGGCGACGAGGGGCCGGCCGCCGAAGCACGCGGCGGCCTCGGCCACGAATTCGGCGTCCTGAGCGATGGACCGCAGCCGGTTCGCGATGGACAGGTTGGCGCGCTTGAGGTCCGTCAGGATGTGGGAGAAGTTGTGGCCGGCGGCCGTAGGGAAGATGAGGTCCGAGAGTGCGGGGGAGGAAGACGACGACGTCTGCGCCATTGTGCGAGGTGTGCGGGGGCTGGCTGGCGGGCGGGCGCTTCACGGTGGCTTGGTTGAGTGACGATACGGGCGTGGTGAGCTGGGCTCGCCTGCTTGAGTGAAGCTCTCATGTGAGAGAAATTTCATGTGTTGAGGCGATAGGGCACCTAGTTCGCACTGTTTCGCACAGACGGTTCACTGCAATTGCATTCATTCTCGCACTGTATATTTATCAATTCATTTTTACGAGATGGCAATCACGAATGGATCTAGTATAACTACAATAGAGAGAGAGAGATAGAGAGAGGTTCATGAGGCTCTGTCGAGTTGCCAAGCAGTCGTCAATAAGCGAACAAGGGGTGCCACGAGATCGAGTCGAGATTCGAGACATTGGAGTCATTGGCCGAGGTCTCACGTCCGTGCTGTATCCCTTCGAGGAGGCGCGTTTTTCAGCCGCAAGCTAGGGACGCAAGGGCCGACGCCTGACATGCCTCGCACGTCGTCCCAAGATCCAACCCCCCGCGCTGCTGCGGGTTGGACTGAGCTTGCGGACCGAGGCGGGAGTGGGAACCCTGAGATAGCAAAAACAGAGAAAGAAAAAGGAAGGGAAAAAAAAAAAACCAAGAAACAAACCGCCCCCTCCCTCCCTCTCGACCGCAGCTCGTGGTCGAAAAGCGATTACCCGCACCGGCTCCGGCATATTGACACACGCAAGCCATCGTGGCTATGCCCAGTACAGCCAAGAGGCGAGGCAACTCTGCGAGAGACACCTGTGTATTCGTACAGGCAACGGCTATGGATGGCACCGCCTTTTTTTCCGTAAGCCTGCTGCGGAATATTGTAACGGTTTCGGCGGCAAAAAGCCTTACGCCATTGTATCCACCGACAGCCACGGACGACTCTATCGTTTGCGCAAGGGTAATTGGGTACCTTGGTACTCATCTTCGACCGGTGTGAGCAAGCACTCGGAATGGATGGTGAGAGGGCATGTTCTATCCGTAGGGCTCCCCTCTCGTACGAGAGACAACAAGTATTCCATGACCGGGCAACGCCTGTCGGTTGGCTTGGTGCGTGTCGCAGCTTGCGGAGGCGGCAGTCAGAAAGGGCCAGGCGGCTCAGCCGATGGTGTTCGGGTTGCCACGGCGCCATACGGGATGCGTGTTGGCTTGTTTTACGTTAGCTTTCAGCATCAGCCCGTTTAGTCAGCCAGTCAGTGTAGCGTAAGTCAACTGACAGCTCTGGGTCCCGTTCTCACGGATTTCTGACGGTGGATGGGTCGTTGCTTGGTCGCGATTCGCCATCGTCGTCTGCAGCCCGCGCCGTCCAAGAAATGGAGGCCCATCGTCGTCCTGCAGGGTGTCATCATTGATGATCGTCCTCCCTTGCCATCCACCCATCACCCTAGAAACCAGAGAGGGGAGAGAGCCTTAGCATGCAGCAAAGCAAACAACCCTCCCCCCTCCCGACAACAGAAAGTCAAGGCCTGCAGGGTTTCAATACGAGAGACGACGGCGCGTCAGCCATGGCTTCTCGGCGGATGACGAAGAAAGGTCTGGATACACCGTAGAATCAGTGCGGACGCACCACAGGGACACATGGCGAGAGATCCCAGGTACACATAGAACAAAAGGTTAAAAAATAGGACGTTCAGACTATTTGCCCAGGAGGCATGGCTTGCAGGGATCTGCCGCTCAGCTGCTCGCATTCGCGCGACGATAATTCGCTGCCTGGGTGCAGTGGCGGCGCAGTGTACACTAAACCCAGCGGCTCAGTGGCTTGGTTCACCCGAATCGCAGCCTGCGTCTGTTGCGTCTGCGCCATGGGAGTGGACAGTCCATCCCAACCCATCCCGTCCCGTCTTTTTTCGTGCACCGTTCGCATCAATGTTCGGAAAGGGAGACGGTGACACCCAATCATCCCATCCAGTTGCTTGTCGAGGAACCGCAGCATCGGGCGCTGTATACCGTCTGCGGAAGGGATCCCTACATGCGAAATTTGGGGGACCGTTTAAAGTGGAAAACGAAGGATACAGAGATGATGGACGCTAAGCTGCTATGACGAGGGAGCTCAGTCGTGCAGGCTAGGCCCACACCAGTGCCGGGTACCCACTCCACTGCTACACCACCAGGGCACTCGTTGCCTACTGATTCCACACCCCGTCACTGCCGCAATCCAAGACCAGCCAGGCTGTTTCGTTTTCAAGACAAGGAAAAGGGCGGACGCGTCCCCGACAACCGCCGGGAACCTTCTTGCTGATGCTACTGCAACTGATACACCTCCGTCTTTTTTCTTCTTCCCCAGCCAAAACCCAAAGCTCCCTTCAGTCCTATCCTCATCTCCCTTCTCGCCCATCCTTCACACTCACTTTTTTCGTTTTTTGGGAGGTTGACAGATAGCAACAGACACTCGCTCCACAGCGAAACCGCAGGTACTCTTATCGATTGGGGCCCCCAAGACTCCCATCCCCGCTGCGCTGCCGTCCTGGGTTGTCTCGTCAAACCCCGTTGCCGAGCCTGATTGAGTTTGATCTTAATTTAGTCGAAGAAAAACGGACAGGGGGAGCTGAAGTGAGCGTCGCATATCTGGCACCCACCTCCTCAAACCCATATCCCCCCCTTTCGACCACCGAACCCAAGGAATTATCTACCGCATCACAAACACCACCGAGCGACAACCACGATAAGAGCCGACGACATCATGCTCGGCAACCTAGACATGAACCCGGAGCTGGTCCCCCGCATCAAGCTGGGCCTGCACATCGTCCAGTTTGTCCTGTCCTTCGTCATCTGGGCGTTGGAGATTGCGGTTTTCAGAGCCGACAATGCCTTGATCGTTGGCAACAATGGCTGGACCTTTGCAGTGGTAAGACTCGCCTCGCACGAGATGCAGCAGTACTCCCGCGGGTAGCCCCTTTGCTGATGGTTTTCCTTTGCAGTGCTTCCTCTCGTTTCCCGCATGGATTTATCTGATTATGGCACCTCGGTGGCCGAGGACGAGAAAACTGGCCAACCCGTATGCCATGGCCATCGTCGACGCTGTTTTCACCATCATTTGGCTTTCCGCCTTTGCAAGCCAGGCAGCATACAACACGGCCAACCAGTGCGGCGATGCCTGCAAACTCAGCAAGGCCATCGTGGGCTTGGGTGTTTTTGTGACGTAAGTTGCCATGCCAGGAGGACAGCTTTGGCGAGACTCGCATACTAACCCTCATCGCATAGCCTCCTCTTCGTTGGCTCCACATTTGTCAGTCTGTACACCCTCAAGTACTACCAGTTCCACGGAACTCTCCCCGGCTACGACAAGCAGAAGCTCGGTGACAACATCGACCCCGACAAGGCCGCTTTCTCCATGGCTCCCCATGACGAGGAGGCCTACGCCCCCGTCCAGATGGACGACCACAACGACGACAACACGACCCTCTACGGCGGAACCAACGCCCCCGTCGGTGGTTACAACAGCGGCAGCTACAACAGCCGCTACGGCGCTGAGGACGACGACCCGAACCGCTACGGCTCCTTGCCCTCGCGCCAGAACGGCGCCATGTTCGACAGCGAGACCGAGTACCACTCCCAGCATCCTGGCTCATCGGTCTCTCCCGCGCCCGTACAGCCGTACACGGCGCCCGCCTACGACGACGACCGGCCGGCGCAGTTCCCTGCTGCCAACTACGATCGCACGTTGCATTAGAACGAAGCGTCCTTTCAGCGGCAAGCGAGCGAGGGGCTGCGATGGTAGGGCCATGGCCCGCCACTGAGTTTCATTTTCAGTCTTTTTTGGTTGAGGGACTGTGCCCAGTGTTCATATAGATGGCTTGGATTTTATTTCCGGATCACGAGGTGTTGTTGGCGTCCCATTTGTACAGAGGTTATCGCAACGATACCAGGCATGAGCTCCATAGGTAGACATCAAATTTGATGAAGTGACGTTCAAAAGTCAAAAAACAAAAGTTCTAGATGACCGATGCTTTCTTCTTGTTATCGTGGGCGTGAACGTGAAACATGTGTTTTTTGTATGCAGAATTGTTCTAAAACGCCATAACTCCTCGATAAAAGGGGACGCGACGGAATCCTCTGAAGCCAGGCGCTCTCTTGTTTCCTTTTTGAAAAGCAGCCTCCCCCCCTCCCCTTTTACATGCAACGTTGCACTCCTCCACGGCGAAGTAATTTCTTGTCATCTTTCCCCCCTTCGAACCGTTTGACTTTTTTTCCCGCCTTCTTTTCCATGGATATATACACATATATATATCCCCTTCCCATTAAGCCTTCCCTGTGAGCCTCTTGATCCTGCGGGCGATGTCGCCCTCCGTCTGCTGCATGGGGTTCAGCTTCCGGTCGCGGGCCATGGCGGCGACGTCGTCGCCGTGCCTCGCCACGAGCCTCTCGAGCCACTCGCGCTCCTGCTGGCTCATGTGCCGCGGCTTCTTGACCGTGGGCCGCGCGGCCTCCTTCTCGAGCAGGCGGATGACCTCGGGCCGGCTCTCGTCGTCGATGCCGCCCCACCCCTCCTCCTCCTCCCCCTCCTCGCCGTCCGGCCCGCCGTCCGGCCCGCCGTCCTCGGCGTCGCTGTCGAGGGCGTTGAGCGGGTCGTTGAGCGGGTTGCTCCGCCTGTCGCTGCCGTAGTGGATCCTGACGATCTTGCCGTCGGCATCGCGCTCGACGCGGGCCTCCTCGAAGACGGCCTCCTCGGCCGAGGCGATGGCGAGCGGGTCGCGGGGCTTGGCCGACGACGACTCGAGCTGGGAGAGCCTCTTCTCGACGCCGCCCGTCGGGGCCTTGAGCCGCGCCGTGAGGCCGAGGCGGCGGTAGTTCTGCGTCAGGGTCTCCTTCTTGTTCCTGGGAATGGGTGTCTGTGGTTAGCTACAGGTGAAGGTTTTTTTTTTTTTTTTTTTTTTTGCGCCCGAGAAACAGAGACCGACGCGGTCGTGGGGGAGAGGAGGGTGTGGTTCGGGCGTACCAGTTCTTCGCGATAAGGTCGTTGCCAAGCGGGTTCAGGAGCTTCTTGGGACGGTTGGGCATCTTGACTTTCTGGCGGCCGGAGCGGCGCTTCTTCTTCTGGAGGACGGAACCCATCGTTCGTGTAAGTGTGTGTTTGCGGCGCTTTCGCTAGTGTGGTTTTAACGGAACGGGGATTGGGACGCAGGGTAATTGTGGGAGGTGGTCGAGTTTTGGTTTTGTAGACCTTTGAAGCATGAGGCGATGGCACTTTGGGGGCGCCGGAGTGCTTCGATTGCTTTGGAGCCGGCCTCGAATTTTTTTATCTTATCGGAGAGGGGCCCAGTCCCCCAGTCTCCCAGTCCTGTTCTGGACTAGCGCATTCGTCCACACCGAGGATTCCTGACCGAGACCTCTCTGCCCCACCCCATCGCCCACCGGGTCTACCACCGGAGCGCACTCCTAACCTCGTTCCCGCTATCTACCTTGCTTTCATTCACATCTCACTTTCGAAACTCTCCCACTCGCCACGGAAGAAAAATCGCTGCCTCCGGCTTCTCGGCACATGAGACAAACTCCCTCAGGTATGCAGTCCTGGCTTGGTTCAAGGGACGAGGAAACTCAAAGGGCCAAGGTTTGGTACGAACGGGGGGGTTATCGCCTGATGCAGGAGCGATTAATATATTAAACTCCAAAGGGAATCTCAGGCTTGGACAAAGTGCCACAAAGCAACGTCATCTCGCCGCCGCGTCCGACAAAAACGACAAAAACGAAAAACCTTCCCAGATCAGAGCGCCGCCGCTATGGACCTCCTGGTCTCCCACCACTTGCCCACCATGTCAGCGTAGAAGCGATGGTAGGCTCCCGCGTCGTCGGGCGTGTTCACCCTGCCGTTCTCGTAGTGCCACGGCTTGTCCTTGCCGATGAAGTGCAGGACCTTGTGCTGGTCCTTGTACCGCAGAGCCGCGGGGATGTAGAACCGGTACACGCTGTGCATCTCCATGTTGTAGGTGAAGCTGAGCCGGAACCAGTTGCGTTCGCCGGCGTTGCCGTCCTCGCCGGCGCTCTTGCCCCCGTGCTGCTGCTTCTGCCGCATGAGCACCGTCGACGGGTGGTTCTTGGTGCCGTCCCCGAAGAAGACGTTGAGCAGCCCCTGGTCGCCGCCGTCGAACGAGTCGACCCGCGTCGCGAAGGCCGTCAGCTCGGCGTACGTCGCCGCGTCGGGCCGCAGCAGCATGACGCCGCTGTTGAAGCAGTCAGGGAAGCCGATCTCGGGCGAGGCGGCAAAAGTGACGGACTCGGGCAGGTCGAAGACGTGGTCGAGGTTCGACAGCACGAGCGTGTCGGCGTCGAGGTACAGCACCCGATGGAACTGCGTGAGCGACCAGAGCTGGAGCTTGGTCATGGTGGCGTGTAGGTCCGGGCGGCCGATGAGGTCGAGGTTCGTGGTCGTCAGGGCCGCCATGGCCGGGACGGGGATGACGTGGTCGAAGAGGCCGCGCAGCGTGGCGATGGACTCCTCGGACATAGTCTCGGGCGTGATGATGACGCATCGCGGAATCCTCGTGCCGGTCGCCCTGAGGGACTGGGCCAGCACGGCTGCGGCTGTAGTTTGGGCTCGTGTGAGTCGGCGGCCGGGCGAGGGTAGCAGAAGGGGGTTTGGGACACGATGCTTACCGACAACATAGCCGTCATTCGTCACCAGCTATTTGTGTACGTGTGAGTCGAAGCTTCTCCCTCATGGGAACCGTGTAGATCGCCTTACAGTGCAGTATGCCACGTCCTCCGTGGGCGGTTGAAGGCTACCCATGTTTGGCTTGTTCTGGCGTTGTCTTCTATGGTCTATGAATTGCGTGTAAGTCGACACAAATCGTAAGGGGGCTGCTACTCCAACCTTGCGTGTGTAAATTCAGGGCAGACGGCTACTATATAAGGTAGCTGAAGGGCAACATGTGCTAGTCTCTCAAACTATATCTCTCCTCACTCCACACAACATACCAAACAGGGGGCCCCCTACGTACCCTACCTCAGCGTTGTCCACAAGATAATTCTACTGGCTCGTGGAACGAGCCCGTCGGATTGTTTGAGTTGCATGGCGCAAGCCGAGCTGACTGGACGTTATGCTTCCCACCTCCCTGCTGTGACCATCGTGGCGGTCTCCCTCAGCCATCGTCTCGCCTTGGTTGGACCGGTTGCCAACGCCCGACGCATCGGGTTGGTGGGGAGGAGGGACGTCGACTGCACTGCACTATGCGAGTAACACGTGCGACATGTCCTTTCACCTCAGCAGGCTCTCCAGACTCTCTCTGCCTATCAACCGGCGCATGAAAACCAAGGGACTTTGGTTGAGGAGGGGTTGCGGTACACGATATGTCCGTTGCGGGTAAGACGCCCTCATCGGCGGCGGGTCACCTTCAGTCAGCGTGGCAGGTCGTTGGGAAAGGGTCGGGAATTGGCCAGACACCGACGGCAGTGATAAGCCATCTACGTAGTGAAACCTCATTGCCCGCTGGCAAAAACGACACGGGCCCATGCCCACATTCGCGCAAAGCTTGGCGGTGTTCTGAGCAGACCAGGCTGCGGGCAAAGCTTCCCAGGCGGGATCTCCACCTCCCTCGCAACGTCTTCCCTGGAAGGACCGGCGCTGTCTAAACCTTCTTCGGACTGCCAATTTCTCCTCAACATTTCACGAAGACGAGCAGCACCAAACGGCGGCCTTGTGCCGTCGAGAACCGTAGCCTTCCACGACAGCCCCGTCGACGTACGAGTCCAGTGTATCACGTTAGCCCCGGTTCTCGCAGATTTTGAGGCTCGACAGCATTGATAATGTCCGAGAGGTAACTGTAAATGATGAGGTTCGTATGGCCCTCCCCCTCCTCCGTCATATGGCGTGAATGTCTAGAGTGGCGCGCCCGCTCAGAGTGGGCTGTATCACGGTTTCCAAAGCATAATAAGCACTAGGAAGCTCTCGGCGCCCCTTGCCTCGTTTTCTGGTTCGCTGGCACTGGGCAGGCGGTGGGGGGACGAGGCAAAGCTTATCGGGTTTTCGGGAGCTGGGACAACGGGGAAGGGGGGACCAAAGTTCCCAGAGGCGCAGCCTTGGGTGGCCTTGGCCCGCCAGGGCTGCGTATATCCTTGTCACTTGCTATCAAAAGGAAAGTCTGATATTCCAAATATCTATCGATGTCATCCAGCGCCCCGACCACATGTCATCTTTCCTCCGAACTCGGTTCAGCTGCTCGATGGGGCACCTTGGAGCCATCGATGAGCTCATAAGACTCGCTCTGAATGTTATGGCTCTGGCGCGACATTGCTTCCGGGCTTTGCCGTGCTACGATCCCATCAGAAACCCACGTCAGGATTTTCCACGCTGCTTGGAGAAAGACAAGATCTGCAAGGAGGATGGAGAACAGCAACACCCCCCACCCCTTCTGCTGAGGGACGGAGCAGAGGTATTGGGTGACGACGGTGGCATTGGAACAGTCCAACGGTCCCGTGAGAGGCCGAATCAGGCCATAGCTCTCTTTGAGATCTATCTGTTCTTCACCCGTACCGCCGTCCCCGGGACTCGGAATCGTCTTGTAGCGGTCTGAACCCGTTACCAGCCTTGTGGAAGAATCATTCAAGAGCCCCCCACGTACTCGGTTGAAGTCGCCCGGTGCGAGTATTGCGTACCGGAGACCATCGTCGTCGAGCAACAGGCTTGGCAGCTGGCAACTGCCCAGGTCCAACGAGAGCAGAGAGTACAGGATCTTGGCGTAATGAAGACCTTCAGTAAAGGTTGGCGAACCGTAAAACTGCGTCGACTCGTGTTAGTGACAAAGTCTTGCTTGCTGCGGAAAGCCAACGCGTTTCGATGTTTACCTCGGAGTTGTAATCCGTGATGTTCTCAGCAAAGCCTTTGTTCGCGATGACGCTGTCATTGTGGGTCATCCACCAGTACAGATCGAAGAAAGTATCGGTTTGGATGCTTTTGGAAACTCAGCATGGCGAGCGGCCTTGGACGGGATGCCAGACTTACTCCTTTTCTAACGGTTTTGTGTTGAACGTCAAACCCACACGAACGACGTATCTGCCAGGCTGGCTCATTTGAGATGCCACAGACATCACTCCGCTCCAGTACGTGTTCAGCAACCTGGTCCCCCACCAAACACCAGCGCGTGTTTGATAATCGTCATTAACGACATAGCCGTATTTGCGATCGCCTCTGCCCACTCCTGTGGTCGCGAGTGTAATGGTTACCAGGCCGTCGTCAGTAACGACACCGCAGCGCACCGTCGCCTCTGCCGTCGACTCTAACCACGATATCCACCACGATGGCGCCGCGGTGTCGACCTTTCTCAGCCTGAGATTTATGGTTGTCGGTACGCAGTCGCGGAGGACGTTGTTCTTGTAGCGGATCGCAGGCTGTGATCTCTTTGCCGAATCTTCGATGGCCTCGACTGTGTACCGGAATCCCTGGTTCGAGGTGAAGAACGAATCGCCGACCGACAGCAGGCGCGGTTGGCATTCTGCCTGTACATCGCTCTGCCAGTTGAACGGGGGCTTCCTATACCAACTTCATGAAGGGTTGTGTGTTAGCCCAATGCCGCGCTGTTGCACCGGAACACTTTCACATACAGTCCGTTTGCCGAGTCTTCTGTGGCGTTGGGGTCGGGTATGTAAACACTCTTCAAGTAAAACCCGTTGGCACTCAGGTTGGCCAGGGAGAGCAGAACAGCGAGAACAAGGCCACCAATGACGACGACTGGCGTAAACCACCGAAAGGGGTACGGTTTGGTTATCGGGTATGAAAACCATGATCGGTGCATATTGCCTGCCGGCTCCGGTGCCTAAAACCTGGGTGATTTAGGGCCAGGTGAAGACGAACTCCTCGAGACGGCGGGGCGACATGTTGACTATAGCAGATCCTCATATATATGAGCGTGTGGCCTCTCTGCAATTGCAGCACCCTTGGCTTTGTTAATACCTAATATTGTGGCGCTGTTCGTGTGTAGCGATAAGCGCAGAGAGTGTCTCTGAACCAATCGCATCAGATTACAGATATTGCTACGTATTTCTTTTTCCGTATCAGCGTCTCGAACGACACCGTACACTGCGATAAGCTCTGCATGATGGCTGCAAGAAGAGCTGGATTGTGTTATACGGGTAGGCAGGCTGCGCTGTCGTGATTTGATTGAAGTTGTGGTTGATAACGTCGCCCACCCACTCTTTGCCGCCCCCGCGCTTCGCCACCCCCAACATCATACGGTAGATAGATATCCCCATTCCTGGCCATCCTGCGTGCCTGCCCAGCCTGCTCGAATGGTGTGGCTGTACCGTGATGTCCGGGGGCGGAAAGGCGGCGCTCTTTTTCTTGTTGATAACACTATGGCGAGGCGTAGCCTTGTGACGACAGCGACGATTTCATCCTCAACCTCGGAAGCCCTGGACGAGTTGGGGGTTTCCCATGATACGAGCCCTGGCAGATTGCATAATACTGCATTCCTGACGAGCACCAAAGAACAGCGTCTCCTTGGGGCCGGAAATGGCGCCCGGGGTTATCACGAACGATCGGGTTCAAGACATTAGGGTGCGACGGAGCCCGCCATACCGGGCTGGCGGGTCGTCTTGACGGCACAACCTAATAGACGCCAATCCCCAAGATTGGGGAGCTGAGGAGGGCTATTTAGGTGTCCAAGACATCAGGGTCTCTTGTATTACAGTTTGTTGCATTAACACTGTCTAAAACCTTTTATATAGTCTATACACAGAAACCCCCTATTTTCTAAAAACTAAAAAACCTACTTTCTAGTATATCTACTTATATAAAAAGAATATAATTTTCTAAAAAAATATATAAAACTAAGTATACTAGTCTACTACTTATATAAATTTACTTATATTTATAGCTATTTACTTAGATTTAATATCTAAGATTCTAGAAATATAAGCTTAGACACTATAAATATAATAAAGAAGTTTTTAGTAGTTATATTAGTAGTATCTAAATTAAAATTCTTAATTTAGATACTACTAATATAACTACTAAAAACTTTTTTATTATATTTATAGTGTCTAGGCCTATATTTTTAGAATCTTAAATATAATAGTAAGCTTTAATTATTAAATTTTATAAAAAATAAATTATATAGAAAAAGCTATAAAGTATATTATAAGATTATTCTAGATTTATAGCTAATATTTTAAGGCTAAAAGCCTTACTTTTAGCTTTTTTGGTTTTTAGAAAATAGGGGGTTTCTGTGCATGGACTATGTAAAAGGTTTTGGACAGTGCCAACGTAATAAACTGTACGCTGACCCCCTTCCCTGCGTTCTCCGCACGAGAGCGCCGGGCGCAACTTTCCGTCTGCCTTCTCCTTAACACGCTACCTACTCACCATCTCAAAGCATCCAAAGTAGTTGCCCGAGCTTCCCGAACGCACACCCTCAATGGCCTAAACGAACTCCTCCAAACAATGATGGCTTGTCTCGAACCATGGCAATCAACACCCCGGCAGCAAACGTCGCCAACGCGAAGCAGCAGTCACGGATATCATGGTGGCGCATCGTGTGCCATGACCAGTTTCATTCAACGCCAAAAGTAGATGGTATATAGTCCCTATGCATGCCTACAGGTCGTCGTCATACGCAAGCCTCCCTCTCTCGCCCCCCGTTAGCCCTTACACCAGCTTCCAGACGCCGTCGTTGATTTCGATCTTGACGTCGCGGTTCTCGTCGATGCTCTTCCTGCCGGCGTGGAGGATGGCGGTGGTAGCGATGGTGTTCTTGAGGGTGGGCAGGCCCTTGGCATCAAGGTCCTTGGGTTTGAGCTGGCCGGCGTTGACCTGCCGGCAGCCGTCGACGAACTTCTCGAGGGAGATGTAGCCATAGCCGGTCTGGCCGTTGAAGTTGCCGTCCTCGTCGGGGGCGTAGCGCATGTAGAAGGGGTTGTACCACATGAGTTGGCCGGCGGCGTCTTCGGCGACGTCGTAGCCACGCTTGGCCTGGTCGACGCGGATCTCGCCGTTGGCGGCGAGGTAGTGGAAGTACTGGTTCGAGTGGACGCCGGCGCGCTGCGGCGCAGTCCAGCTGGCGGTGTAGACACCGGTGGCCCTCTTGCTGGGGTCGCCCGTTTTGACCCAGTCGACGAGGACGGTGATGGTGTCCTCTGTGGCGGGGTCGCAGCCGAGATCGGTAGCGATGCCCTTGGAGGCCGAGGCCGTGACCTTGACGGGCACGAAGCCGAGCTGGGTGACCATGGAGTCGCAGATGTCGACGTGGTGGCTGTTGAGGTAGTAGGAGATGTCCGAGTCCTTGCCGGCCCAGGCCTTGAAGGTCTCGAGCTGGGACTTGGGCTGGGACATGTAGCTGTAAAAGTAGTTGAAGTCGCCGAGCTTCTGGGCCTTGAAGCGGGCGTCTGAGTAGGCGGGATCGAAGCGCTTGTGGTGCTCGACGAAGACGTAGACGCCCTTCTTCTCGGCGGCTTCGATGAGGGCCTGGTGGTGGTCGAGCTCCTTGACGGCGGGCTTGGTCAGCAGGACGTGAATGCCGCGCTCGATGGCGTAGAGGGCGATGGGGTAGTGGGTGGTGTCGGGGGTGAAGATGGTAATGGCGTCGCCGGGCTTCAGCGCGTCGATGGCCGTCTTGTAGGACTCGGGGTCGACCTTGTCGTTGGCGGGGAATGAGTCGAAGGAGGTGTCCAGGCCGTTGTAGAACTGGGTGATGTTCTTGTCGAGATGTTCCCCTTTCGGCCGGTTAGTCTGGTGGTCCACGCGGGAGCCGCGGTGAGTCGGGACCTACTGATGGCGGGAAACTTGGTGCCGTTGACGCCGACCATGCCCAGCCGGCTGACCTTGCCTCTTCTCCTCAGGTCGAAGAGACTGAGACCGACGACGCCGACCTTCTTATCCGAGCCAGAGGCACCACCACCGACAAAGCCGGTGGTGTACTCTCCAGTACCGATCTGTGAAAATGTGAGCCGTGGGAAGTGAGAGTGTGCGAGCGGACCGGCTTACCATCAAGACGTTGAGAGGCTCCATTTTGACCGCGTCGTGGGATTCAATGGCTAAGGATACTGGGGAAGAGAGGGAGGGGTTGATGAGAGATTGGGGGCGGAGAAGACGAGACGCGGAAGCCACGATAAAGGTGCGGTCACGGTCTATTTAAGGGGACTATCGTTTGGGCGAAGCAATGGAGGAGGGAGGGACAACCCGCGTGGGACGCAGCGAGAGGGAACTGGCTGAAGAGAAAATGAGCCACCGGGGCCGCCCCTCAATTATCTTGGATGAAGCTCGCTATACCGGCCCAGAGGAGCTCCCATCTCGTCTCGTGTTAGTCTCGTAGCTCCCTCCTCCAAGGCGAGCTGGACCCGGAACAACTGAGGGGCAGAGAGGAAGGCAATTGGAGGGAATTCACAGCCCCGCACCCCGTGCGTCAGCTCCCCCAACTCTCTGTCCCCGTCTCATACCCGCCCGCCCCGACAGTGCTCTGGGCCGATGGGGCTTGCTGTGGAAGAAAGCACACACCTTCGTTGGCATTGCCCTTGGCTTGCCTCTGTCGAGCTGACCCGAGATTGCTGGTATGACGGGCGGATGGCGCGCCGTCTGCGCGGTTTGATTCTTCAACGTCGAGGGGCGCCGGCTGCCCTGCAACCTGCGCGCTGCGGCACGGACAATCGCACCCAGTGGTCGCGGAGCGCGAGGCGCACGCTGAAAATCCGGCGCACCCATTCAGACACGTAGGCTGGGTGCCACGACCGGGCGCTGAGAAAAAGCCATCCCGAAAGTGGCCGAAACCACGGTGCCGTCGACGCCGGTGATCGGAGTGTGTAGTGGCCGGCGCAAGCTCATGCGGCGCGGCGTCCACAGACTGACGGACAGGTGACGACGTATGACTTTGTTGATATCATTATTAGCTTGCTAGATTGGTAGCTACATCACTGCCTCTTTTGCTGATTCCTCTTCTTCTTGTTCTTCGTAGCTTGTCCGAGCAGCAATTGCGCCTCGAGCTGGAGCTTGTCTCGGTGGTCAGCGGTTTTGTGGCCAGTTTTCCGATGACGGGACATGGAGGGGCAGAATGTGGAATGAGGGGGAGGGGGAGGGGGCGGGGCGGGGCGGTGGAAATCCTGGAGCATGGGGCTGCGCTCTGTGTGGTTCTTCCATTGGGGTTTGGTGGGGGAGGTGCTGTCGACTTGGTAACACTGTGGGAGGCAGGAACTCGTGTGTGGAGAGTTCCCTCCGTTAGCCATGTAAATAGCGAAAAATTGCACGCACTGGCTAGCTGGTTGGAGCAAGAATCGCCGATATTTCCCTCATTATGTTGTTCGCCATGTTTCGTAAATGCCTTCCCCAATTCCCCGACAAAGTTTGGCGCTGGTCGAGACGGATTGAAAAGCCAAGAGTCCGTCTACACTAGCTCAACCTTTGAAAACATGACTCTCTGTCGAAAGCGACTTGAGGATGGACAGAAAACTTTCCTTGCAAACGAGTAAAGCGAGGTTGTAGTAGTTCTGAGCTGTCGTCCCGGCTGGATCCCCCGAACCCCCACGCAAGTCCATCCTGCCTCTTCATGCTGATTAGTGTACCAAGGCCCCTAGTATGCCCCTCATCTCCGCGGGGCATAGACCGTTGGCACCGTTGAGTTTGTCTGTCGGTTGTCACCGCTCTAATCCATAGCGCTGGCGGAACCACATACCTACTACGATGTACATCGTACGTAGTGCAAAAGCAAGCATCGATCGAAACTGTTACATGGCTCGAGCGTCTTCCTCTCGAGACGTTGGCCAGGGGTTGCTTACTCCGAACACAACGCATAATGGCATGTATGTATGTATGTATGCATTCTTGCTTACAGCAGAAGATGAAAAACATCGCATGCAAAGTTTGATATTCAGCAATCCCACCCCAGCCGGCTAAAGGGGACGACCACGAGAGGCTGTGCTTCAGGTTCTAATCATCTGCGAGCTCGAGGGGCACTGATGCCCTTCCACGGTCTCTTTTGTGTATACATAACTAACGCGAGTTTCGTGGTACACGATTATCGACGTTTTGGAGTAAGGCAAGAAGCACACGTGTGGGTAACCGGAGTGTACCTACACACCCCACTTGCCCTTCCCAGACAAACGTCGCGCTCTTCTATTGGCGGAATATCCTGTGTCGATTTCTCCGTCCACTGACACGCCTTCTACATCTACACGTATTCGCATCGTTTCCAACCTTGTTGCCAACGCTACGCTTAACCATCATCCACCTTTCTCGTCAGGAAGCTTTGCAACGGGGTGTTATGCGGTACTCAACACTTTCAGTCCAGCTCAACATGGCCTGCCGGCTGCTGCTGTATTCGCCCGACCTGACCATAAGCTGTGAGAGGGAAGGGACCTGTTGGGACACAGTCATGGTTTAGTACGCCGGGCAAGAAATTAATTGTCTATTCCATCAGCTTCTGCTGACCGCAGCGTCCGCCGCCTTCCGCCCAAATCACCGTTGCTGTCGTGGCTCTCGTTGCGCGGTCTTCCATCCCGCCTGCTACCCTCTTGCGTCGGCACCAATAAGTCAAGATGCAAATGACGACAAAAGGAAACTCATGTCATGCACGCCGGGCGAGCAACCCCGAGGGCCGGCAGCCAATCGCCAGGTGATGGCCAGGCACCCTCCGTCGTGCAGGCCTGCTTGTCCCACACGACGCTACCCAGGGTCCGACAAGCCTCACGCTGCATTGGGGACTACACGTCTCCCACTGGTCGTATCTCGCCCATCACTGTCTTGCGCTGGGCTTCTACGTACGAGTTCATATATCTAGTCCTGTGCTGGGCTGCCTCTGTGTAGATCTCAGGGCATCGACCGGGGGTATCTGGCTTATTGAAGCGTCCAACCTTCCTATTAAACCCCCGTATGTGACACAGGCCTACAGCAAAGTGCATCGTCTCTGCCGTCCATCCCTCATTATGGCCCACTGGCTGCATATAGGTAGGTTATGGATAGACCACGGGCGGGGGTGGCTTGTCTCGAGCTGCGACGTCCAAGGAAAATCCCTTGTTGTCTCGAATGCCAACGAAGTTCCTCAAAGTTTAGGAAATGGCTCTTCGTCGGCATTATTGAGAGACCTGCGGAAGTTTCGGCATGTTGATGAGCTGGAGAAACGGCTCGAGTCTGGCTACTACCCGCCCGTTGGTTTGGCCCAAACGTCATGTGCTTTTTTTCTCTTTCTCTCTTGGACGGGTAGGACTCTTCAAACGCCTTCATTGACGGTTTCGCGAGCATCTCTGGTCTCCTTGTATCAAGATGTACAACCTCGTATCCTGCCCCAGCAACGGCTCGCAGACAAGAAGTGCATATCGCAGGACGGTTACCGGCGACGCACATCCAACTCCGCACACCCCTCCCTCCCCCCCCTCCATTTCCATTTCTCCTAGCGTCTTTTCCCCCATTGCCCCTCCCCCTCCCCCAACTGGGGGTGCAGGGGCGTCCCAGGGTGGCCCGGCTCCGTAGTGCAGGCCTTAGCTCATCCGGCCCTGGTCTCAAGTCGACATGATGTTGGATAGTTCGGGTCAATGTCCACACGAGTAGTCCCTCGAGAAACGTTTAATATTTAATTGCAGGCACATCCCACCCCACGCGTCGCTGCTGAGCCCGCTGTAATCCCATTAGCTCATGGAGAGAAACATTCATCTACGCCTCTTGTCCCCTTCCCCCATATATATAACACCGGCCGCTGCCTGTCTCTCTACTCGGCGCTTCTTCCCGCATCGCCTGTCGTCCTCGCTCCCGTAGTCTTCTCTCTGTTCCGGTCTGCTTCCTTCTCTCTCTCCCACACACAGGCAATCACAGTCACGGCTTCACAGCTTTGTATCTATCACACCAGCCCATCATGACCGCCTCCAACGGAAGCAACGGCCATGCCACTCGCCGGACCCTCCCCGTCGGCATCTACGCCCCCACCATGACCTTCTTCGACCCTGATACGGAGGATCTCGACATACCCACCATCAAGAAGCACGCCGAGCGTCTCGCCAAGGCCGGCCTCGCCGGTCTGGTCGTCATGGGCTCCAACGGCGAGGCCGTCCACTGCACGCGCGAGGAGAAGCTGGCCGTCACCAAGGCCACCCGCGAGGCGCTCGACGCTGCGGGCTTCCAGAGCACCCCCATCATCATTGGCGCCACCGAGGGTAGTGTCCGCGGCACCATTGAGCTTTCCAAGGCCGCCAAAGAGGCCGGCGCCGACTACTCCCTCATCCTGCCCCCCTCTTACTACCGCGCCCAGACAGACGAGGCCGCCATCCACGACTACTTCATCGCCGTCGCCGACGAGAGCCCCATCCCCCTCATCCTCTACAACTACCCCGGCGCCGTCTCCGGCATCGACATGGACAGCGACCTGCTCATCAAGCTGGCCGCCCACCCCAACATCGTCGGCACAAAGTTCACCTGCGGCAACACGGGCAAGCTGACCCGCGTGGCCCTGGCCACCAACGCAAAGACCCCCTCGTCCGAGGGCTCCGGCTACATGGCCTTCGGCGGCATGTGCGACTTCACAGCCCAGACCCTGGCCAGCGGCGGCAGCGGCATCATCGCCGGCGGCGCCAACGTCATGCCCAAGGTCTGCGTCAAGGTCTGGAACCTCTACGCCGAGGGCAAGCGGGACGAGGCCATCGAGCTCCAGAAGAAGCTCAGCCGCGGCGACTGGTTCTTGACCAAGGCCGCCATCGCCGGCACCAAGGGCGCCATCCAAAGCTACTACGGCTACGGCGGCTTCCCCAGACGCCCGCTGAAGCGCCTCGACAAGGCCAGGACCGCCTCCATCGAGGAGGGCATCAAGGAGGTCATGGAGATTGAGAACTCGCTCTAGGTGAACGGCTTGGCTCTTTTTTCTTCCTCTTCTTCCCATATTGTCTTTGGGCGAGAGATGCTGAATGGTTGAAAAGATGAAAATCACACAAGTCGCCCACCACCCTTTCTATGCGCATAGGCCTCTCCTGACGTGGCAGGTGGTGGGGTCCTCGGGAAAGCCACCGATCACCGCCGTCGGGGGCTCTTAGGTCGCGGGACCAAACGTCCTGGGGTTATGATGCCCCGAGACCTCGGTCCCTTCAACTTCCGCTGCAAACCTACCCCCACCCCACTAACCCCATCATGCGCCTGGGACATCTCATCCCAACGAAGGAGAGAAGAGGGGGAAAAAAATAAGAACACAGACTCGAATGGGCCGGCGTCTATAGGTGGTTTTACCGGGAGTTCTGACAGAGGAGCAATCAATTTTACGTTTATGTTTTTTTTATTCCAATGAAGCTTGCATAGGGTTGGGAGCAGGAAGGCAGGGGAAGCGGTCAATAGTTACACGAGGCCACCGTCAACGCGCGCCCGCGTATTAGCATTTGGAACAGGGCTCCGCAATAGAATTTTAGTTGCATTCGTCATGTGTTCGTGCCTTCGTTGCCAGTGCTTCTGTCTATATGTAATTTCTCTAACGGTGCGTCGCGTTGCCTTTTTGCCACCTTATAAGTCGTGGAACATAAGTTTCCATGTCTCGCTCCCCGGCGAGCATGCCACCCGGCCCCACGAGCGCTTCTACACCTTAAACCGCCGCGGGTCCAGGGACGAGATGTCGGAGCTGGTGGGCTTGCCGTCGAGAATGTACTCGGATATCAACTTGCCCGTGGCGGGGCCGTTCTGGATGCCCCAGCACGTGTGTCCCGCCGCCATCCATAGGCCGGGGACCGACGTCGCGCCGATGAGCGGGCCCGAGTCGTGCTGCGGCAGGTAGCAGGCCTGCTTCGCCTTGATGGACGCCGCGGCCAGCGCCGGGCTGACCGTGGCGATGTAGGAGATGATGTCGTCGCAGTTGGCCTCGTCCACCTGCACCTTGTCGGCCGTCTCCGGCAGGGGCGCGTTCTCGTCGGGTTCGCCTGCGGATCTGCTGTGAGCATCATGTGACGGTGACCGGGGTAAGAGACCGGAAGAAAGGCCCCGAAAAATGGGGGTGGGGAAGGAGGAAAGGCGGACGAACCACAGGCGTACACCTCGCCGTCCGGACGGGCGTAGATCTCCGGGTCGACGACCCGCTTGTGCTTCCTCTTCTGACCCTTGCTGGCGCGGTGCTCCGGCACGAAGTCGGCCGGGAGCTTGATGCTGGTGAAGACGGCGTATGGGCTGACGTTGGCGTTGTAGACGACGCTGTGGGCCCGCAGGCCGGTAACCTTGGAGGCGGGCAGCAGGCGGCCGGTCCAGGGCCCCGCCGACACGAGGACATCCGTCACGCCCTCGATGGTGCGCGTCTCTCCCGAGTCGCGGTCGAGATACTCGACGCCTGTGACGCCCTCGCCGGACGAGGCGATGGCCGTGAGCTGCGCGTTGGTGCGGATCTCGACACCCTTGTCCTGCGCAAGCGCCGCCATCGACGTAGTGAAGAGGTACGGGTGCACCTGCGCCGTCTCGGTGGCTCCCGGCATGCCCATCTCCGAGTACGACTCGACGGCGTCCCTGTCGACCCAGTCGAGGTCCCGCGGGAGCACCGACTCTTCTAGCATGGACTCGGCGGCGTCGTCCTGCTTCGGCAGCCTCTCCCAGCCCTTCTCCTGCTCGCCGTCATTGGCGCCGGGCGCGACCGCCTCCGGCTTTGCGACGGCCTGCCTCGACCTTTCAAGCATCTGCTTGGTGACGAGGGCCTCGAAGCTTCCGCAGTTCACTCGGCGGTATCCCCATCGCTTCTCGCCCCCGTACTCGGCGGCGAGCTCCTTGTGTAGGCGGTACGACAGCGGCACGAGGCACTGCGGGTAGGCCCAGAGGGCGAGCAGGCCGCCTGCCTTGCCCGAGGCCCCGGACGCGACCGCTGTGGCCTCGAGGATTGTGATACGGTGCAGGGCGGGATTGTACTTGGGGTGTCTGGTGAGGAAGTAGGCAGTTGTGGAACCAATGATGCCACCACCTGCGAAGGACGCGGGAACACCCCCCCCCCGTCTGAGATCAGCTTCTGGCGGGTGGCCTCGAGACGGCTCTGCGCGGGGGGGAAACGTACCGACGATTACAATATTTCGCCTGGCTTGGGAGTCCATGACTGGCAGCGGCGGCGGTATCAATGCCTCTTTGAGGATTCGTGCGGCGGCCAGTTGTAACGATTTCTCGCGGCGCTGCTTCTTCGTCTTCGTCTTCGTCCTCGCCTTCTTCCCGACGGCGGGCATTTCGTCACCATGCAGCACGGGCCGGGGGAGGATGGCGGGGTAGTCGTTCCTTATCGATAACGGGCGGTGAAGCAGCGGGATTTGGCCCGGCACAGCACAAGCAGCACACCCCCCGATGGTGGCGGGTGGGTGCAGCTCGACCGACGTGATTGATCGGTTCACGACACCGAGATGGACGGAGGGACTGGAATTAGCGACTGGCCCAGGGAGGGGAAGCACAGTGCAACTGGCGGGGTTTCTATCCAGATCTGGAAATCACCTCGGGAAAGGCGGGAGCCATGCCGGAAACAGGATTGATCCGCAGGAGAGTCGCCATGCGCTTGACCCTTGGTGCTGAGTAATTCGAGTTCGGTGCGCAGACGGGGGAAAGTGGTGATCCAGTCGAACATGTCGGTCTTTCCTCAACTTGGACGGGTCACCGTGCCGGGAGGTCGAGTTATCATCCATCAGCGGATGCCGACTCGGACACCGGAACAACGCATTAGCCCGACTGTCTCCACTCTCACATGACGGAAAAGTGGGGTTCCAAATCGGGGCTCTGAAGCAATTCTAAATGTGTTGGTCAAATTTAGAAATTGGTGAACGTACGATACATACGTTGTAGATCGAACAAGAACCCAACGTGTTTTTCTGGTTACCTAGATCAGTAATGCAGCAACGCTGGGGTTTGAAACACAAACAATAGTCGACAGAGGTGCCGTGCTTTGTACCTCTGCCGATGCAGAGCTCCCAGTACTTTCGTCCATCGCAATTGAGCTCCACTTTTGGCCGAGGCCCCCGTCGCGACCCCTCCGGGTTTGTCTCCTTGGAGCTCTAGCTCTCCAGAGTGTGCCCAGTGTGGACAGAGGCACTAGGATTACCTGTAAGGGAGTGTAGCTTCGATGCTTGTGCGCATCCGTGCCGCGGGGGGCCATTTCAAACCGGATTGAAACTTCTCCCCGGCAGTCCACAGCCTGCACCCACCTACCTACCCTTACATACCTATTAGGACTTGCATCCCTCGTGGCGTCAACCAGTAGCATGTTCCGTCGGTTACATACCAGAGCCCCTCCTTCTCCCATAACAACCGCCTCTTCCGGATTTGTGCATCCGCGACATCGTCTTCCCTCCTACAACTTCCTCAAGACTCGAGCATCACCAACGCGATCGCTTCTTATCAACAGCAAGCTCCAAGTGCGGGGTACCATCGCCGCAAACACGAATAAGCAGCTCCACACAACCGTAGCAATGGCATCGGCAACTAGCTTCTACGACTTCAAGCCCCTGGACAGTATGTGATGCCTTTGTATCCTCCCCCCTACCCTCCCTTCGTCCTCCCTCTCCGTGCATGCACGCCATCTACCCGCAGTCGCGTCCCCCGTTGCTGATACTCGTTCCGCACAGAGCGCGGCCAGGAGGTCCCCCTCGCCGACTACAAGGGCAAGGTCGTCCTCATCGTCAACACAGCCTCTAAGTGCGGCTTCACGCCCCAGTATGCCGGCCTCGAGAAGCTCTACAAGGACATCAAGGAGAAGCACGGCGACGACTTTGTCATCCTCGGCTTCCCCTGCAACCAGTTCGGCGGCCAGGAGCCCGGCTCCGACGACGACATCCAGAACTTCTGCCAGGTTAACTACGGCGTCTCCTTCCCCATCATGCAGAAGACGGATGTCAACGGCGACGACGCGAACCCTGTTTTCCAGTGGCTCAAGGAGGAGAAGCCCGGCATCATGGGCCTCAAGCGCATCAAGTGGAACTTTGAAAAGTTCCTTATCGGCCGCGACGGCCAGGTCAAGGGCCGCTGGGCCAGCACCACCAAGCCCGAGTCCCTCGAGAAGCCCATCCTCGAGGAGCTGGAGAAGAAATGAGGCGGGAGCAGTACATTGATACCCAGAGCGCGTCGCTCTGTCACACCGATATCTGAGGGAGGGAATTGAGGGACGTAGCTTCCATCGCGTCGAGGTGACGGTGAGGAAGCGCTACTGTCTTTGATCGAGTTGCGAAATGTAGTCAACCGATATAAAACAATCAGAGTGGTTTAATCTACCTCAGGGCCTTTGAACACGTGCCAATGACGTCCGGGAAACGTAATCTCACATGGTGAGCCAAGGTCGTAAGCTGATTGATTCCGTCTTTGTCTTCGCCCCAGCTGTGCCCCGAAGCCCCCCACGCACCGCTCACATTCGACAGCAGTAGTCAGTGGCTAGCTACGCGCCATCGGGGAGACTTGGCCGTGCGGCATGCCAATGCTGCAAAGGCGCCGCCTTGGGCACCGCACCCGATTTAAGGCTGTTGGGTCGTGCCGTTTATGCGCCTGCTCTGTCCGAGCTGATGGGACTGTCCGCGCGAACTATAATACAACTACATGTCTTGCTCACGCACATCATATACCCCAGGCTCTTCAGTAATTGGGCTGACGGCGTGTTGCATTCCATCATCCTGACCTTCTTGTTCAGGCATTGTCACGAACTCTGATCTGGAAACGAGCTTGGCTCTTTGTGGCATAATACAGACGGCCCTTCTTTGACAGCTTCATTGGCAGTGCACGAAGAAGGCGGTACGGCTCTCTGCCTCTGGTTCTCGTAAGCACTAAACGAATATCCAACTGCATGAATGTATAGCATCGGCTTGTGTGATCTTGAGACTACAATCTTCGGCGTACACGAGACACGTCGCCAGGCTAGAAGAAGAAAAAGCAATGCCATTGGAGTTTGATGCTGCGTTTGAACAAACACTATCATACAGTTTCCGAGTAACAGACGACGTTGCACTTCCCGCTTCGGCTCGTGCCGGTTCGCTCTTATGCCTGGGCATTCCGGGCAGTCTGTGGGATTTCGGGGCTAGCTATCTTAAAGGTTCAAGGTCTTGCGGTGTTCATGTATAGATGCTGCTTATTGGATAAACTTCATACTACTGTTCAAAGGCATAGCATCTTGATGTATACAGCACCCCTCCAGTAGCTACCACTGCCGTCCTAGCACTAAATACTGATGACTTCGGTTTGAATTGGGACACGACTCGCGAAAGTTATGATACACGGTAGAATCTCTGGAACGAGGACTACGGGACTATAGAGGTCTTCAGCATGAAGAGGTTCTCTGGGTGTCTGATAACCCAACGACAAAACACCGGAGCGGCTCTGACATACCCATCCAAAGGAGCCCGCTCGGGCTCGCATTCAAAGGCTCTCAACCTGCCGCTGTGAACTCACGCCTGTGTCCCCGTCACCCATGACGAGCTAGTGACACCGCTCACCTCAACTCCCCGTACTAGAACGCGGGCACTCAAGGAGCTACGCCGCACTCGTTATCCAGGGTCAAAGTCGACGCAACAACGGCGGCAGGATATTGGTCTTGCTACTCTTGTGGGCGTTTTTTTTCTGGTAAATATCTAGTTCTTCAAGCCAATCTTCTACTTGGCTACCTTGACTTCCTCGTCGCCTCTGTGTTTGTTACCGGGAGCCTCATTTTTGGATTAGCGGTCGTGGACGACATCTGAGAGGTTGGAATCCAAGGCTGGAATCCATCGTTGCAACGCCGTGATTCTTGGCTGTCGTTTTCAAAACTGGAAAAGATCACAAACATGACTTGTATCATGGGCTAGCATTCATCTATTCCAAGCCCCGGGCCGCGGCTCGCATGCTTTGGCCGCCACGTCTCGACAGCCCGGCGTGCGAGGTTGGCGTCCTCATTGACTGCCCAAGTCGTGGCTGCACGTTGCCTCGGTGATGAATCATTTTAATAAAGAGGTGGAGAATTATAACGTTTCTCAAGCCTTTCTACTGGAACATTTGTCGCTGAGGTTCTTCATCTGCTCACTCGGCACTCATCTGTGCTCACCGCTGAGTCTCTCAGTACCCCCATTGGGAGAATGAATGGCCAGAAACCCATCGCCTCTTATAGCTTGTGGGATAAATACACGCTGCTGATCGTCATGGCAAATGCTTCTACCGTTAGAATAATGGTTCTAACCATCTCACCAACGTCAGCTGCTAGGAAACGTCTTGGAAACCACGGCAGGATACCAACAGGCCAGAAGCTTGCCGGCAAACCAGCAATTCGGTCTTTCCCAATATCCGTCCTCCGCAAGTAATGCCAGCTTTCCGGCGCCTGACCCCGACGAGAGACAACCGACAACTGGGTTAACATATCCATCGCATCTTGGTTCACAAGGCATCTCCGGCCCACTACATTGACATCCGAAGCAACATGTGTCCGTAGCACAGAAAGCTCACACGCTACTCTGGCAACCGTCCAAGTTGATTGAGCATTCCCAGTGCTCGGGATCTGTTTTCACCCACAGACAAAGGCACACCGCTTATGCGCCTAATGTATCACGAAGCAGCTACACCGTTCCAGGATGAGATATTATGCCAACAACGAGCATCCGTACATCCATCAGCTCGCCTGCCCATTCAAGTCTTATATCTTAATACCCCCATGAGCAAGCCTGACCTCGAACTTCCGTCACCGTAACCTTGCTACAAAGGAGCTGCCGAGGATGAAAGTCATGTACACGATATCATACATTTTTCTCCGTATCACACATCCACAGGTAGCCTTACGCTGATGTGTGTGGACAACAAAACATGTGCTGCTCCATCTCCTCCTCTGTTGCACCTCTCGCTAATTGTCACAGGCCAAAGTAGGTCAGGCCACACCCGGAGACATGCGCAGATGCGCATGACCACGGAGTATATATATTCAGGACGGCGGTAAGGTGGTAGGGAGCATCAGTAACCAGACTAATAGTTATACGTAACGTACCAGAGGGCCGGTGCTGAGGTGGTATTTATCGTGAGAAGTTGCTGTTGCTGCTGCTGCTGCTGCTTGATCGAACTCTGTGCTGGCATACTGTACAACTACCGAGTACCTGCAAATCCACGGGCTCGCCTGTCCGGTAGTCCTGCCTTCTCTCCACTACTGCATGAACATGGCAGAAGAAGCGACAAACACATACAGCATAGGTTGTGGATTCCATTACCAACCGATTACTACGCAAGCACCCTGCCAAAAAAAAAAAAAAAAAAAAAAAGAAGAAGAAGCCGCAAAAGAAGCTTTCACAGACCCTGGGCTGTCTAGGACCGTTCTGCCTCCAGAGAGGCAAGGGAGCCTGCGAGCCGAGTTGCTGGCGTCCCCGTCCGTCGGCCGCGGAGTTGCATCGCAGGCGGCCGGCCAAGGCGAGGCACGCGGCACCGCACCGCCCTGCATGCTGAAGGACACACGCACGCACGCTCGCTCCTGGGCCTGACGCATCGTCCTACACGGGCGTGCCTATGCCGGCATCCGGGGGCGTCAAACGAGGAAGGGGGGAAAAAAAGAAAGAGGGGCGGGGGGTTGCGTCTTCTACAGATATCTGGCAAAAGTGGCAGGACACCCATCGTCATGCAAAAGCTGCGTATCGTATGTCCCTCCCCGGCGTCGGTTCGCCTCGGGGCCCAGAGGATCGATCCGGCAGCCGTGCAACGTCGCGCGACGATAACCATCCCCCATCCCCCATCCCCCCCCCCCCCCCCTCCCGCTACCCCCACGGCGGTGACGGTTCATCGTGAGACGGGACAGGCCGGCGCCGATGATCCGTCTTCGTCCCACAAGGCGACCGCGGGTTTGTCTGCTACATGATATCCTTTCATGGGCGTGTCGAGTCTCCGGGTCCTCACAGTTCACGCCCCTCTTTCGTTGTTCCCGTGGGAGCCGCCCCGTGCTGGGACTCCATCTATAAGGCCCATCGATAATGCTAGGCGAGTCCTCGACGGACGCACAAGCCCGACCTGCTCGCTTGGGCATATCAACTGCCCAAAGGGTACCAGGTAATGGAAAACCGGGCTGGCTCGTCGTCCGTGTCATCTCGTCCTTGCTTCTGAGATACCGGAGGGGCAGCGAACTCTTCCGAGGGAACAGGGGGTGCGATCAAGGTCGGAGAACAGGCGTGATTAACGCCATTGAAATCGAGGATTGCGAGGTCGTAATGACGATTTTTCTTACCTTTCTTTTCCACACTCATTTTTGGGGCCAATACAGCACAGCCTGCAGATTAATCTAAACATGGCCGCCGAGACTTGGCTTTCCACACATGCGAAAAGTATGGTCCCATCCAGCGCAACTCGCAGAGCTTGGCCTGCATCGTGCCTGTCGCCTGTCAGTTTTCTTCTTTATCTTTTTTGCTTGTGATTCTTCATGGCTCGAGAGGCTGGGATGGCGAGGCCCCACGGCGCCAACCGCGCGCGTCGTGCCCGATGTTCCGCCTTCATCTTCTGGCACCGGTTGTCTGCTCCCTCCCCTAACCTTCACACGGGCGAACACGCCAGGGGATGCTATTCTTGCATGCATCTGTGACGCGGCAGTCTGCCCGGTGCGGATCGACACACGAAGCGATTCTGGTTCTGATGTTCGAGGTACCCGAACATCGGTATGCGATTGGAGGTCTGGAATCCCATCTCCCCTCCCATCGACTCGAAAAGAAAGTGTGGCGACGGGCCACGACATGAAGGAGGCCCGATGTACTAATGGCTGTTACGGGCATCGCTGATCGGCAGCCCAGCTTTCCTCAGGTAGACGGGGTGGTGCACGCCCCATGTGTATCCCATCATCCCATGTGCTGCGCGTCCCCGTCGGCGTCAGAGGCCGAAGATCTCGTCATCTTCAGGAAGGCCTGGAGGGGGCAGATCTTGAGACTCGAAGGGACCTGCGGCCAGGGCGGAAAAGGGGGATCGGGACCCTCCAATCTCGCTCACTGGATTGGAGGCACCCGGACACCGCCGCGTGGGGTTACATGCATTTCTCCTGGTACCGTCGAGGCTCGCGGGCTCGGCGAGGAGAGAACCGAGGTTCCCGCCCGCAGAGCAAGAGCGAGAGAGAGAGAGAGAGAGAGAGAGAGAGGCCAAGACCAATGGAACCGTTGCTTGACGAAGTTGAAAGGGCACGAAACAAGGCCCCGTCCGCATCTCCACCCCTCGAAAAGAAAACCTCCTCACCCTAGGACGATTGCTGGACAATAGAAAGGCCGGTGAACAACGGCTCGATAGGCAAGCACGCAGGTTGAGTCTATCCGAGCAACTATCCAGCCCCATGATGTGCGTCCCCCCCCCCTGCCCTGCGCGACCCCTGTGCCGATGCGGGCCTGCGGCAGGGCGGGCTGGGAACTTTTGTGGAAGCCAAGCGGGGGTTCAGGACGCAATCGAGAAAACACCCCCGCATCCCAGCTCTCGTCTACGTAGTGGTACATCGGCCCCGATCAGGCAAAGAGCTCAAGGCCTGGGGGAGGGAGAGGTGACGCGGCATCCAGAGCCTGACGTATCTCTCGAGGAATAGCCGTCCGCGGGAGGCGCTGAAGGGTTCACGGATTCTGCATACAGATTCCTGGAGAAAAAGGCATAAATAGCGCGTACACATGTTCACTCACTCATCCGCCTGCACTCCTACCCGCTCGTGGCTATATCCCTCATCGACACTGGGACCCAGCCACGATCTTTGTTTGAAGACGTTTGAGACGCCACAAGACGGGGGCAGGGTGCGGAAGCGGAAGCGGAACGAGAGGGGGGCGTCCCATGCCATGGTGGTTTAGCAAAGGCTAACCGAGCGCGAGAGCTTAGAAGGGCATCCTGCCTTCCCCTCCTCGAACCCTCAATCTCAACGCGGCCCTGAGCCGGCAAACCGCTGAGAAAAGGGAATTTCATTCATTGCCGACCGCTCTGGTGAAATCTTGGGTTGAAATGCGGGGAGACCGGTCAAAGAACCGCATCAGGGCCTTGCCCACATACTCCTCCTCGCTTCCCTCAGCCGCCGCACAGTATGGTCAGAAGGGGGGGCTACGCCCGTCAGATCCCCCCCCCCCCTCCGTGCGGATCTTGCGGAGAAGCCTCGCTTGCGGCTTTGGCATTAGCAATATCGAGGTTTGTCTCTCGTAATGGCGTTCCGCGTTCCTTGCCAAATCCCAAGAGAGTCCCTCGCTGTCGGTATCGTGGGCCAGCTACCCTCGTGCTTAAGCTGGGTAAGAGGGGTAAAAGCAGTGGCCACGAAACGCACCCGATCGCTCAGTTTGCGGGGAAAGGCACGAGTCAACGAGAGCACGCGACGAGCTTAATTGATCGTTAGGGGCCAGACTCCGATCTCGAGTCCCGCTTTCTGAATCCTCGGTGTTGATGTCCGAATGGGTGAGCGGGCGGCACGATGATCACCCAGCATGTAAGTAAGCTCGCGTAGACGGTCGATCTTACGCATGCGGATGCCATGTTTTGTCGCCTTGGTTGATGGCGAATCTACCGTGGGTGTTCACAATCCACCATAGCTTGTTGAGATGACTCACCGGGACTCTTGTGCGCTTCAATACACCATACAAGTCCCCTTGATGACAGTTTGGCACATAAGGGATGCTGCATGTGTAGTGTATAGAGTTGCTGAGGCTCTTGTGGCGTAGGTTTTCCGTCAAGAGCCTACTGCAGCGCATTGTCAGCCCCTGGAGCCGGAGAGTCATGACGGACTAATTCGTATATCCAAACGAATCAGCTCGCCCGACTCAAAGTACAGACGGCGAGGGAAGTTATCGCCACCAACCCACGCTGACAGGCAAGGGACTCCAGGCCCCAGTCTCCGAGCCAGGCAACCGAGGGACGTGTAAATACAGGTGTATAGATAGGTATGCCCCTTCACTGACGGTCGATGAGCAGACCCTTTTCTTCGTGAAGCTTGCCCCACCCGTCAGCTTTGAACCGATTCCATTGGAGGCGGTCGTTGGGCGTTTGTCATGCGCTAGCTGGCGTAGGGGTCACACGCTTGTCTGCGTCGAGATCGAGATTGCAACGTTGCAGCGCCAATGAGACAGCGGCATCATTCGAGTACCCCTCTGACGCTTGAGGTGAGCCGATTCGACGAGACGGCATGGGCAAGGTCCGATGAGGGACGATCATAACATCTGTAAGAGAGAGAGAGAGAGAGAGAGAGAGAGAGAGAGAGAGAGAAAAGGAAAGGGGGATTGCGTCCAAGTGACAGAAAGTGCAGTCATTGGTCTCCTTTTTCCATCCACGGCCGCATGTTGGCATATCTCCGGTATCAGGGCTATAGCAAATTTCCGAACAGGGATGGCAGCAGGTATGTCCAGACCCAGTCGGTGGTATGGCTAGATTCGAATTGTAGATGGATAGAGAATTGGATAAAGAAAAAAATAGGCGGTTCGGAGAGTACAGGGATTGATATTAAACAGGGGTTCCAGCCAGGAGCCAGCCAGCCAGCTGGCACACCGTCGTCGCAGCGGGATGAGCAGCACAGACATGTGTAACATGTGCCATCAGCGGCACAGGACGCTGTCGACGCACGGGTGACGTTCATCGCGTTCTTTCACAGTGCCTTGACAAACGCAACTGCGTCAGACCGAATAGTGTAGAGGCGGAGGGACGAACGGGGCGGCCAGGCGGGAGACATGGTTTGGGGGTCATCCTTCCGCCCATCCTCACCGATCAGCCTAGCGCGAAATCGGGGAAGGGGGTTCTGGGGATTCGCACCAAGTGGCGGTGGGCTCATTCTCACATGAGATTTGGGAGGACTGCGTGAATAGTCCAGGCCCCAATCCTATCATCCAGCGAATGACTTATGGTCGGTGGACGAAGATCATCAAGCCGCCAGTGGCCAACACTCACGGTAGCGATCCGGACCCTGTGTACTGACTACATGGAGAGGCATGCCCATCACCGCTGGCACGAGCGTCCAACAGGATGCATGGGATGGGAAGGGCAGAGAATGTTGTTGGCAATCACAGTAACCTGTGGCCAATCGCGTTGTCAAGGTCTGATAGAGTTGAACCAGCATCAGGGATGGTGTGGGATTGGTGGGAGGTGGGTGGAGGTGCGGATGGAAGACGGAGCGAGGGGGCTCTCTGCCTATCTCAGTCGACCATTTGATGACCAACACAGATAGCTAACCATTCCGTTACCAAAGGTTGGGGGGTGGGGGGTTACTGATTGAGTGAGGAGGAAGATGACGGCAGTGAGCCAAACTCGAACAGGTTCGTTCTCTCGACTGGTTGGTCAGTCAGGACCAGAGGAGTTCGTGCGGCGCTGCGTTGATGGATGGCGGGAGGGAGGGTAGCACTTAAAGATGGCAAAGTCGAATTTAACTCGTCAACGGGGTGTGTGGGCCGGCGGCGCTAACAGGCTCTCAAGGACTTTTTGCATCGAGCGAGGCTTAGACATTAGACACCACCCCTGAACACGAAAATGGCGTTGTCGGAGCTTCTGTGCATGCTTCCTCAGTCCTTCTACCTTCTAGCGCACCGGACTGCATCCTGACGCTAGGCAGAATGTGTAGGTGTCGCTTCTCGTTGGTGTGTGTCTGTGTGTGTGTGTGTGTCTGTGTGTGTGTGTGTGTGTGTGTGTGTGTGTGTGTGTGTGTGTGTGTGTGTGTGTGTGTGTGTCTGTGTGTGTGTGTGTGTGTGTGTGTGTGTGTGTGTGTGGCTGTCAATATGTGAGTGTAGCACGGAGGAAGCTAGCGGGCCTTTACCATCGACGACGTCGCGGTCCTAGATGACGTCCAAGAATCGTGAACCATGTACGACGGACGGCGGCGATTTGGATACGATGTCAAGGATGTCAAAATGGCTTGCGGGGTCTGGTAGGAAGTCGTCCGCGCTTCGTACTGGTTCTTGGTTCGCTGTACGCGGTTCCTGTCCGCTGCGCGCTTGACTCACGATGAATACGAATGCACGTCAACTATACGCCTGAATACGCTTCTGCCGGCGTCCGGTCACGTCACACAGCCCCAGTCTCGCGGTAGTTGATTAACGGCACTGCAGAATAACGAGGTCGCTTTCTCGTTGCCCTTTCCGAGAACTACTCCGGCATCAATCTGCTATTCCTGGAGCTTGTCCGATAATCCGGTATGATCCATGCAGGGGCATGAGTGAGAAGCCGAGGTTCGTCGTCTATGGGGGTATCGCGATTCGCAGGTATCGTCATGAATCGCGGGCTGCATGTATTTTCAGGATAGTGGGATATTGTCTTGGCGAAAAAGCTTTGCGCTCGTCGGAAAACAGAAGGAAAAGAAAAACCCGAGCCTCTTCGAAGGCTCCTCTTTTCTGACTCGGTCGATGTAATTGAGCTGTGCTGGTGGGCTGAAGAGGCATCGACACATCCGAGCTTTGCTATTGGTCCGAGTGCGTCAAGGCGAGCGGATTTGGACCGAACCAATGATTTACAACCCTCGGAGCACCAGGAACATGGGAGTTTGGCCCCCGATGCTCAGGCCACCGATTAATACCGGCGTTCAGGGGTTGCGGGAACTCAAGAGTCATCGGCCGGCTCCGACGTGGGCTTTGACGAGAGTCTCGGAAGCAGGTTGGGCATCAGAGTTGTAAAGCAAGCAGAGAAAACGCATTTGAAGGGTGGGAAACGGCCGGCGCCAGGAAAAGGTGTCCTGGCGACCTCCGGCTAGCACCATGTTGACGATCCCGTCGCTCCATTGTCCCCGTGGCCGGCTGGCGGCTGACGCCTGGTCTAAAATTGACCACCCCTGATTCTCCAAGGCCCGATTGATGGACATGCGTCATACTGGTTCGTGTTGTTGACGACGTTAGATTCCAAGGGAGGGCGAACTGGCAGGTGCGTACTCTTAACTCCGAAGGTTACCACAACGTCAACCGGCATCGACGTGTAAGCTTCTTGGTTTCCTGACAAGAAGCTAGGGGGAGGGGGTTCATCCATGAAACCACGATACTTGCGCTACTCCTGCATGATTTGAAGCACAAATATGCATCCGGTATGTATCTGTGTACTCGAAACGGGCGCCTTTGCTACTCGACTCCAGGGAATAGAATATGTAGATAAGGCAGGGAGAACCAAGGCGGGCAGTCGGTCGGTCGGTTCTCAGCGAAGCGAAGAGTTGGCAAACGCTATTGTCGGATTGCCGAGGCCTGCGCAGGGACAATGATACCGGGACGGACTATGGCTACTAGTTCGAGCCATACTACCGCGACGATGTGCTTGCAACGCTGATGTAGTCTGATAGCTCAAGTCGGCTGCAGGCAGATGTCATCAGGCACGCAAGCGAGGTTGACCGGGTGGGGGGAGAAAGACGGCGCGGGTTGAGGCCAAAGCACCACAGTCTAGCATGTCTCGGCAGTCTGGTTGACGGATGTAAGTTGGCATCACATCCGTACAACTAGTTGCTCGGCAGTCAATCTGGCTAGATGTTGTACTGTATGCCGGTTCGTGGGAGGGCGCTAGGATGCGACCAGTGCAGTGCACCGCCAACAGTACGTATGAGTGAGCGAGGCTTACCCCCAAGGCTTCCAGAACGTCAGGAAGGTAGGATAGATAGGATGCGCGTCGTCGCTAATTTCTTGTCCCACCTTCTTTCATCTTTCATTTCCAGTGCCATTGCCTTATACCGAAGGAAGCCGCCGGCCAAGCAAGCCCAGAAGGCAGGTACGGACGGTGATGGTGGTGTGGGAGCGGTCGTGATAGTGTGTGTGTGTGTGTGTGTGTGTGTGCGTGTGTGTGTGCCTGAAGGCGGCACCCCTCCTTCCTGAACAAGCACCTGGATTGGAACTGCAAGCCACCTCCATCGAAGGTGGTTAGCCTCCAGATTCAAGTTAGCAGGTTATGCGACGGCAGAAGGCGCGTCGAAGTCTGCATGGAAGGTCCTGCAAAAGCGCCGCCCGTTCTGTGCGACTGGGCAGAGGCTGCGAGGCGCTGTAACTGTCGTGCAATGATACACACACACATACGGTGGTGTTCTAGGCGCAGCGCCACGGTGCGACTAGCCTAAAAAGCAACAAGCGTAAGGGCAGGCCAAGCCTTCGATGGCGGCCATAGTCTGACCTTCTGTAGTACCGCATTGCTAAAAGAGATGAATGAAGCCCTGGCGCTGGGGGGTGGGAGAGAAGGTCCGAGTGATCCAGTGTGATGAGGTGTGTGATGTTGCGGCACGGCCTCGGGGACAGGCGGCGTGGGCTGTGGCTGCCGAAGGGAATCGATGCAGCAAAGGGACAGGGAGGGAGGGTATTGAAGAGCGGAAGGGGGCGGCGGTGGTGGTGGTGGTTGCACACAATGAAACCCAATGTGCGTCTCTCTACCAAGATATTCAACGAGAGGGACGCAGCAACTGCCATTGCCATGCCTCCTGCCTGTGTCTGTGCCACGGGGTACCCCCTCCTTCCTACCTTACCTCTGGCAAGAAGCAGGAGGCACAGGAGGCAAAGGAGGCAGGAGCAGAAGCAGGAGCAGAGGCAGGAGCAGAAGCAGAAGTAGAAGCAGGAGCTCCCCTGGCTGTGTCATTTCCTCGAGTACCGGCACAAATTCTCCAGTGCGGCCGGGACGGAGTCGAGCGCTCCTGCATCCCGCCCCTCCCTCCCTCTCCCCTTCCTTCCCCTCTCTCCCCGTCCGCCTTGCATCCGATACACCGCACCTATCTCACTATGTCTTGCCTTGCATTGGGTATGTAGCACCTTTGGTCTTGGCCGTGTTGCATCGGAGAAGACGACCAAGCCTCTGTTACCTACCTACCTAGCTTAACGACGATGCTCGCATTCTTCTTCGGCAACCGCGTTCTCGGACAGACTCGACCAGCCAAACCCCGAACGCCGCCGCCCTACTGCCGTGCCCCGCTCCACTGCCCGTCAACCAGCAGACCGCTATGATGTTGGTTGAGCTATGGAGACCCTGCTCCGTCCGTCGCCCTCCTTTGCTTGGGTAGGTAGTCGGTGTGAGCGCTTCGGCGGACAGGGTTCATGGGCTAAAGATAACGAAGTCTCTTGCTAAACAGCCGCCGCTGATATAGGTAGGGAAGCGATATCGAATATCATGTACGAACTGTGCACGAATATACCACGGATATTAGACACACGCAAACTGGATGCATCGCCCGCTCCACCAGCACACCCCCCAACCACACGACACGACCACGCCACGCCAATATTTCCCAGTCAGGCCACTGACTGCTGTCTGCCGCGGCACCTACATCTCGCACCTGGCACTATGTGGCTCGGGCGTCTTGCATCTGCTTGGAAATCAGGAACAGAAAACCTGAATACTACAACCGAAACCCACACGCTTGATGCTGGTGTGGCCTTGCTTTGCATGACGGGTGAACCTCGGCGCCCAACGACCGCGACGGAGCGATTCTGATCTTCGTCCAGCTCCGCCTCCCTCCCTCTCTGCCTTGTCCTCCTACCGTTACATTACGGATACGCTTTTCAACGGGTCAGTGCTAGGCGGGCAGGCTGATGACGGATGAACCACCCCCCGTCTGTCATCATCCCGGTCAGCTCGGCTCGAGCCCAAGCCTGCCGACGGCCGACACACAAACATTCACACTACCTAGCCCTCTCGCTCAGGTCGGAGAGATGGGGATGCTAAACAGCTGGCGTAAGATATCTGCCTGGCAACATGACGCGGGTGCCCCCCGCTGTTGCGTACCTTAGATGGTGGCCGACATGTCCTTCGCCCATGCAATCACGCTTTCTTCAGGTTCCCCCGCCCCCGACACGGAGAGGGACTACCAGCATCAGCGCGTCGTTCCAGCGCCTGTTTCTGTCACATGCATTTCCCTTCTTTTCTCACTTGCGTTTCGCTCTATTCCCGGACGGCGCCTCTTCCCCCACCCTGAGCGAGCCACTGCAATCTTGTCAAGGGCCAACTCAAAGACACAATCTCGAACCCCACGCGCCCACTGGCTTCTCTCATCATCTGAGCGACGATGGCCCGGACGGTGGGCCTTTCATTGGGCACACACTGCACAGCACGCTGCTTGACGGGCTGACGGGGTGATTAGTCGGGATGGCATCGACGGAGGGGCCGCCTGTTCATCCAAACAATCAACTTCGGTACTCTATTTCCTTGTTCTTTTCGTTTGCCGGCCGACGATAACACCTGCAATACTACTACCATGGGTATGGTGTCGACAAGAGGGCATTGCCTCGGTCTGCCTGGGTTCGTCATGGTAGGTCAAGCTTTGAGTACCGTCCCAGCCTCACAAGCCACCCGACGACAATCGTCCGTGTCGTTTTTAGCTCGTGGCGCCTGGTTCCCTGCCTGCAGGAGGTCGAAAGTTAGTTGCCCACAGCCACGCCGTTCTTCACGGGCGCCTGTCGAGGTTCTGGATGCAGAAGAAGCACGCAAGCTAGCTGGCTAGGGCGTTAGCTGCCAATCACCCCGAACCTCGGCGGCCGTCTCCGCCCCTCGTCGCAGTCGTTGTCCTTGCATACCCAACCTTGTCCAGCAGCCATGCCCTGTAGCGCGGCAGATGCAACAGCATTGCATCGCATCGAGTCGCTAGCAGGGGCCCAAACCAGCGAGCAGCAGAGTGGGTTTGTGGTGGGTTTGCAAAAGGACCTGAGCTAGGTTGAGGCTAGACGCAGCAGGCCCGGATACATTGGTCTGGAGTGCAGACCATCCGTTTGGGAGGCTCTCACCCACTCGAGTGATTGATTGATTGTGCTACTGTCACTGACAGGCCGCCGAACGAAGGCTGTCTCGTCTCGTCTCGCCTCGATTGCGTGTCTCAGCAGAGCTTACGAGTGAGGAAAGGCTGCGAGGCATGACAACATAAGCCTCGACAGCAGAGGCTGGGCCGGCTGGCAAATGGGAATCCTGAAAAGTCGTTTACCAGGAATGCTATTTCCGGAGGGATCGACTGCCAATGTCTCGCCTTGTCCGATATCCCTCGGCCGGATACGCCAGACGGGAGAGGCCGGCTCGCTCGTGCGTGGGCTGCCAACGTCTTCAGGTACCGACGAATACGGATTGTTAGGGCCGGATACCTCGCAGCAGGGGTCGTAAGCGCCGCCGAAGTGGACGTCTTATCCCTCGTCTGCTTGCTTGCGTGCCTGTCCTGACTGGTGCGGTGCATTGATCATTCTCTGTCTCGTCTCCTCTACGGAGTACCCCCACCCGCATTCCTCTATCACGGCTTATCTTGCTGGCCTCCCGTGCTACAGGTTCCTTTGCAAAACGACCGGGTTAAACCATCTTTCATAGTATGTCATCGATCATGACGATAATACTTTTCCAAGGTGTCTCAACGGCGGATACCAGACATTGCTTATATGGAACCGGGACGCATTCGGTCGAACAAGACGCGAAGAAGACTTCCCCCAAGCGCCACACTTCTCCAACTCGACTCTTCACCGTCTTCTTGGAGAGAGATAGAGAGAGAAAGAGAGAGAGAGAGAGAGGCCTTGATCCTGTCATTTCTCCGCACACTCTCTCTCCCATTCCCCAACATCATTAACCTAGATGCAGTGACAGCCAAAGTCATTCATCCGTGTCTATTCCCACTTTGGATTGGGGAGAGGGGGAGGAGGGAAAGGAAAGGGAAGGATAGAAGCCTGCAGCATGCAACCCCCCTCCAAAGACCGGACGACAAGGGCACCCCTGTCACGTCGTCCGTCCACACATCTTGACCATAACAACCTAAAATCCCTGGGCTGTGTACGGAGTACGAAGTACCTGCAATAACATGGGGGGGGGGGGGGGGGCTCCCTCTCATGCTGGGCATTCCCCTGCTCTTCAGACTAAGGCAACGGACCCGTTGATCTTCTCATCTTCTTCCTGCCACTCGCTGTCTCTTCCCACTCACTCGCTCCTGTCCTGCCCTCGGTAGCACTCTTACTATAGTGGTTGTGACTCCCAGGCCCTCAGTTCCCCGCGGCCACTAAGATCGAGAGAACGGCCGGGGGCCAGAGACGAGGTACACACCCCAATTGCTTTTCCTTCCTCGCACACCCACACAACCCGGCTCGCCTCCACGTAGGTTTCTCTGCTTCGGTCGACGTCGCCGCCCCCGGTCTCTCTTACTGTGCTGTGCACTCCTCCGGCGCATCCTCTACTCCTGCTTCTTCCTCCCCCTCCACCCCCGTCGATGCTCTCCCCTACTCACGTTGCCTCCTACCCCCCGTCGACCGCCCATGATGTACTTCCACACTGCTCGTGCAATACCCGCTTCCCTCTCCCGGACGGGTTGCTTGGTGAGGTCCATGATCCATGTTCGCTGCTTGTATATCTCTAGCCAATCTCTCATCCATGCAACCAGTTCGTTGCCAGCGAGCACGCTCACCACGTCTTATCCATTTATACACTCCTGCTCCCCGAGGCTCGCCACACTTGAGATACTCGCATTGTGCCTCTTAAACCTATTCTGTCGCTTCCATCTTCTGCTTATTTACCCGCGGTGGCATACCATCTTCCCAATAATACCATCATTCCACTATCCACATCACACCCGGACTGCGTGTTGCTTGACGCCTAGACCGTCCCGCCTCTTCCCTGACCAGCAGCCGGTCTCGCACATGTGCTACACGCACCTCGCACTCCCAACCAGGCTCTCGACTTGAACAAGACAGAAAATGACTGCTCCTATAACCCAACAACAGTCCGCTCAGGCCAAGGACGCGGCTGCCGCCGCCTCCGTGCGGAAGCGGAGAAGACGCGCTGCCGCAGGTGGTGCCGCTGATGACTGCTTTACCTGCTCCAAGAGAAACGTCAAGTGTGATCGCAGACGGCCCTACTGCTCGCAATGTCTCGAGATCGGCAATGAGTGCTCCGGCTACAAGACACAGCTGACCTGGGGAGTTGGTGTTGCCAGCAGAGGCAAGCTGCGCGGCCTGTCTCTGCCCATTGCGAAAGCGCCCCCCGTTGCCGGAGTCGCAAAGAAGTCGCCCGCGCGTCCCCGCACAAACTCGATAGCCACCACCGCAACATGGGACGACGTGTCTAGGAGGGGGTCGCGCGACGAGGCCAGGTTCTCGCCGGATCACATTGTGTCGACGCCCACGACGCCCTTCGCTCCCAATTACGACATGCTTTCCATGTCACATCCCGAGCATGCCCCGTCCATGACGACGGGACACTGGGGTGCCATCTCGTACTCGAACGATGGGCCCAACTACCGGAAGCTGGGGGCTCACCTGGGCCCTATCCCCATCACAGGGGCTCTGTCTTCTTCCCTTGACTCCGTCAGCGACACCGACTACCTATCGCCCATGAGCCACTCGTACTCGAGAGACGACATCCCTTTCCTTCACAGCCCCAACGTCATGTACGACGGCTACAGCACCCACGGCTCGCCGGTGCCCCAGAGCCCTATCTCGGCTATCCTCATTAATCAGAGAGGAGTACCTACGTCGTGCCCGAGCCTCGTGTACGCACCGTCAGACCACAGCTCGAGCCTCACGTCGCACATGGACAACTTCGAAAGCCACTTGAGCCAGAAACTGATGCGGGAGTGTGACACACTGAGTGAGACGTCCTGCCCGGCTCTGCTGTAGGATCAGACTCGCTGACGTGATGGCTTTAGGCATTCCCGAGATGGATGCGTATAGCACCAGCTGCAACTCCAACAGCCATGTTTGGACCTCGCCCCCTCCGGAGGAGATGTCGCCGCGCCACTCCGACCACCAGGCCTCGGCCCAGTGGCCCACCATGTTTGAGCCCCAGGCCGTCCACGTCAACTCGGACCTCATCGCCAAGATGCCCTTTTTCATGGACTACTACAAGAACATCATGTGCCCATCCATGGTCTTCATGGACGGGCCAGGCAACCCGTACCGGGAGCACATCCTCCACCTGGCCGCGAGCAGCCGTAGCCTGCAGCACGCCATCTGCGCCCTGTCGGCGTGCAACCTGCGGATGAAGCGCAGGCTCAGCCTGGGCCAAGACACCCGCGAACTCTCGGAGAAGCTCAAGGCCGAGAAGTCGACGTCCGAGTCGCTGGCGGACGGCCAGTCCGACGACCAGTCCCTCTCGGAGGAGTACCAACACCGGAACCTCGCGGTCCACCTGCTCAACCAGCAACTCAACGACCCGGCCAAGTCCAGCCACGACTCGGTCCTGGCAACTATCCTGCTCCTCTGCCACTACCGCATGGTGGAGTCGGGTATTGCCAAGTTCCACACCCAGTTCGCCGGCGTCAAGAAGATCCTCTCCATGCGGCGGGCCCAGAACATGGCGCCGTCCCGCGACTCGGCGTGGATGGAGGCCATCTTTACCTACTTCGACGCCATCTCGGCCAGCATCAACGACCGCGAGACCCAGCTCAACTCGACCTTCCACGGCGTCATGCCGGACGCCCAGCTCCTGCCCCCGGGGCCGAAAACCTGGTGGGATGCGACCGTGAGCTCTTCAAGACCATCAGCAAGCTCGGCAGGCTCAACCTACTATCCCAGCACCGCCCGGTTCAGAACCTCGCCAACAGCACTTCTCGCTCTCAGTCGCCGCTCGGCTCGCCCCTGGGCCACGCCTACAAGGGGAACCTCAACGGCGTTCAGCAAAAGCAGCAACACCATCAGCAGATGGGTGACATGTACGGCCTATCCAGCCATCGTTTCGACGGCAACGGCTTCGGCTCGGTCCTCGACGACGACGAGTTCGTCTCGTCGTCTCTCTGCTCCTCGGCGACGTACGACGACCACCGCAACAACTTCTGGAGGGAGTGGAAGGAGGCCCGCCTCGCGCTCCAGAGCTGGGAGTTCGACTCGGCGCGGACTCACGCATCGCTCCCCTCGCCGGCCACCCCGGCGCAGGTCCGGGACCTCGGTTCGCTGTCGGAGGCGTTCCGCTACGCGGCGCTGCTGTACACGGAGCGCCTGGCATCGCCCAACGTCCCGTCGACGCACAGCAACTTCCAGAACCTGGTCTCCCAGGTCGTCTACTACGCCACGAGCCTGGAGGCCGGCAGCCAGGCGGAGAAGTTCCTGCTGTGGCCGCTGTTCGTCGCGGGTAGCGAGTGCGTCAACGAGCTGCAGCAGAACATTGTGCGGAGCAAGTGCCGTGACATCATGGCCCGCTCGGGCTACATGAACAACCTTGCCGCCCTCGACGTGCTCGAGCGCCTCTGGGCCGGCGAGTGGAAGGACAACGAGCCCCGAAGCCCTGCGGCTGTCAAGCTCGAGGCCATGCGACGAGGCCCGTTCAACTGGACCAGGTGCATTGGCGGGCCCGGAGTGGAAGTGGAGTGGATCATGTTTTGAAGAGAGAGCAAGCGAAGCCCCGTTGTCGCCCCCTCAGCTCTCATAAGACCTGTAAAGGGGCGGGAGGGGGGGAGTCGTGGACAAGGTGGGGGAATAGATGCATTCATATTGGAACTCGGAAGCGCGCGAGTCACGCGCAACAGCGGTCGGACTGGGCAAATGTTTTTATTGTCTTTGTGGGCTTTTTTCTTTTCTTTGCACGGCGGCAAGCTGGGCTTGGTCACGATTGATGAGACGGGTGCCTACGAGAAGGATCCATCTGTAACTGTACAATAGCAACTACTACAAAACTGCATACTGACGGCAAGGAGTAATATGGGCAGGGGAGGGGGGGTCTACTGGGATGAAACGGGATATAATGCCCTTGGATGGACTGTTGCATCATGATGGACGACGATCTGGGAAACACTGAAGGGAAAGGGAGACTAGCTCCTGCAAATACGGCATTATGAGATGGCACGATTGTTTGCGAAGGGAGGAAAAATAGGATGGGGAGGTAATGAGAATCAAGAGAAATACTATCCGTCACCCAAACAAAACATTGACTTGTCCAACGCATCCATCTCATTGTCGCATGTAAGTGTGGCCCGGCTAACACCAGGCCTCGGGCCGACACGGATGTCATGTCCGTCAAGCAGTTCAGAGTCAAAAACACGCCTGAGAGGCACGAGGGACGAGGGACGAGGGGGGGGGGGGGGGGGGGGGCTCGATGGCCGACGCCGGTGGCGTGCTCCGCCGACCGCCTTCGTTTCCGACTTGGTCCCTGCAGTTGCGTACCGAGAACGGCCAGGGCGCACGCGGCATACGGCGACGGCGCATCATCACTCAGAATTCACCCACAGCCAGAGGATCCCAATGGGCCCTCCCTTCAGCGTGTCATTCACTTTGTTTTGGGGCCGGGTGGTTGCGTAAGCAGGCGAAGCTGGACCCGCCCGGCCCTTTGGGGAGATGGAGGTTGGTCTCGTGAGATATATTGGGGGTTTAGATCGTCCCGACCTGGCAACGAAGGGCCGGGATCGACTTGGGAGTCGGCCAGTTTTCTCTCCGTCCGCCAGAGAGGCTGCACATCACTTCCCCCCCCTCCCCCGGCTCCTATCCTCTTCACGATGCCTTGCGGTCTCGGCTCCACCAGGCCGAGCCAAGCCCAGATGCTGGAATGCCGGCCGCTTTGTATGTAGCATCTGATATGCGACACACCAAGGCAGTCAAATTAGCCTGCTTGCTGCTTGCCCGCATGCGTTTTGAGGATGGACGAGTGCAGGGGGGGTATGGGCAGAAAAGGGCAGCGATGCAGAGCCCGGCATGATCTAAAGTTCATAGTGGCAGCAGGAAAGGTTGAAAGGCGGATAGCGCGAAGAGAAGGGGGGGGATTAGCCGTGCAGAAGGGCAGACACAAACCGGGTAGTTGACCGAGAGAGAGCGAGCGAGCCAAAGGGAAGGGAAGGAGGCCAGGACCGGAGGGGGGGGGGGGGATGATGGTCGATAGAAGCCCAGACATGGTTCAAGGGTCGGTGTTCCACGGAAGGCGGGGGGGGGGGGGGGAGGAAGGGCCCGGGGTGGTTCCTGCGGGCTGGGGAACCCCAAAGACGCCTCTCTGAGAATCCACCCGAGTCCAAAAAGTTCCCAGGTGGGGGTGATAAGGGACGCCGCCCATGCAGCGAGTCCGCGCCTGACTGGCTAGAATTCACGACGGAGATGCGGGACTAGACGGGCGTTTGTGGTCTTCGATCTGGCGGTGCAACGTCGGGCAGGGGGGAAGGCTGCGAGGTCTAAACAAGGGCCGGGGGGCCGGGGGCCGGGGGAGCTGGACGGCGGAAGACTGACGGGGGGAGGGGAGGGGGGAAGAGCTGGTCCGTTTGACATGATGGAGAGAGGGAACATGGTACGCACTTGTACGTACTACCTACACGTATAGCATATACCCGTACTAGGTATGTAAGAATAGTGGGAAACAGTGGAGAGAGCCCCGAGAGAAACAGAGAGAGAGTGATAACGACGGCAACGACACACGGACCCCCCCCCCCCCCCCAGGGGACAACCCGAGGCGGTGGCGATGGTGACGACTCCCCAATCTACAGGTCCAGTGTACACGCCGTCATGGGACCGAGATACCATGCGAAGGTTCACGCTCGTTGGAACCGACCACGGGGCGCAGAGGGGCCGAACGACACCTTAATCAATATTGACTACTCTGCCCAACCCCGTCAGTCGCCTCTCCTGCAGCAAAGACACAAAGTCACCAAGTCTGTCTTTCGGAAAGGAGGAGGGGGGGGGGGCTTCGTCTCCATAGTTTTGTCTTTACACTATACACCAAGTGCGCCATCTTCTTTGCTCGATTTGCTCGCTCTCCTCGCAAAACAAGGGAGCCCCTCGACCGACTCTGTTCCCGCCTCGCGCGAGGTCGTCCGAAAACGCGAGGGGAGACGAGACAGAACCGCTTGCAGTCCCTCGGTAAACACGACACAGCGCAGGCGAGGGAGCCGCTGGAGGCGAGGAAGCCGCCGAACAAAGCGCAAGGCCATCGAGAGGAAGCGATAGGGGGAGGGGGGGGGGGGGGGGGGTAGGCTGCCCGTGTCAACCCGTGGTGATATGACTGGTGATGTGGCCATACCGCGCGAGACCGTGAGACGTCGGAGCGTGGGGGACCTGCTTCGCCTAAACGGCCGACCTGGCAGCGGCGACGACCTCGACGGCCCTCGCTCTCTTGACGATCCCTGAGGGCGGCGGCCTTCGGCTTGAAAGTCATCATGAACGAGCGTGGTCTATTGCCTCCTCCCTCGGACCAACACTTCTCTTCCTTGAGGACGGCACAGCCGCCTCAACAACCGACAGCCGACGGCTCCCCAGGTTACCGTCTCCGTTCGATGTGCCGGACTCCATCTTGGCCTGACTTCGGTCCAACGCCAAAATCCCAGAGCACGCAAGCGCAGGTCCACCGTGGCTATGTACGTGATCCGGCGGGGGAGGGGGGGGGTGGTCAAAAGACGAGCGAAAAGGCAAGGACGAGGTCCCGAGCGTGTCGCCATACATAGCATACGTAGTAGGTAGAGACGACGCGAGCCGAGGCAATGCCACGTTGGATTGTTGGCGGGGCGGCTTGGGAAGCGTTTCCTCCGTCATGAACTACTACTATGCCGACGATAGTCCGTGTGCACCTTGTCCTGGTCATCTTCTCTATATCCCATTCGTGCGATGCTCATAAACAAACACCAACATCCGTCCGCAGGGAACAAGGATGGGCGGGAAAAGGCCGGCGGAAGGGGGTAAAAGGGGGTGAAAGGGGGAGAGGGAATATAGGATGGGGCCGGGTTCTCGCAATCTCTCCGAGCATCATGGCCCGCACGTGTGCGCGCATGACACGCATGACATATCACTCCTTCGTTTCGCCGTCTTCGCTCAGTCAGAGGGTCGCTCGCTGCTTGAGTAACGTGGAAAGGCGCAGAGGCCTATTTCGATGATTGCTCCGAAAGACATATTAAACTATTGATTCGCTTTTTTGCCGCCCTCACAGGGTGTCCGATGCCTTTCGCGCTCACGCCCCCCCCCCCCCCCCCCCCCGTTTTCCCTTAAGCGCCGGTTCATGACTCTCGGCTCCTGGATGCTTTGTTGGTTAAAGTTCTGTCGGGAGAGGGGTTGTGCAAGGACAGACATGCCCATCGCGTGGTTAATTGCCCGATTCTCGAGGCCCTCACCTCACGCGACTTCCGCCCCCCCTTAGCCGCGCCACCTGAACCGGCTCTGCCTCAGCATGTCGAGCAGACCCGTCGGCAGGACGCCCTTGTCGACGACCGTTAGACCGCCGAACCTCGCAATCATGTCCCGGCCGTAGAGCGCGCAGACCCACCGCTCGTAGTCGCCGAGGTCCGTCCAGCCCGCCGGCCCGTCCTTGAGGGCCCCCGCCAGCTCGCTCGTCAGCTCCGCCGTCTTGGCCGCCGGCACCCGCCGCAGCCGCTTGAACGCCCGGCCCAGCGTATCCGACGTGTGCCGCCGGTGCCGAGTGAACTCCTCGAAGCTCATAAAGGGCTCGTTCCGCAGGTCCGAGAAGGTGTCTTCCGGGAAATACGCCGGCATGCGACGGTGCACCCGCACCTGCCCAATGTTTCCGCTGCTTCCACCGCTGCTTCCACCGCTGCTGCCGGCCGAGTCAGCGCCGGCCGAGTCGTCCTCGTAGGCCGCCTTGAGAGACCGGTACATGTCCTCCTCCTCGGCCAAGAAGTCGTCGATGATGGCGTCAGGGTCCTCGGCGACGCCGTCGCGGATCAGGTACAGGTGGACGAACGGGTTCTCGAGGCCCAGCCCGCCGAGGGACACGGGGAAGTACAGGTAGCCGTCCGGGACGTCCGAGATGCCGAAGCGGTCGCTGATCATCCGCTTCAGGTGGGCGCCAGCCCCGCCTTCGCCGAACAGCCGCGTCTGGATGCGGCGGAACGTCGCCAGCACGCTGTCCACGTGCGCCCGGCCGTAGCAGTTGGCGACCTGCGCGCAGTTGGTCCGGAAGAAGCGCGCGCCGTAGATGTTCCATGCCTGGATCCAGTCGAAAATGCTAGAACACGCGCCGAGCTGCAGCCGGAGCTCGTCAATGTGCCCGTCGATCTTGCCCTGGTCGAGGAGGAACCGCCCGGACGCCGGGTCGAGCTTGAGGAACCCCCACACGACGTCCCCCTCGGGCAGCCGGCTCCCGGACGGTGGCCGCCGCAGCCGCTGCGCCGCCATCTCACTGGTGCCAGGGGGGCTGCCGGCGGTGGCGGCGGTGGCAGCGGCGGCAGGGGCAGCGGCGATCCTGACGCTGCCGGTCTTGTCCTCGTTGAACTCGAGACCCGTAACCGCCACGAACTCGGTCATCGTCTCCCACGCACGGAGGCATGTCTCGCGGCCGCCCCACAGCCACATGTCGTCGTGCAGCCGGTACAAGCGGCATCCGCGGGCCCGCTGGTTGACGGCGAAGTCCATGCAGAAGAGCATGGTCTCGGCGGCGAAGTCGGCCAGGGGCGTGGACAGGGCCGTGCCCCTCTTCCGGACGCGGGCGGCGGCGTCGGGCGGGTCCTGGGCGAAGCGCATAGGGCACTCGAGCATCCGCCGGAACAGGCCGATCCACTCGGCGCCGACGCCGAAGAACTCGAGCACGGCGACGATGGATGAGTGCGGCACGCTGGGACCGAACCACTTGAGGTCCGAGCGGATGACGGTCGTGTCGTCCCCCAGCCTCGTCCGCATGATGATCTCGGACTGGATGAGGTGTAGCAGGTTCTGCACGACGGCCACGTGCGACTTGCGCGTGTCGTCCGCCTCCTCCTTACCGTCCGAGCCGTAACCCCCCCGCTTCTCCGTCGCAGAATCGGGCAGCTGGTCCAGGAAAACCTCCTTCTTGTAGTGTTCGGACAGCTGACTCACCACCGATGTGCGACTCTCCGCGGCGCCAGCCGTCCTCGTGAAAAACCGCCACCGACGGCCCTCCTCCTTGGACATGCGCGTCACAGCGTCTTTGTCGACTCCGGGGGACTCAACGAAGGCGACCAGGGCCCCGCGCATCTCGACGGCCCACTGCTTGCCGATGTAGTGGATGAAGATGGCCTGCAAGAGGTCCTCGTCGGGGTAGAAGCGGTAGCGGCCGTTCAGCTGGCGCCGCTGCTCAACCACGGTCGGCTCGTCCCACGCCCAGGTCTGGCGCGTCTGCATCCGCATGTTGAGCACGTCGGCGATCTCGCTCAGCACAACCTCGTTGCGTAGAAAGTCGTTGAGAGTCGTCCTCTTCTGGTCAGTCAGAATGTCGGTCCGCAGCAGGCCCCGGATCGTGTTCTTGAGCGTGTGCTCGCCGAAGTGCGTCCTGCCGTCCCATCTCTCTTGGAAGGCCGTGATGCGGTCCTTCAGCACCTCGAACGCGCGGTCGACATCCTTGGACCTGGCGAAGAGCCGCCCCAGGTAGCTCTTGATGGCCTGGCCGTCCGTCTCCTTGGCCTGGAACACGTACTCCTCCCAGGTCGCCCGCTGGCGGTGCATCTCCTCCCTGCCAACGGGCACGAAGCCCGCTTCCGAGTCCTGGTCGGCGGCCTTCCCGGCCGAGATCCATTCGTTCACGAGCTTTCCGTACAGCTCGGCGTAGCGGTACTTGGCGGACTGGACGTCGAGCTCGTTGCGCATCGCGCTCTCGTAGTCGTTGAGGAGGCTCTCCGAGATGCACGGGTCGTAGTCGGCCTGCTGCACGAACCGCTTGAGGTTGTCAACGGAAACCAGGGTGCTGTCGTCCAGGGAGTTCATGGCGGGAAGCTTCTCGGACCTGTCGACCAGGAGCTTCGCCCGCTTCCGGTGGTCCGTCTCGTGGGCCGCATCATCCAGGAGGGCTCGTTTCCCCGCCTCGTAGGAGGCCTTCTGCTTGTCCAGCTGGCTGAGCTTCACGCTGGTAATTGTGTAAAGCGTCTGTGACAAAATATCGGAGGACGCCATCTTGTATGCGGATGGCGGGAGAGAAACGGGTGGTGTGCTCCAAGGTCTGCAGATGAAATGAGGAGATGAGATGGTTAAAGGAATGATGAGGCTGGTGAAAGTTGAGCCTGGAGTATCAACTCTCGAAGCTTGTTTAAGTACGGCCGTGAAATGTGATGAGTGAGGCCATTGCTCAGATCGGATGGTCGCTCGGCCTGAGTCAATTCTCAGAACGCCATGTTTTGGCCTCCTTTGGGAGGGGATTGTTGTTTGACTGGCGCAGTCGGTTGGAGGTGAGTCGTCGCCAAGAAGAGACTAGCGGGGAGAAGATGAAATCAAGGCCACTGAGGCCAATTCGGAGGCGGCCTCGATGAAAATTATCTTTGGGAAGACATCCTTGATTGGGGGAAAACAGTGATTCAATTCTACCTGATTTTTTTCTTTCTTTCTTTCTTTCCTTCCTTTTTCTGGTACGTGTTTTCGGGTAGGGGCAAGAGTCGGCACGCGCAACCAGAGGAACGCTTCTCGTCCCTGGGCTTACCGGCTCTGATATCGACGGTCTCGCTGGCCGGCTGGCCTATTAGTGTGCTGCAATCGTGAGTCGGTTGCCCTCGATATCAATATCAAAACAACATCCCTGGTCCAATAACAGTCGATGAGCCGGAGAGTCGCAGAATCCTCGTCAGATATGATAGCATTTCGTCCATTCCGTGGCGATGGCGAGTCGGTGTTCTGGCGTCCTCGTTGTCAGTCGCGAGCGGAGATGGACGAGTTAATGAATAGGACGCTGCCGTGTAAGACAACACCGACATCGGCAGTGACGTGATTGCGAGGTTGTGCCGCCAGTGGGTAAGATAAGAGAGGCATACGCAACTCTTCGGGTATCGCCTTCCCAATGGAATGCTAGGCTGGCTTCCTCCCGAACGTCGTTGAAGGGTAGCTCGGGGAGGGTTGGTATGGCAGGAGCGTGTCGAAGCCTGTGGCTTATCGCAATATTGGAAGCCTTGGGTGGGGGTCTGGCCGTAGCCTGCCAAATGTTCAGTGCAGTTGCCTATTACGGGCGGGTGCCCGAGCGCAGATGCTGAGGGCACGCGCCGAGTTTCGGGGGGGGGGGGGGGGGGGTTCGGCACTTTGGGAATCCGCTGTGGCCTGCCTCTTCTGACTGGCCACAGGCGGATGGACCGGCAATTACTCAGTGAAGGGCTCTCGACGACAGTGCGTGATGACATCCTTTCCGGGACCGAAAAAGGAATCCATCCCGTATTACATAATGCAACATTGAATCCTCGTCTTTCCGGATGAGCAAGGTTCTTGATAAGGCGCCATCCCCAATTCATCGCCCACTACAGCCAGAGTGTGACAATACCACCTTCCCACGGCGAGTGCAAAATCAAAAGTGAAGGAGGAAATCCCGGAGGAAGAGCCCCGCGATATGGCGACGGACGAAGAACAACCCCGGCGAGCCGCCGCCGCCGAGCAGACCTCGGAGACGACGCCTCTGCTCAACGGCAGCACCGGCAACGGCACCATCAACGGGACCGCCGACGCCGTCACCGCCGCCGCCATCGAAGAAGAGACGACCATCGTGGCCGAGACCGTCTCCGGCACCCGCCTGGCCCTCATCCTGGGGACCTCCTACTTTGGCGTCTTCCTCGGCGCCATCGACAGCACCATCATCGCCACGCTCTCGGGCCCCATCTCGAGCGAGTTCAAGTCGCTGAGTCTCCTCAGCTGGCTCGCCACCGCCTACCTCATCTCCAACGCCGCCTGCCAGCCCATCTCCGGCCGCCTGACCGACATCTTCGGCCGCGGGCCCGGCCTCGTCTTCAGCAACGTCTTCTTCGCCGCCGGCAACCTCATCTGCGGCCTCGCCCGCACCGAGTCTGCCATGATCCTCGGCCGCGTCGTCGCGGGCATCGGCGGCGGCGGCCTCATGTCTATCTCCACCTTCCTCGGCTCCGACCTCATCCCCCTGCGCCAGCGCGGCATCTACCAGGGCATCGGCAACATCGCCTACGGCTCCGGCGCCATGCTCGGCGGCGTCTTCGGCGGCCTCATCAACGACCACACTGCCATGGGCTGGCGCCTCGCCTTCCTCGTCCAGGTGCCCCCCGTCCTCGTCTCCGTCGTCCTCGTCGCCGTCCTCGTCAAGGTGCCCCCCAAGGCCTCCGACAAGTCCTACCTGGCCCGCATCGACTTCCTCGGCGTCTTCCTGACCATCTCCTTCCTCGTCCTCCTGCTGCTCGGCCTCAACGCCGGCGGCAACCTCGTGCCCTGGCTGCACCCCCTCCCGCTGACCACCATCCCCCTCTCCATCGCCGCTTTCGTCGGCTTCATCCTGTGGGAGAGCAGGGTCAAGCAGCCCATCATCCCCGTCCGCCTGCTCTACAACCGCACTATCCTCGCCGCCTGCCTGACCAACTTCCTGTGCACCATGGTCATGATGATGGCCATGTTCTACGTGCCGCTCTACCTCCAGGTCAGCGGCCTCTCGGCCACCCAGGCTGGTCTCCACATCCTGACCTCCCCCGTCGGCGTGTCCATCTTGTCCCTCAGCGCCGGTTACGTCATGAAGCGGACCGGCAAGTACGTCGTCCCGGGCATCTGCGCCCTCGTCATCTTCAACGCGGGCATCATCATCCTGTCGCAGCACAACGAGGGCACCCCCGACTGGGTCATTTACGTCGTCTTCTTCCTCGTGGGCGGGGGCTACGGCGCCATGCTGACCATCACGCTGCTTGGCTGCATCGCCGCCGTGGACCACTCCCAGCAGGCGGTCATAACATCAGCGACGTGTAAGTGCATAAGATCTCCGGCCTGACGTGCTCTAGTGGCAGACCAGCTGACAGAAAACGCGCAGACCTGGCCAGGAGCCTCGGGGGCACCATCGGCATCACCATCGGCTCCGCCGTCTACCAGAACGTGCTGCGGAACAGGCTCTGGGACCGGTTTGGAGACTACCCCCATGCGGCCGACATCATCCGCCGCATCCGGGACGACCTCGATGAGCTGAACCATCTGCCGTCCGGGTGGAAGCCCGGCGTCGTGGCCTCCTTCATGGAGGCCTTCGGCAGCGTCTGGTACACCATGCTCGGCCTCTCGCTCCTCGCCCTTATCTTCGTCTCCCTCATGAAGCAGCACGTTCTGCACTCGACCCTGGAGAGGCGATGAGCCAGTGCATCTGGTTTGCCGCGTATGCGTCGGACCGGTGCGGCGGTGCGGCCCAACAGACCTGCTGAAGCTGGCCTCTCCTCCGTAACAAGAGAGCCTGGCGCAATGCGGCAGAGAGCAGCCTCGGACTCGGACACCGGGCCAGCAGCATATGGCATACTGTTTGTTCTTTCCTACGTGTTTCACGTGAGTGTCTACAAGCAGATACTTATCTACCATCCAGGATTCCGCGTTGTACACATACTGTAATGCAAAAAGATAATTATAGGCACCCGTATGAATCAGCCAAAGCTCAAGCACAGAGGCAAGAACAGAGACTTGCATGGAAAACCACGGGCAAATGGTAGACGGTTACCGCATCAAACCATTTGCTGTGCTTGTGAAGGCGACCGCGCATGTCGAATCTTCACGATGTTTGAGTAGACTTTAAAATATCTTGGTTTGGAAAAAAAAAAAGATTACTCCATCATCCATTCGCATATATTCTACTCGTACAACAGTTTTATGGACAGAGCAACAAACTCATGCATAAGCTAATGTGTTATCATCCCGGATCTTTCCCACAGCCTTGATAGAGGCCTCATGGCCTGCTACGCAGGGGCCTCGGACGATGATCTAATACGAAAATACGTTAGCAATCAATCAACACTGCCACTCAGTAAGCAAAAAACCTCACCTCTCCTTCGTACGACTGGTCGGTATTCTTGTGCTCCTCCGTATCTCTCAACAGGATCTCGGTGCTCGTCGTGGGCGGGCCAAAGTGTGATTGATTATCATCGTGAACTCTGTAGTCGTAGTAACCAGTCTGAGAGACGGCACCTGCAACCTTGGGAGCGGACAAAGCGTAGATTACTCTGGCGCCGGTGAAGACGCGAATGTCAGAGAGTACGCGGGACGACAACGGAGGCGATCCAGCCCCAACCTTCTCCGCCACGAAGATGAGGCGCAGTTTGCCAGGGGTGGTACCAATAGCAGGCCGTGATGCGCTGTTGAAGCGAGCAGCAATAGAGGCAACGGGCATGACACCACTTTCCGTGAGACTGCGAGACTGCGCCCAGTGAGCAGCCTTGGCCAGAGCAGAGGAAAGGCGGCTGGACGACTCCTGGTGCATCTTCAACAGGGTTTCAGGGGTCAGCACCAATACCGTGGGAGAAACTCCCTGAGTGGCAACGGCCAGATCGGCAGACTTTCCAGCAACAGAGTTGAGGGCGATGGATGAGTTGGAATACAGAGCCGCCAACGTCAGGGTGAGAGTGTGAATGTTTGTCAGGGAGTCGGCCGGCAAGAAGAGATCAGAGGGGCCGAGGCGTTGCGTGGAAGGAACCCCAGCGAGCTGAGCGGCGACTCCAGAGACCAAGTTGGACTGAGTAAAGCGTACCATCTCCTCCATGGTTTCGGGCTTGGCCTGCCAGAAGGTAATGACGTCTTTCGGTTCGACCTCCTTGTTGACCGGGGGTAGTTCTCTCGCAGCATCAACCGGGGCATCACGAAGAACTTCCTGCCAAGTTGCGACGTTGACGCTGCCGCCGGTACCCTGGGGCACCTCATTCCAGTCCATATGAGCGCTTCCCTCGTCCACAACCCACACGATCTGACGGAGGGCAGGGTACGCCTTGACAACCGGGTCGAAGGGGAATGCGCCGGGAGCGGTGACAACGGTGTCCGCAGCAGAACGACGCAGCATCGTGATGAGCTCTTCGTCCGAAACGTCAAAGGGGATCAGAATGGCCGTGAGATTGGGGTAGAAACTACAGGCGAACAGTGCCACCAAGAGCTCGATAGAGTTGGGCAGGTAGATGGCGACGCGGATGCCGCCCTGCTCGTGAATGTGTTGGCCGATGAGGTTGATCTGGCGGGTGATGTCGTCTGCACAGCGCCGCAGTGTGAGAAAGCGAGAAACAGAAGATTCGATGGCACATGGACTTACCAAGCTTGTGTTCGACGACGTTTTCGGAGCCCAGTACGGTCAACAACCGGCCTTTGCCTGCAGAAAGCTTACCCTCCTCTTCCGAGGCGCCCATCGCCGCCTTCCTCCAAATGTCCCGAAGATCTCCATCGCGTCCTCTTGACCACTTGGAAGCGCCGGGGTCCTTGACGTTGAGTCCGCTGTTCAGAGGCATTCCGTGAGGGGCGGAGTGAGATCGGTAGATGGGGGATTCCCCTGGTAGCCGGACGGGGTAGCCTTGGGCCTGGCGCGCAAGAAGCATAGGATGAGTATCGGGGTCCTGGCTAGAGACGACTCGGTAGGATACGATAACGACGAGGAGGGTCACGAGGGCGGTGGTGTATGCGTTCCATTGTCCGAACAGGCCCGAAACGCCCTCGTCCATCTGGAGCATGAGGTTGTCGAAGAAACCCATGTTGGGCGGCGGTGCGGCGGTCCAAGTAAGACGAGTCGATTCAAGCCTCGGGCGTCGGTTGTGGAGGTGGTTGCGGCAGTCAGAACAGATCAACGAAAGGCCTTACGTGGCCCGGATGGAAAGCTCGGAGAGTTTGGAGAGAGGAGAAGAGAAAAACGCACGAGGTAGAGCCGCGGAGCTCGAGCTCGGAGGTTTCGGGATGCTGAGGTGGGTTGTGCTGGCAGTCAACGGCGGGGATCTTGACGTCCCCGGTCCAGGTAGGTACGTACTCGTACCCGTCTCTAGCGTTCTCCAACAACCGGGCAACTAACACTGCGAGACTCCGGCTATGCGGTTCTCAAGCCTCGGAAACTTTGTCCGTCTATTCCCATGGCCAGAAGAAACCTGCACAATACCAGGTAGGTAGACAGCTAGAGAAGGTTCCTTGAGGTACTCCCTACCCATCTCGCGGTTGCGGGTGTCGAGTGTCCCTGGACCAGGTACTTGAAGGTACGTACACCTCCCAGCTACCTACCTATGTAAGACAAGCCACCCCGCCAGGCAGGTGGAGGCTGAAGGTCCCCACTTACGGCAGACCGCTTCCTGCTGGTTGCTGTGGACCTTGTGGCTGAAGCATTGTTTTTCTGCCAATGCCTTTACCAGATGCTCCAGCCATCATTGTCTGCCACATCCATCACCACCTACAACTCGACTTGAAGCGGCGCATTGAAGCACGCTCGCGCTCGGCGACAGCGCAGCGTCCAAACGGCATAGTACTAACTACTAACACAGAACAGGTTTGCAGCATTAATCGAACTGGTGAGCGCCGCCTCCTTCATTGAAAAGATGCCATGTCGATCTGTAGTAGAACTAATGTTGAGCGCAACAGGCCTCACCCTGATCGTGACCACCGCCTCCCGACTTCGACCTTCTAGCCTGTCCTTTGGCTTCCCTTCAGACGCGGCAGATAACATGTCGTCTTCCGGTAGCCGAGCGGCTGTCAGCACTCCTGTCAGATCAACGCCACAAAAGTCCACCCCCGTTGTCGACAGCCCAGGCACTTGGAGACACCCGCGTCTCGACGAGATCTCGAGACGGCGCAACGCGACAACCTTCTCCGAGAAGAATGTAAAGAGGATCGCTTTGAACGCTGTTTTCCTTCTCAGTCTCTGGTTTTCTCAGATCCTCTCCCGATCTTACATTCCTGCGCAATGGTATGCGTCTCTTTTTCACGCCGAACTCCGCCAGCTCTAACCATTGCAACAGGTTCAGCGCTTCGTTACGGTCGTATCTGGGCTGGGCGTACCACCTGGTCCAACTCATTCCTCTCGCCAACATTGGCATGGCCATGCTGCCGTTGTTCCGATCCGAGGACGACCTGTCCGATATTCCCTTGACCCCTGCGCAGCGCAAGCTTCTCGGTTTAGCACCCAGCTCTGCAGCAGCCACGCCTGATGCTGTCTACAGCACACCGCCGCGATACTCGCGTACCCCGTCGTTGGCAGGCTCGCCCGCCAGCAACAGAAGCTTTTCCGGCTCTCCGCTGTCTGGCAAAGGCAGCCCTGCTCTGGGGAGCTCTTTGAACGGACAGTCATACTCTCTTTCTCCGCTCAACAGCCCTTCCAAGTTTGCGGCAAACCTCAACAGTAATCGGAGGTCGTCCTTTGGCTCTTCGACAAACTTGGGGGCAAGCACGGCCTCTTCCCTATTCCCCGATTCAGGCACTCCGAGCCCTTCGACCGGAAAACGTACCAGCGTCGGCTTGAACAATAAGTGGCTTTACGAGAAGGGCAGGAGATCGTCAGGTGGCAACTGGATGCACTGAGGACTTTTTTATCAGCTGTTGTATTTTTTTTATTTTTTTGATGGGGCAGGGAACGGCAATACTGGCGCCCCCCCTTGTCATGGGACTCTTAACTGTGGTGACCCAAGACGCAGACGGCTGCTTCCGCGAAGAGGAAGGTGTGTTGGGCACTCTGTTGTGCCATCTTCCACTGTTGGGACGACACGAAGGGTGACGGAAAGCCTCGGGCCGAGAGCAACAGCAGACTCAGGACTGTATATAAGTTGGCGCACGACGTAAATGGACAATAAAGGGACTGAAGATCAAGGGTCCTGTCTCATTGATGCAGCTCCATGTCATTGCGTGCTGTACCTCCAACATGATCCACATGCTAAAAGTATTGAGGGGGGCGGCCAGGCCTTGTTCGACTCTAAAGTCCTCCAAGTCTTTTCCCCACGTGCAATTCGTAACAAGTGGCAGGTGTAAAACTGCCAAAGTGTAAAGCAGGCTACCTATTACCATATCTAGGTAACCAGTTGAGCTCGTGACCTCCTCGAAGGCCACCCATTCTACGGAGTGCCGTGCGAGATGCAGGTACGTACCCCGGTAGGTAGGTAGTCACTGAGAATGGGAAACAGATCAGGAACGTGGACTTTGGAATTCGGAGTATTCCCGCCCCCGCTTTTCACCTTTCATTGGACGCACCAGTTGCCGACCCGCTCTTCCGCCATTACGTAGCATCCAGCCTGTGCACCTTTGGTCTGGAACCCTTACTCCGTAGTCCTCCCGAGCTTCCTTCTTGTCAGAACGTTTCGACAGATATGATCGCTCTGTGACAACATGGGCGCCAGCGATTCGAAGCTCGTCTTCAAGAAAGGCATCTTTAGGCTTTCTGAAGAACGACACATCCCCGCCGATGACCCCTACTGGACTAGTGTACGCTGGCCTCTCTGCGTCTCGCCCTTATCTTGGGTACTTACCTGGACACTGACCTGACGATGCGTACAGTTTTGGGAGCTTCCCGAATCGTCCGAGGATATATTCAGTCTTTTCGCTCCCGCCGACATTCGTCGCACGAGAGACAAGGCCCTCGAAAATCTAGAGACTCTGATACTCGCGTTAACATCTCGGCTGTTCATCCTGCGCCATCACCCATCCTTTCCCGACCCCGAAATCGCTCCCGAACGAGATGCTCTCAACTGCATCCGTGTCCTAACACGCATCCTACCCTTCGTCTACGAGGCAGAAAACCTACAATCATGGGAGGAAGTGTTCTTCTGGGGTGCGCGAAGGAAGAGGACGAGACAATCTGCCATCGCCAACGAGGTGCTGTTTGATGGGGCCCAGGATGGCCAGCGACCGCCCAAGAACGACGTCGAAGACTTTGAAGACGCCAAACCTCTCGCCGAGGAGCTTATCGACACTTTGGTCGACCTTATGTTCTTTTCCGACCTCACGCTGCCCAGGCAGCACCCGGGACGGCCGAAAGTCACTTATGCTATTTGGCAGAGCGGCGTTGGGTGCAACACTGTAGTGGCTACAACAAAAGAATACGAGAACAATCGAAGCGAGATACTCCGCCTTCTTCTCACCATGACCAGCCAAAGCATGTACATGTCGCCAAACACGCTTCCGCAAAGGGGAGTCCGCGCCCTGACTCACATTTGTACATGTCCGGACAAGCAGGTTGTGCTGTCGGTGTTGTGCTCGTTGCTGAACACCGTATGTAGACCCAACGCCTCTCCACCAATTTTCCCAGTAGATAATCCTGCCATTTATGAGCACTATGCTAACAATAGCAGACCTTGAAATACAATCCGGCCACCTGGCGGGTGCCGTACAATACCTTGGTTTTCAAGGATGAGAAACAGATTCTGGTGACATACACGCTACAGCTTCTCTTGGTTTTCCTCCTATACCCGATTCCCGAGCAGAACGGTACCACTTCGAAGAACTACTACCGCCACTTTCTCGGCAGATTGCATCGGCCCCAGGACTTTCAGTTCATTGTCGATGGCATGACGCGCATCCTCAACCAGCCGCTGCAGGAGAAGAGCTCATATCTCCCTAGTGGACAGGCGGCATCAAAGTTTGCACCCGAGATCCTTATGCTGTTTTGGGAGATCACCCAATGCAATAAGAGGTTCAGATCTTTCATTATCGACACTGAGCGGGCGCACGATTTCCTCGTACTCACTCTGTTCTACGCCTTGGAGTACAAGAACGATGCATCCAAGCAAGGCCTCGTGAGGATGTGCGCCTTCTTACTTCAGACGCTGAGTGTGGAGGCAAACTTTGGCGCCAACCTGAATAAGATTTTCGAAGGGCAAGACAGCCTCCCTCCGGCAATCAGGATACCCGGGTTTGGTGGAACGTATGCCGATTTTCTGATCCAGGTAGGAAAACCAGAAGATCTTGACAAGCTCTAGCTGACCCCAAATAGTCCATTTACAACCTCATCACCACAAGTCAAGGCAGGCTGAACGCTATTTACCCAGCACTCCTGGCCGTGATCAATAACATCGCGCCCTATCTCGAAGGCCTGAGTTCTGCTTCTGCCTTGAAGCTCATGCAATTGTTCTCGTCCATGTCTTCACCCTCGTTCCTTCTCGCCAACGACAGCAACCATGACCTGCTTAGGTCATTGTTAGAGTCGATCAATTCCATAGTGGAACACCAATACCAGAGTAAGGAGCTGACCCTGCCGCACCCCGCTCCTTTTGAACAAGCATGCTGATGGTGTCACAGGGAACCCGGAGCTTGTTTTTGCGATTTTACGCAATAAAAAACGCATCGAAGCACTGCGAACATTCACGCTTGAGAGCGGTCAAGAGGAAATTGAAAGGCGGAACCGTCGCCGCAAGGAGTCCGCCGTCAATGGGGATGGGCTTGAACCCAGTTCGGTTAGGAGTTCGGTCGAGAGCATCCGCAGTCCAACAACATCTCATCCTCGGCCGCCTACGTTAAGCAATGTTCCGGAAGAAGACGACACTTTCGCCATTGGGGACGACGAGGACGATAGCGAAGACGAGGACCACCGTCCAACCCCGGCTCAATCGACGACGAGTGAGAATCCGTCTTTGGCGTCGTCACAAGCGTCGGTTGTCGAGGATGCGGTACCGACACAGCTCCGAGGCATGTCCGAGAAGGCTCGAGGCAAGATGCCTGCTGGCATGAGCAACTTCTCCAGGCAGAACAGCACCACCAGCCTGGGCGGGTTCTCCACCAGTGGGCAGTCTCAGTCCGGCGCCTTTGAGCCAACGGCTCATTGGATCGAAAGCTGGCTCCCAGAGCTTCCTCTTCATACCATTCTCACTGTGATCCAGCAAGTGTCGGCTCTTCTGCCCAGGCAAGCACTCGCCGGGGAACGCGCAACCCGCGAGACGCTCACGAAGATTCAAGAGATCAAGCTTGTGGGAGTAGACCCGACCCCGCCACGGGTGCACTCGTTTGAGTGGTCGCAGCTGTCTCTGGGTTGGTACGAGTCCCTTCTATGGGGCTTCGTGTTCACCAGCGAGCTCCAGATTTCTAAGGGTACGGTTGGGATTTGGAACGGTACGGCGATCAAGCTGTTCCGCGTACAAGAAACTGCACCGCAAGGCCCAAGCTTGGCATCCCCCAGGGGAGCCGTTGACGCAGTGGGAAGCAACATCGTGTCTCGGATCGGTGCGATGAACTTGCGTGGAGGACCAGGTGGCACGGCTCCGGGCGCATCCCAACGCCCTGGATGAAGCATCGACAGGCCTGGCCAAAGCACGCCAGCGTTGTTTTCTTTATATTCGTCAAGTTGTGTCTGTCGTGCAGGCTTGCCAGCGGAAAAGGCAAAAACGCTGCTTGACAGGTAATGAATATATGTGGGAGGTGGAAAGACGTCAAACGAAGCGGCTGGGAAGGCACTGCTGTGACAGCCGAGGGAACTCTGCAGAATCGAGGGCATCGGCGGAGAAGCAGGGAGCTTGGGACACGATGAGGATGGGTCGCCTCCGACCACGAATGAGAAGGATGGCGTTTGAGTAGGAACCATGTACAGAGTACAGAGCTGGCGTCGAACGGCTGTGGCAAGCGGACGCGTGTTTAGCGGCATTGACCAGACATTGGCAGGCAATAAGGAATCTTGATCTAGTCAAAAGATGGGCGTTTCTCCTCAGACGCGACTGGAAGAGCAACGCAGACAGCAAGCGTGGCGGCTCACGTACCTCGAACTAAGAGGTCAAGCTGCCAACCACACTCGTGACGGTGAGCTCAAAGGTGTGGCTTGACGTGGCGAGTGCACCAGTACACTGGGGCTGATCAGGGGTCTAGGGATGAACCATGGCCAATAAATGCCCTATCTCGGGCCCCTCTTCCATTCCTGGCGTCCGGGATTGGCCACGGATGCAACTCTGTGCCTGGCACTTGTAGCAAAAAGCGGTGATCATTTCCGAACTCGCTGGGGTACTCGTACGCACCGCCACAGCTTGTTTGGCGTGTATCCGGCCCAGACCGCTCCTCCGCCTTCGTCCTGGGCCACTCAGGAGCCGCGTCGTGGAACAAGGGGGGGCAGAGGGTGGTAAGCCACGATGGCGCATCGCGCGTTGTGCTACCAGCGGACGACGACGTGGAAGCGGTCGGCAAGCAAAGTAAACTTGGGAGGGCAGGGCGGGCACTTATGGAATCCCCGGGCGATAGCAGCGAGAAAGAGACGGCGCAGGGCGTCGTTCTCCGGGCTGAGGTTGTATTAAAAGACTTTTTCGACTCGCTTATGTAGTGCCATGGTGACTTTTTATTTTGTTTTCCCTCTCGTGTTTTTTTGCCCATGTTTTTGTTTTCATTTCAATTCTACCCTTTGATTGCGCTGTAATCCTCGAGGTGCCCGTCGCCAAAAGCTATATATGTTTTTGTCTGCTGAGTCGTCACTTCTGTGCACTATCAACGACGATGGCCACTCCTCTAGAACCCGGCGCCGTTCTCTGGGATGATGAGATCAGACCCTACCGCATCCATGTGAGCGCCTCTGAGAGAAGTGAGAGAGAGAGAGAGGTGCGATTGGTCGCTAACGCAGTCGGGGGAGAAAGGTCTCCAGCAAGTATCTCGATCTCACGAGGCAGAAGTTGGAGCTCACGAGATTGCCACATGAGACGTTAGGGCCCACATCCAGGGATTGGTGGGAACCAAAGGCCCAGATCGAGCCTCTCATCGACTTTTGGTGAGTTCACGCTGTGGTGTTGTTAAAATAAAAAATAAAAAGCACAAGAAGCTTTGGTCGCTGATTCGCGGTGCACCCAGGCTTGAAAAGTACGACTGGAGGCAGCAAGAGGCCGTTTTCAACGACCAGCTGCCTCAGTTTCGTACGGCCGTGACTGTGCCCGGGTCAGAAAGCCCCGTCCGCCTTCACTTCGTCCATGTAAGGTCGCCTCACGGGCACGCCGTGCCGCTCCTCTTGGTGCCCCCTTTTCCCTTCGCGAACCTCTCCCTAGGCCACCTCATCCGGCCCCTCGCGGAGCCTGAGGACCCGGACGAGCAGCAGCCCTTTCACGTCGTCATCCCGTCCCTGCCCGGTCTCGGCTTCAGCGATGCCTTGCCCGGCAACACCCCCGTCATCCCGGCGACGGCGGACATCCTCGACCTCGTCATGTCGCGGCTCTCGTACAAGCACTACCTGGTCTCCAACACGTCCTCCGCCGCGTCGAGCCCGGCCGGGATCGATTGGAGGCTCGCGAACCACTTGGCCATGTACCATTCCGGCAGCTGCCTGGGCGCCCACTTCATCAACCCATTACTGTCGGCGCCAACCCTGAAAGAGGCACCGCTTGAGTGGATGAAGTGGTCCATTGCCAGACTCTTCCGCGCCCCGTTCTTCGGCTACCAGAGTGAAGACATGCGCTCTCTGAACCAGGCGGAGCCCGCTCCGGGGCAGTCTACGAGCCCCATATCGCCCGGGCCCGCGTCCGTCATCGAGCCAAACACGCCGTCCTACGCCCTGTGCGACTCCCCTGTCGGTCTGCTCGCCCTCGTCCTCAAAGTCATCCGCGTTCTCGGCGCCCAGAAGGATTTCTCCGAGGCCGACATCATCACCTTCACCCAGACCGCGTGGCTTCCCGGGCCGGAAGCCGCGATGCGGCTGTGGGCACACTGTCTGACGCACCAGGAGAAGCCCCTCCCGAGGCCGGCAAAGAAGCCCGACGTCGCGATCACGGTCTTCTCGGGGGGCGCGAGGGACGCCGAGGTCGAGGCCCAGAGCACGTCGCCCCGCGCGGCGCTGGTCCCGTACGCGTGCCCCGCGTGGGCCAACGTCTCCTATAATGCCGTACACGTACGCCGCATCACGGGCAGCCCAGGCTTGGTCGTCTGGGATCGCCCGGAGCTCATCGGCGAGGGCATCAGGGGTCTGGCGAGCAGGCTTCTCTCCTCCTCCGGCGGCAGCAGACTGAGGAACCGGGAGCAGCCCGGCACGGCGCCGCTGCGGGAGGTCGTTGTCGTCGTACCGCCGAACTCCACGCCGGGTGGGGAATCGGGGCCGCAGCCGCGGTCTCCGCAGACGATATCCCCTGCCGCGCAGGGCGAAGCGACCTGGCGGCTCGAGAGGATACGCGAGTCTTCCGAGACGCCGAGCAAGACGCGACCGGAGGACAGGGCGCGCGCCGGGCCCGACGCGGACTTTGACGGGGCCAGTCCGGATACCATTGTAGTCACGCCTCCGCTCAGCGAGGGCTTGCGATAGCTGGTCACGGCGGCTGATGTGGTTTTTCTTTGTATTATGATACCAAGGATACGACCTGGGGGGGCTGTGTGGATGATATATACACGAAGACAGGGCCAAACCCGGATGAAGCTTCTAGGAATTGAGGCGACTAATACCATTATTGTTTATTATGTATGATACAAAACACTCCAAATGTCGGGCACCGGTTTTCTGCATTCCTACCGGTAGGGTAGATTTCCAGGCCGGGTCAATGACAGATGTGCACAATGCTGCATCAGCTTTGGCAGAAAGTATTTCGAGACGTTCGTCAGGAACGATGTGGCCACAACTTTACCAGGCAACTGGATGCACGCGGGTGGCTCTTACTGCAACCCACCAGCCCAAGCCAAACCGGACGCAACAAGCGCTTGAGAGGACGTTACGACAACCTGGACGGTCAACATCCTCATTGGACATAACAGATCACGAAACGGGCCAATAACCGGCCGACACCAGGCCAATCAACTTTGGACGTCATATTTGAAAACGATAAAAGACAATGGTATTATCGACCAGATATTCTCATAGGCCATGCATCCCAGAAGCATCCGAACTTCATTAGATCCCAAACGCCCGAAGCCTGTCGTCATTCACTCTTCGTCACTGCTATCCATGACGAACCCGCCCCTTGTGCGCTGCCGCGAGCGTGCCGCGGGCACCGGGGCGTCCTCCTCGTCATTTTCCGAGTCGGCGTTTGTTTCCTTTTCCCCATGGCCACCCTCTTCGGGAGACAGCCGTCTCCGTTTGCCCGTCATCGTACCCTGCGAGAAAGACGGGCTCGATGTCAATGGCGTGCGGTTGTTACCATCCTGTTCCGCCTCGCTTCCAACATCCATGTCTACATCGACACTCTCTCGAGTCGACTGGGTGGCCCTCGTCAAGTCAAGCAGATCGTCATCGTTGTCGTCAAGGAGGTTTGCACGCGGCCTTTTGGTGGTCTCCGACAGTGTCACCTTTTCCACGATACGAGCCAAACGCAAACGCTGAGCTTCCTCTCGAAGGAAAAACTCGCGATCATACTCCTCGTCCGTCTCGTCGTCACTGGCGTGAACGTACGCCTGGCTCTTGACCTTCCTCGCCTTTTCCCTCTCGCGTTCTCTGCGCTTCTTGGCCTTCTCTTCCAACTCTGAATCGTTCGGCTCCTCTCCTTCTTCACTTCCCTTTCTGCGACGCCTTCGCTTCATCTTCTTGGATGCAGGCTCGTCGAGGGCTTTATGGACGGTAGGTCCCAAGGGGTCAAAGATGAAGCCGTCATCGAGGTCGTCATCCTCGTCGTCGTCATATTCGACTCGCTTTCGGGCAACTTTCTTGCGCCGAAGCTGATCGTCGGCACCGCGACCGTCCTCGAAGACAGGCGGGTCGAACTCGGCTTTGTTGATGAAGCCCAGGCTCTCGTGTAGATCTTCTGCAGTCACCTGAGCAGGCAGGGTCCACAAGGACTGTGGAGTCTCCTCAATAGTGGGAGCAAGCCGTTCGAACCCCACAAGCTTCATTAGGAGGCGTAGGTGGGCATTCTTGAACAAGGCAGTTCTACGGGCATCGCTATCCGGTCGTACAGCTTGGAAAAAGTTAGCTGCCTGGCTCGATGCGACGGCTTCAAAAATTCAACTTACTGAATGGAGGGGGAAGATTGACCGTCTCGTCAGTTGGCGCATCTTCGGCAGTCTCAGTGCGCTCCACAGACGGTATAACTTCGTTTGCTGCCGCCCAAGCACGCCGCTCGCTCTCCACAGATTCGAGCATGGACTTGACCCAAGCAATGTGATCCGCCTGATTCTTGTCAAGAAGGGCACCGACGACAATCGCAATCTGCCGATCTCGTTCTTCAGTATGCTTAAACTCGAGTTCTGCCGCAGGCCGGGCATGTGATGTCGAGACTGTCTGTTTCTCATAGCCGTACTCCAGAAAGAAGACGGTGCTGTTCATCTTGGAGAACAGCAACTCGATTATAAGCTCGGGTCGTTGCTCAATCTTGCGCATGCATCTCCTGAGAATTTGCTTCGAGAGCTCTTCCCATTCCTTGTACATCGTAGAGCTCTTGTCCAGAGGCTCTGGCCCCTTGATCATACTATAGAGGAGGTGTATGATGTCGACCCGGAATAGCATCACGCTCATTTCTTGCTTGAAAGCAACACGATAGAAATAACGATGTGCACGTTTGAGCTGCGAGTCATCAAGATCCCGGTAGAACTTGGTAAATGCGACAAAGGTGTCGACGACTCCCTGGGGCGTGAATCGTGATGCAAACCGGTGGAAGTCGAACTTGCGCTCCTTGGAAGTCCTCTCGGCGTTGGCTTCGTCGTTTGCTGAATCGTCGTTGTCTTCGTCGAGGGTATCCATACCCGTGGAATCTTGAGCAGCGGCTTTCTTCTTCCGTCGGGTCCGCTTGCGAGACCGAACTTGCATGTCGACGTTTTGCTTCGAATACGCCTCGAGAATTCGCAGAAAGTGATGTGTCAGCTCTGTGGCGCTGTCAAGATATTCGAAGCCCTGTTCTTTGTATTGCCTGACGACATTGGCGATCAGATCATGCGTAGAATTCTCGTAGAAGAGACGGCTCAAGGTGTTTTCCGCAATCTCCTGGTCGTCCTCATGACCGGACTCCGTCATCTCTTGGACGGTGAGTAGGATTTGAGTAAAGCAGCGCATCGCGGCCGTCAGGGTTGGCCAGTCCTTTTGTTCCCAAGAATCGTGCATCGTCTTCGTGAGAGTGACGAACATTGGCTGGTTCAACACGCCGGCCACAATGTTGAAGCTGCTAACCTCCTCGGCTGTGCCAGACGTCTTGGATTCTCGTTTAGTGTTTCTACGAATCCGTTCTGCCTCCAAGAACCAGGCGACGAGGTACATAAACTGTCTCCGATGATAAGATAGAACGTGCGAGGCTTCTCGGTCCAGTGATTTGCGAACATGCTCGAACAGAGGGTTGAAGCCCGCATCGAGAAAGTCTTCGACAAAAGCCCGGAGCTGGTCATTGGCCCTCGGATTGAGCTTGACAGGGGCGCCGAGGTCCTTGGATTCCAATTCTTCCTTCCTTGCCCTGCGTGGTGGCTTAAACGTCTTTGACTCATCAAGCTTCTTCTGTCGTGTAGCACTGTCTGCGAGCGCGTCCTGGCCGGTGATGGTCGACACCCTTCCGTCGTCGCGCTGCATCCACACCATGGTGCCGAAACGATTGTGGCGTGTTGGCCCCTTGCGGTTGTACGCATTGCGCATCGCGGTCTCTTTGCTCATCATGGAAGATAGTTCTTGGGCCTTTGCTTTATTCAACTGCCGTTCGTCCATGAAAAGTTGCTTGATGTCGACCCGCTTAACCAGGTGATATATGACTTCCATGACGATTACGTCCTCGGTGCGAAAGTCTTCTCCCATATTGGATGCGATCATCAGCAACACCGCAAAGATGTCCTGGAAGGAGAATGCATCGATCGTCGTCGATCGGGATATCTGCGTCTCGTCGCCGTCGTACTGAATACCCGGGGAAGGTGTGATCATGGCTATGTTGCGGAGGAAAAACAGCACGAGCTTGATGATGCCTTGGTCTCGAGGAGTACGGTCGCCAATCGCAATTGCCATCGACGGCAGGGCAGCCCGGACGGCCGTGTTGAGGATCTGAGCACCGTCGAAGTTGATGATGGCCCGCTTGTAGCCCACTTGCGCGAGCTCGAGGACAGGCATGTGGCGGTGATGGTTGACCGTCATCCGCTCGGTCTCTCGCTCCATGGGCCAGGTAAGGGGCACCATGATTTCGAAACAGGCGAGGGCGACGCGGGCCTTGAACTTGTTGTTTGTGTCGTTTTCGGGCCAGCTTGCGAGGATGTGAAGGAGGTCGCCTTCGACGAGGTTGGCATCCGCGATGCATCGTGCAACGTCCATGCGGTTTGTCTTCTCGTCGTAGAACCGGATCCATTTCTTCAAATCGCGAAGGACCTCAAGGGCGTCGTCACCGAGCTTGTATCGGCCATCGTCGTCGGCACTTGTGCCACCGAGCTGTTTTGTAGATCAGCAGCCAAACGAGAGGAAGCGCATGACGGTGCGCCAGGTCGTCAATACTCACCGCGGATACAAGACTGTTGATGTGGGCGCGAACTTCGGGATGGACAATGTCCGTTGTCCCATCCGGCATCTCCATTTTTGCTGGCTTTGGAGGGCTCGGGACGATGACAGGTTGCAATTGAACTGTAATGTTGTCTCCATCTGCACATCACAACCGACAGTGGCAGAAAATACTTGGAGGGGACGGGGGACCGGGCTAAGCAAGCGACGCGTTCGACGCGGGTAAGCGCGTTGAAGGGGCCCGCTACCTTAATTGAAAACCCACCATGTATCTTTGATAAGATACGACACACGGTCTGATAAGATAACAGGGCATTATGGGTACGTCAACGACCGCGGCTAACCTCGGCATGGACCATCATCACGGCCTTGGACAAGGAACGACATCTGTCCACGGACATCCGCTTGGCAGCTCTCCCAATCCTTCAAAACAAACATCCGGAACGCTTTTGTTTGTCCTAACAGTTTGCGATACACTGCATTGCCTTCACGAGCTACCAGCTGTTTGCTCAATCAAGCTGAAGGAGCCACATCAGGCGTTGCCCACACTTCATTAACCCCTGTACTCTGACGTCTTGCTCACGTCTTGCTCATCTCGACAGCCATGGCAACTGCGATTGCTCGCGTCCGGGCGGTCACGAAGCTCCCCGGTCAGCTTCGCGCCTTTAGCTCTACTTCCGCGGTGGCTCCCGCTACGGGAGGGGTAAAGCGATTGGGTGTCATCGGCGCTGGGCAGATGGTGAGAGAGCTTGCAGTTCGCACGTGAAAGTCATCTCCGAGAAGCTAACCAGTTGACGCCAGGGACTCGGCATCGCTCTTGTTGCGGCGCAGAGAGCACAGGTTCCAGTGACATTGATTGACGCCAACAAGGCGGCCCTCGACAAGGGTATTTCGTTTGCTGGTGAGTTCACGGAGTAGCTCAACCCGTCACCGCCGACTGACGACTCGACAGAGAAGCTTCTCGCAAAGGATGTGTCCAAGTCTAGGATCACTCAGGAACAGGCCGACCAGGCCCGGTCGTTCATCTCTCCTAACACTTCCATTGATGCGCTGTCGGATGTGGACTTTGTGATTGAGGCCGTTCCCGAGATCCCCAACCTCAAGTTCGAGATCTTTGCCAAACTAGCCGAAATCTGCCCAAAGCATGCCATCCTGGCCACTAACACGTCGTCTATCTCTATCACCCGCATCGCGGCCTCGACGACCAAGGACCCTACAGACACCTCTGCCAGCTCGCGAGTCGTCTCAACCCACTTCATGAACCCCGTCCCCGTCCAGAAGGGAGTGGAAATCATTAGCGGCCTCCAGACTAGCCAGGAGACGCTCGACAAGGCCGTTGATTTCTGTAAGGCCATGGGCAAAATCACGTCAGTCTCCGCGGACTCTCCCGGGTTCCTCGCCAACCGCATCCTTATGCCCTACATCAACGAGGCCATCATCTGTTTGGAGACGGGCGTGGGAGACAAGGAATCTATCGACTCCATCATGAAGAACGGCACCAACGTGCCGATGGGCCCGCTGCAGCTCGCAGACTTCATTGGCCTGGACACGTGTCTCGCCATTATGAAGGTCCTCTACGAAGAGACCGGCGACTCAAAGTACCGGCCCAGCGTGCTGCTGCGCAAGATGGTTGATGCCGGCTGGTTGGGCAAGAAGAGTGGGAAGGGCTTTTACGACTATTGAGACAGGAACCTGGGGTAATTTGGGTGAAAACAAGGGTGTTTGACGTATCGCGCTAGGGGCTAGGATAAGGTTGTGTCAACAGAATGCAAAACAATCCATGCCATGCCAATGTCGGTCTGCTGGCATTTCTCGTTCCCGTCGAGAGATATGTGAGTGATTAGGACATACCTGACGGCGTTCGGTTCCGAATATAGAAACGAGTCTACATAGGCTCGACTTCACACCAGCAAGTTGCGGGACTACCTAAATTGAGTGTCGAGTTGAAAAGACTATGAGGCAGAGGAAACAAAAAGCCATAGGGAGAGCTTCCTAGGGAGGGTCAAATACTTGGTTTGCAGTGACTATATGCTGATGAGAAGATGCTCTTGACATAACCCCTGCCGCCCATTCAACCATTCCGTTTATTGTAATAGCAGGAGATATCTTTACTGGTCAACCATCTCCGTAGCCCCCATTACCCTTTCTCTCTCTCGTTTTCTGCCCCATCACTGAAGTGTAGCGCCTCTAGAAGACGAGGCACGCGAGAACGGCAAGAGACGAAGCTTTGAAATCCGAGCAAGGCGGCAGACCAGGCCGAGATTGAGATATCTGTGCCTGGCCCAGCATAACATTCCACGTCGTCGGCGGGATGGGCGGGTACAGAAAAACTCGCACGCCAGGCAACCCGAACATTGTCGATGTAGTTCATCCGGCCAAGAAGGGGCTTTCTTTGCAGAGAGAAAACAGGCCGGGACAACTGCACAGGGGCCCCAGGCTATCCTCGATGGCCAGAGGCTGTCTTTCCCCGCTTAACGGTATCTCAGGATGGCCGAGATCCTGCAGATTTTCCCGCTCAGTGCCTTTTAGTCTTGAGCTCAGGCAAGCGCCCTTGGTTCCCGCATCACCGCTACAATCGGGATGATGCGCAGGATACCCTTTGCTGCGTCTGTCTGCGGCCAGGGCACATCACGCTCTCAAGACGAGGGGAACATCGCAAATAGCTCCCGGCGACGGCGTACGACCTATCACATACGTTGGCCGGTCACCGAGAAATAGAGAGAGGGGGGAGGAGATCTAGAGCTATCGCATGAGCTCCGGAGGAGTTTCCCTCTCGGATCTCCAAAGTCACGTCGGCCAAGCGTCTTAGAGGGCTGCGACGGCGAGGCTGGACCAAGATTTCCAAGACCACCCCGTCGGTCAACACTAAGCGAGCGAGACGGCATGTCCGGTTCGGGAAAAGTCGAACGGCGGCGGCTGGACCACGTAGATGCACGGCCATGGAGGGGGAAACCGAGTTTTCTCCGGCCTCCCGCTGCTAGGAGTCGCGAAGCCTGCACCTGACAAAGACTTTCGTCGTGATTCAACAAGTTACCCTCTCGGGTGTCGGTCGTCTTCGGGCAAAGGGTGGCGGCGGCTAGGGTGGCGGCGGCTGGGGTGGCGGCGGCTAGAGCGACGAAACTGACTCTCTCGCGAGAATGACTCCAGCGACCCTGACTCCGACGGCACTGACCCGGGGGAGATTTACTCCAGGGAGATCGACCTCTGCGATCGAAGGTTGAATTCAAGCCAGATTGACTCGGCGAGATTGACTCTCGACGGGGTTGCAGAGCCTTTTTTAATCTTTTTTAGCTTAGAAACATAAAAACAACAACAACAACAACAATAATAACAATAAGGGGAGAAGAAAAAGAAGGAGAAACAACGCCCAGTCCTGGATGGCCCATTTCCCGCCGCGCGGCGCCGAAAGAATGTCAAGTCGCAAGGCAGTCAGTTAGTCAGTCCTTTCCACCACCTCTGTCCGTCAACGGGCGGCCGGACATGCGCGGCGCCCGCTGCTGGTGTGTAGTCTTCGCAGAAATGGACGGGACTCGTGACCCCGAGTCAAGGTGAGCATTCTTCTAAAGGTCCGTCGGGACGTCGAATCTAGCCGCGAGATGGACGGTTGGTTGCTCGTGACCGTGCCCCCCCGTCCGAGCAAACACCACCTAGTCTTGTGCTGGTCTCATCTCATCAAGCGCCACGGCGGTTCTTCACCAATAACAACATGCACGGCTTATTTTATCCCCCCCCAGACACTTTGAGCACATTGGACGAATGTAGAACGACGACGAGTCTCAAAATTACAAGCGAAGGTGTCAGCCTCCAGCGGAGGAACTATACACCACGGGAAAATCAAGGCGGCCGGACGGCATGTTTCTCCACGTGCGCCGTCCGGCAAAGTCCACTTCTTGCCTAAGACTCGGGTGTTTCCTACGGGGTCACCGCCGGATCGACAAAGCCCGTACATCCGCGTCTACGATGGCCCTTCGACAGAGAAGGCCGGGTGGCCTTGCAGTCGGAAGGGACCATCAACGCGCAAGCCGTTGACAGGACACCTGGGACGCCCTTTGGCCTCCAACACCAATATATCAGACACTTGGGAGGGACGGGAACCGAAACGGCGGCGAGTCCTCGGTATCCAGCCGAGTGAGGCGTAGGTCACGGGGGGGACATAGAGCCCAAGCGGAGACTTGCCGGGCGGATGTTCCGCCCTAGGGGTGATTGATACGCCGGCGAGAGGCGAAACTTGCCAAAGGGCCGGAAGGGGATGGAACCGGGTGCCAAATGCCCTCTCCGGCACCTGCGTGCCGTGTAGACGGACGGGTTCCCGTGGGCAAACGGATCCCATACGCCCCGAGAGAAGAGTGTGCAGAATCGCGACACTGTACGATCACGCCTGGCCATCTGACCACACCCAGCAGGCCATCTGTTCATGCGCCCAGCCATCCAACATCGTCAAAGAGATTAACCGACCGGGTGTCGATCTCAGCCCCGCCTCGAAAAGGGCACCCGCTAGCGATCATTTGCCACCAAACAAGTTGCGGGGCCGGGCAAACACCAACATGCCTGGACGACGAGCGTAGCTGATTCCTATTTCGGTATCCTGATGCGCTGAAACGGCGCTTGCGGGTAATCGTTGTGCATGGATTAGGCTGAGGCAGCCAAACATAGGCGTGTGCTCCATATGCGTGAGATACACGCATGTCTGCAACAGCCGGGGGGAGGGAGAGCGACGAGGGCAGGCCCCTCCCAAACATGGCGGAAGAGAGAGCAAAAAAGAACAGCGCAGCCAGCGGCTAACGGGATCTCGATGGGCGCGTTTGACGCAGATAGATGACGAGCCCACCAAGTCCTCGACAAAGAAAGGCAAGACGGGGAAGCGACTAGTCGCATGCTTGAAGCTCTGCGGTTCACTGCGAAGGTGAGAGAGCCCGCCCGTCTCGACGTCGGGAGCCGGCAGGGATTGAGGCTTGGCCACCGAGCGCGCGGCTGCGGGCGAGGCGAGGCAAAGCCAAGTCGCAGTTGAAGGCTGTCAACTGCTCGCTACCGAAACGGCGAACCGCGAACAGCACGGCCAGATACTCGGAACCGGCCATCCTGGATGATGGAAATAACGTTCATTAACGAAACACGGACCTATGCGGATTTCTCGGTGTTAACAAGCCCGCAGTTTGGAATTGCTTCAGCCATTACTCCGTACAACTCGGAAAGTGTAAATGGGAGCACGGGGCAACGGCCGTCCCGGTAGCTAGGTCGTGTTGTCAAACTCGTCTGTCAGTTGTCAAACTCGCCGTGGGTTGCCAGCTGCAGGTACACCTGTGCGCGATGGGAGGGGGGCCTGATACCAGACGAGGGCTATAGGACGCCGAGGAGCCCGGATGTAACACGAGGCGACGGGATGGGCGCTCGCCAACGAAAGACCATGGGCGGGCACACGTGGTTGGCGTCTCGATCGTCGGTGCCACGACGGACAGACTCAGGCGCAGGGCGGGGATGGTCAGGTCGCTTAGAGGAGAACTGGGCTGAGACGGACCCCAAAAGGCATGTAAAATTAGCCGACTGTTGCTATTTCCAACCATATATAGTATTATAGGCTGGCATGGTGAGGTGGGTGGGCATGCCATAGTACCATCGTGGATAGATAGCATTGTAGATACCACCAGCATTACAGGGAGGGAGGAGTGGGCTACCAAGATGATCGCACATGTGAGCTGATAAAGAAGTGGATGGTACAGCAGGAATGGTGATCGGACGAAACTGCAATGGGACGGGGAGAGAGTAAACAATGATGTGACGCGGGAATGCCGTCGTGGCAAGGTGTGGTCTGTTAAAACACGAACCACAGAGGTCTTCAGACGTTAATCGTCTCAAGTCAACCTTGAAGAGGTGAGGGGGAGCAGGATGCGGCGAATGACTAATGGCCCAAACATAAGGTTAAACCAAGGGCGGTCAGGTGCAGCCAGGTGGCCCGCCGCATGATGCACCCAAGCTTTCGAGAGGCGATGCACGCACATAGCAGAATAAATAGGTACTGTGTAAGGCAGGGCGAATGTGACGATGCAATGTCGGCGGTTTCATGCCGAGCTGGGCGATACAATAGCGAGTGTGCGTGTGTGTTATGCGCGACGCGCCATGAGGCGCGATTCCCACCACGCCCGCCTCGCCATGTCGTGATTCGCCTCGGGCCCTGCTTGCAGGACATGCTGGGCTGAGCCGAGCCTGGCTGGGCTGGACATGCTTGACGGCTGCGACTCATAATTGGGGGTTTTAAGATGCGCACTGCTAAAAAGAGACACTAACGCGCGCCTTTGCCGAAGCCAGCAGCAAGGTAAACTAGCTTAGCTGGGCTGAAGGGGAAGAGAGAAGACAGGTAACAAACTGGGACGGGGTACCCGGTAGGTACCTCACCTGCTCAAGTTAGGTGCAAGAGTACATCCGCGCTAGTTGGCCCCTTGAATCGGCCCCATTATCAAGTTCCCCACACGGTACCCAGTCAGTCCAGCGACCAACGTTGGGTGGGTGCAAGGCACCAGGCACAATGCAGCCAGCACGAGCGGCACTAACAGCACTGCCGTATCTGAGCAGGTATTCGGCAGGTTCGAATAACACTAAAAAAACGCGCTAGCTCATACGAGATAGCCGGCTCTAACTCACTAGGCCAACCGTGGCAGGCGGTCAACAACACCAGCCGGCATTTTCCTGCTTTGGCCGGTATCCGACCCCTGTTTCTCCCAGCACATAAGTCCCTAGGTATCCAAGCAGCCACTACGGTACCTACCTGGGTACGGAGTACACGCTTTGGAACAACGCCAATTAGGTAGGCTAACGACAATCTGCTAAGTATCCGTACCTGGATACTGTAATAGCACCACCAACAGCACCAGCAGCGCCAGCGAAGCAACGCGACACACTACAGCGCCATGGTACCCGCAGGCTAAGGTGCAGACGGCCACAACAAGCGCAGCTGGAACCCGGGGGGGAGGGGAACGGCTGGGTGGGACCACGCGATGGACGCCAA